GCGGTGCCGCCGCCGATGACGAGGACCTTGGCGCGGGCGGGCGCGGCAGAGGTTGAGGCAGCGCGCGCGAGGGAAGGGACGCGAGCAAAGGCGGACATGACAGAAGAGGAAGGAGGGAAGGGGGGGGGTCGGACTGATAAGAGCCAAAGAGAAGCTAAGACGGGGGAGGATGGAAAAACGAATGTATGGGATGATCGCTGAGCTAAGCTTGACACAGTGGATGGACGGATGTGCCCGGCGAATGGATCCAGTGAGAGAGATGGGATAGCGAGCTCGAGTTTCAATCACGTCATTCACAACCTTATTACAAACACCCACCCAGGCCCCCCTTAGATTGCCGCCCTATGCCGAAAGGTTACTCCGCACGTGGACTTTCTAATCAGACGGCCTTAATCGAGAGATAAGAACGAGACTAATTAGCGGAAGCAACCTCCCGGCTACACGTGACCTGTCTCATGTAGAGAGATGAATCCCACCCACCCTGGGTGTCTGACACACCGCCCCTGGCTCAGCTTCAAGGCGTTCAGACCCGCGACAACAACAAGGTTCTCGATTATCCTCCTCCTCCTCCTCCATCCGACATCCACAACTTCCAATACACTCCTCGACCGAACCATCATCACTCAGACACATCCCATCCACGTCGCTTCCACCACGTCCACCATTTAACGCACGGCCTCTGCGATGGATTCCTCCCCCGCTTCCTCCACGCCTCCCTCACCAGCCACCCCGGCTACTCCGGCCACCCCCGGAACACCACAAGACCGGTCCGCCTCATCACACAAGGAACCCATGTCGCCACTCATGTCCAACCTCAATCGTCTGTCAAACGCGACATCACGCCCAAACCTCCCTCCATTGCAGAACACCGGCAGCTACGCCAGCCGTGCCAGCCGCTCCTTCTCCAAGTCATTCAGCTACTGGTCCGGATACAGCACGCCCGTCGACGACGACGCAGACGAGCAGGCGACACCAATCGACACGAGCTTCGGCAGCACCTCTGTTGACATGACAAAAGTGCTCTATCCGACACTTGAGAACCACCCGTCACCGCTCGAGCACCCCCTGCTCGTGCTCGATCTCGCCGAGCTGACGTCGGTGCCCGCGAGCGTCACTAACGATGAGCTCCTCAGTGCGCTCCTCCGCCGCCTCGAGCCCTGGGTCGGAGAGGATGACGATGGAGCGTACTGCCTTGTGGTCCTCGCTTCCGATGACCGAGATATGCCCGGCAAGGGCAAGGCGCGGTCTCTCCCTGGTGTCACTTGGTGGCTGTGGAACTGGCGACGGATCCCTCGAAAGTGAGTAACCGGGCGTGGCTCTTCTGACAACAGGTACCGAAAGAATCTCAAGCGACTTGTGAGCTAAGCATCTTCCTCGCCAGCTAACCAGCAGTACATCGTGCATCCCTCGCATGCTACGAAGAGTGAGCTTCCCATAGCTTGTGACAGCTAACGACCAGCGCTTCTCCCCGTCGTCCTCCCCATGATGTCCCCAAAAGCCTACGCCAAGCTCTTCATCGTTCCCTCCCTCGCGGCGCTGACGGCGCACGGCGTCTCCTTGCGCGGCATGGACCTCTCGATCACGACACTGCTCGAAGAAGCAGCAGCGACACGCGACCCGCCAGCGAGCCCAAGCACGATCCAATGGGGCTTCTCGGCCCTGACGTCTGCCGTGGGCGCAGCCACGTCGTATCTGCAAGGCACGCAGGCAAAGGCGCCCACAGAGCCGTCGGATCCGTACTGGGGGCAGGACATTGACGACATTGTGGCCGACGCGCGAGGCGTGCCGCGCGTCATTGAGGAGCTCGGGCGAGCAATCTACAAGGAGTGTACCGGCACCGAGGGCATTTTCCGGCGGACAGGGAACAGCCCGGTGCTCGCTGGACTGAGGAGTGTGCTGAACGCCCCCTTGGGGTTGCAGCCCAAGGTCGACTGGGCGCTCGTGGCCGCGCACGACCCCCTCCTGCCGCCGACGCTGCTGAAGCGGCTCCTGTCGCACCTCGGCGCGCCCATCATCCCCGCCTCCGTCTATCCGACCATCAAAAGCGTGCGCACGCCAGCAGAGATTCGCAGCGTGTTCCTCCCCGCCCTCTCATCCGGCCGCGCGACACTGCTAAGCCACATAATGCACGTCGCGCACCACCTCCTCCCCTCCGAGCCCACGACGCGCATGACAGCCCACGCCCTAGCCGTGACACTAGCGCCGACACTGATCAACGGCCCCGACCCGCGAGAAGACGCCGCGCTGTGTCTTGCCCCGGGCCAATCCCTGCCCGGACTGGGCGTAAAGGCGGACGAGCAAACGCTCGTTGGTCTGCTCGAGATGTGGATCGAGAAGTGGGCCGAGGTGGACGGAGAGTCACCCGGGGAGGTGTGCGAGTGTGGCCTGGGGGGGAAAGAGGCACCCCCGAGCCCCATTGCGCTCGGCGCCCGCGGCGGGCAGACGAGGAGCAGTATCGCTGAACCCGTCGCCTCATAGGAGAGGACTGATGGGGCGAGCTGGAGGCGGAATCGGTCGCTGGCGTCGTTGCGCGAGAGGGCAAGTCGTGGGGGGGCCACGGTAGCTGCTGAGCGTGCTGCGGAGAGGGCTGCTGGGCGGCGTAACAGCGCGGCGTGGCCGGTATGATATGATTCCGGGATTGCTGGCGAGTCGGCAATACGCTGTTTGTGCGCTAGCTCTTCTGCAGCTGAATGTTACACTTCCGAGCTCGAGCCGCAGTTCAGATTTGATTTGTTCTCTTCCTTTTCTCTGGATTCAGAAGGCTTATAGTTACATGTTCTTATAGTTAACTTGTCCCCGCTCTTATCACGCCACAGCGAGCGCGAGAGCGAGGATTGTTATGCATGTTGTATCTTATCCTTGACCCAATATTGCAGAGGTGAGCGCAAAGACTCTCACGACTAAGGATGCCCGAGTCGAGGGCGAGGGTGAAGGTGAAGAAGGACCCTGTTTCTCTCTGAATAGGAGTTGAATAGGCCAGAGTTGAATTGTTCCACCGGGCCCATGTAGGACTGCATACCCTCACCTCACCCTCGCCTCACCCTCGACAAGGCCCGCAAGGCCCGGCCAGAGATGTAGCCCTATAAAGGGCACATCGGTCACGCCTTGCTTCCTGGAGTCCTTGGGTCTTTGAGAGAGCGTTCTCTATTCATGTTTGCATGGGCAGTGCTTGATGCCCGATGCCCGATGCCCGCTCACCGCTCACCGCTCGATGAGGTCGGGATCTTGTGACAGGCGCGGTTACACGCTTTCAGCGTTGAGCGGTCGGGATATCAGCCGACGCGACGAGCGCGACGAGCGCGACGAGCGCGACGAGCGACGCGTCGTGCCGTTATCGACCCGAGGCCAACAAGTCCAACAGACGTTCCAGAGCTACAGTAGAAGGGTGTGAGCGCGCAAAGGCAGGATATCAGAAAATCTATGTGCAGACCGAGTGACCGAGTGACCGCGCATCGATATGTAGGCTAGAGGCGTCCAAAGGCCTCCAAAGCCTTCAGTTCACCGTTCAGAATCAGTCACAGCTCGCAAGAGTTTGAGACAGGCAGGCAAGAAGAAGATCGCAGTGTACATATTGTAATAAGGGAAAGGAAAGATCCTACAGTGTCCTAAAACTTTAGCGCCGGTTGTTAAAGTCGCTATGGGCAGGAGACGTCGGGCGCACGCTCAGGATGTTCTCGTCGCTCGTGCCCGGACTCGGCGGGGAGGGGGGGATGGCGTGCGCCGCGAGCGGCGCGTTGCTCGATGGCGGGGTCGCGAGGCCTTCTTGGCTGCCGTACTCTGCTCCTGGCCCACTGCTTTCGCCGGCGCCGTGCGCTCCACCGGCCATGCTACCAGCTCCACCGGCCATGCTACCAGCTCCACTGGCTATGCTACCCGCGCCACCGGCAGCTCCGCCGTGAGCTCCGCTGCCCGCCCCGTGCTGTCTCGCAATAGGCGGCGTGGGCAGGGGTGGTGTCGCCCTCGCGGCCGCTGGCGGTGTCGAGATAGGGCTGAGGGGCGGCTGGCCCGATGTTCGCGGCGACGCAATCGCCGGCTCGAGGTACTGCTGCCCATCGACAAAGTCGTCAGCCCACGTCGGGTCGTACGACGGCGGAACCGTGTCCTCCGTCTCGACGAGGCGGCGGCTCGGCTGCCGGCTCCGCGGCCTAGGTACTTGGCGGGGCGTCTTGGCCACCGCCGCGGGGATGGGAGGGGTGAGGGACTCTTCGGCGTTGGGGGTGTAGGACGGGCCGATGCCGGGCGAGTATGGCGTATTGGGCAGGGGGGAGAGAGGGGGCATCTCGCCCGTGCTCTGCGTACTGATCGGGGGCAGGTTGCTGAGAGGCGATCCGGGGATGTGGCGGGAGGAGAAGGAGGAGCGGGGCAGCGCGGGGAACGAGGCGCTGTGCGACGCCACGGCCATCGCGGACGTTGCGTCCGAGCCACTGGCAGAGTAGCTGTACCCATGCGTACCATAGCTTGCACCCGTCCCCTCCGGCGTGAGTGCGCGAGGGAGGGTCGCGAAGCTCTGGCTCTGCGACGCTGTCCCATAGCTCGCACTCGCACTGGACATGCCAAAGCTGCCAGTCGAGTGGAACTGGGTAAGCTGCGACATGTTCGGATGCTGGGGGTATGGCAGCGCGTCGGCCGCGGCCTGGTCGGCGACATCGACGATGGACGCGTCGTCGTCAAACGGATCCTTCGCATGACACTTGCGCCACAGCCACCAGCCCAGCAGGCCGAGCAGGATCGCGCCGAGAACACCGCCAACGACGCCGCCGACGATGGCGCCGACGTTCGTGCCCTTCTGCGTCTCGGACTTGGTCTCGCCCGGCGAAGACGGGTCGGATGGCTTTGCGTCGACATTGACAAAAGTCTCGTTCAGACTGTACGGCGCGTGCGCGCCGAGAGGCTTGGGCTGGTCGCCCTCGCTGACGATTCTGACAGAGTAGACCTGTAGCACCGCCGAGGGGTCCGTGTTCCGCAGCGTCACGTTGTACTGTTGGTCGGACTTGAGTTGGCCCTCCCACAGCGGCTGCAGGGACGCGTATGGCCGCTTCGTGCTGCCCGCGTACTTCCGGCTAGCCGTCGATCCGTCATCGGGGCCGGGAGGCGGAGGGCTGATCTCCACCTCGTAGTCGCCGCCAGACTTCGCAACCATGCCGTTCAGGTGCATGTACGCGGCTTTCGGAGGCGCCGCAAAGCTGATCACGCCGCCGGGTTTCGCCTCAATCAGGCTCTGGGCGCGATCACTCCCCGGCGCGACAGTCGGATCGCGCTGCATGCCCCTCCACTCTCCCGCGAGGGTGTACGGCTGCGTCGGGCCCGTCGTGATACTGTCAAGGATGACGTCCTCGCCCTGGGGCGCGTTCGCATTGCACGTCCGCAGCGCAGAGTATTCGATACGGTTGAACTCAAACGTGCCGCTGACGACCTGGAACGTGATGCGCATCCAGTCGCCCGTGGAGTGGAACGTATCCGTCTCAAACAAGATCGCGTCCGTCAGGCCCTCTGGGAACACGGTCGTCGTCGCGTGCGCGTTCGTGTCGGGCTTCAGGTGCTCTAGCCGCATGGTTAAAGATGAGCCAGGTGAGGCCGTGCCGTTCAGCCTGGCACCGTTGCCGACAAAGGCGTACTGCAGCTGAGCACCGACGTGGGACGTCTTGATCCGTGGGTACTGCAGGTAGCCGTTCGAGGTCGCCTCGCCCTCACGTGCTGACCACTCCCAGCCTTCGTCGAAGGAGGGCTCGTAGTGGATCTGCGGGGAAGACATGGGCAGACCGACGAGTGGGACTGAACATTGCGTCCCTGCTTCGGGCGCGCCGGCTTGAATCGTGTCAGCCGCCCGCGTCAGACTCGCGCCGAGCGCGAGGAGAGCCACGCCGAACTTCATCGTGGCTGAGAGTTAGAAAGGGTAAGAAGGTCGAACGGAATGGGCGTCGTTCGCACGAGGGGTGAGTAGAGTTCGAGAAGAGATGGGGGGGAGGATGATGTTGGGTCGAAGGAAGAGGTGTTGAAGAAAGGAGGGGGTGAGAAGGTCGACGGAAGTTGTCGAAGTGTAGATCGAATGGGGACGTCAAGGAGAACGTCGAAGAGGTTTAGAAGACGGAATGCGGGTCGAGTACCGCGAAGCTGCTGAAGACGTTCACAAGAACAGATGCGCCACTAGAAGTCGAGGCCAGTGGAAGTCGATGCCGACGGTTGCCTGCCGGAGGTTGGCGGTCGAGCGCGACAGTTTCAGTCTCCGCCAGGGAGGGGTGAGGGGTGTGGTAACGAACGAATGTGAAGTGGTGATGAGCAAACGGAAGGAATGACCGCAGTCGAGAACGACAAGAGCCCCCTCATTCCGTGCTTCAGTCTGTGATGTTCGCTTCCCCTGTCCCCATACGATCCAAGGTCCACGGTCCATGGCCTACGGCTCACGGGCTACGGGATAACGGGCATGCGTTGAGTTGGTTGACCGCTCTGGACTTGGGCACTTGAAGACGCGGTTGTCGCAGGGTCAAGGGCTGTTCAGGGTGCACAGGATCAACTCAGGATACCAGAAACAAGGCACCAAACTCTAGTTCTCGTAAGCCTCTTTCACTCGCGCGGGATGCTCTTGCCCTCCTCCCCTCTGCATCCTCTTCTTCGCGCTCACGACGTGCTGCGTGCGTCCTCTCCCTCGTCTGGGAACACCACGAGGGACTACGCTCGCGGCAGCATTGGCTCCCGCAAAGCCGCCCAAAGCTTCCACTACTAATGCCTGCTTTTAAGCAGCAAATACGTCGATCCCGGCCCACCCAGTCTCTCGTGATGATAGCGGCAAAGCAGGCGAGTCTCGCGGGTTGATGCAGTGTCGGCATCGGAAGCAGCCTCGTTGCTCAATGTGACGGCAGGCCTCGTTCCGCGACGACGAGTGTCGCTTTGCTTCCAGAACCTCGTGTGGACCCTCTGAACTCTGACTAGAAATTGCTTACAGCTGCAGCGACAAGCGAGCGTATTCAGTGACGCAGAATACTCTATGAAATGTCGGAGCGAGAACGCCTCGAATACACACATTCAGCCCGGGCCGGGACGGGAGCGTACCCTGTTCACACTACTCATGGCGATTTTTGACTCTGTTCGCACCCACATCTGCTCTTCTGTTCTGTTTCTCTTCTGAGAAGGGCTGTTTCACTGCGCAAGCCTTGCTGGCGCAGGCACAGTGCGAACAGGAACGAGCGCTCCGTCCAGCGTGCATATCTTGCCAGCCTGCGGTCCTACTCGCAGCAGATTTTGCAAGGAGAGTTCTGTAGTGCAAGAAGGGGAAAGAAGCGTACGAAGCCCCCTCCTTCCTTTCTGTTCATGAGGTTGCAGAGGCAGAGAGACAGAACAGCTCCGTGACAACGGCCGACCCGGCCGCCGTGCCTGGTGACATTGGCCTCTTGTCCTCGTTTTGGCCATCGTGGGTCGACGCGCGACTGGGTTCGAGCTTGAATGCTACCCGGGAGTGTGAAAGGTCAGGAATAGCACGACTGGGCAGAGTTCAATCAGTCACTCATATTCGCACACTGGCTAGCACACCGCACACCGCAGCTTCTCATGACCGCCCTTGTTAGCTCAGCGGCGCCCTCGGCGAGTTCTTGATGCAATTGAGCGCCATCACACCACGCGCTCTCGCCAGTGGCTGCGGCCACAGGGTGTGATCGAAGGCACAGAGATGGCACCCTGCATCGTGTCGGTGATGATTCCGATCGGCGTGACAGAAGTGTGTGCGTGCAAGTATGCATCGTCCGTATCCCAAAGTCCGAGTGGTAGTGTTGTGTACAGGTTTCTAATCTACATGCGTCTCTGAGAGCGCTAATACCGGCCCAGCGGGCTCTCCGTGTGCGGCTGGTGGTTCGGCTGCACGTTGGGCTCGACGTGCGCCATGCCGGCGACATACTGGCTGCTGGGCCTGTACTCCGGCAGAGCAGCAGATTGCGGTCTGGGAAGGGCAACCAAGCGACCTGCATCTTGCTCCTGCGTAACTGGCAGAGCACGCGCCGCTGGCGGCGGACGAGAGGGCTCGCCCTTGCGTGGCTCGTCGAAGTCGTCGTGCTCCTCCGCGTCCTCCCACTCCGCCTCCATGTAACTGTCGCGAGCCTGGAAGTAGTCGTCGAGGTCATTGATCTGCGCCCGAGGGATGTCGGTCGAGGGGTGCTCGGGGCTGCTCGGCGCCTGGGAGTGGGGGTAGAATGGCGAGTCAACTGGCGCACCATAAGGCGAGTCATGCGAGAAGGTGCCGGGCGTTTCGACTGGTGAGAAGGGGGACTGGAGGGGTGTTGCGAAGACTTGCGAACCGTGGGTCGTCGAAGGCGACGCGGGAGCGGCATACGCCGCCGCCGGTGGTGAGAATGCTGGCAGCTCGCCCAAAGCCATCGCCGACGTCGTGCTCTCCGGTGCCGGACGGTGGTGGGCCCTAGACGCGTAGGAGGGGTAAACCTGCGCAATCTGGCCGTGGGTCAGGTCAACGACACTGCCGTCGTTCATGTGTGCCACCTTGTCGCCCCGCTTCTTTCTCCGCCAGAGGCAGAAGAAGAGCGGGGCTCCAATGAGCGCCAGTCCGCAGACGACACCAACAACGACACCAGCGATGAGACCGGCGTTGTTTCCCTTCCCGTCATTCGCGGAGAGGATGAACTCGACGTTCTTCAGGAGTAGTGAGTCTGCACCTCCGTTGCCGTGGATACCGGTCAGATTGAACGTGTACTGTGTTCCTGGATCGAGAGGCGTCACGAACATGGTCGCGGGGCCCGTGAAGGGCGAGTAGGAGTCGAGGAGAAGCTTCTCGTCCAGTCCGTCGGGGCGAGGGTCCATCTGCACCACGAACTGAGAGCAATTCCAGCACGAGATGCCCCGAATGGTCACGAGGGAGGCGTACTGCGGCGCCTTGAAAGAAACCCAGCCGAGATTGGGCACGGACGCGACAGAGGTATCGTTGTGGGCTGATGTCAGATCACTTCCCCTGCTACAGAGTGCCCTGCGGGCTCTCTTGACTCACTGGCAATGCCAACGTTTCCGCTCTGCTCGAAGAAGCTGGTGAGCTGGTCACCGTCCCCGATGAACGTCTCCGTCTTCTCTGTAGCAGCCTCGACGCTCTTCTGCGAGACGTTGACGAGCGTATCAAAGCTGACGCCAACAACGGCATAGTTCTTGCACTGCGGCTGGATGCGGGCCTGGTAGAACGCAAACGGCTGCTCCTGCGATGTCTGCAGGTTACCCATGTCGCCCTTTTGGAACGTGTACGTGTCGCTGGCGCCGCCTATCGTGGCAACTACGTCGCACTCCGCATTGTCGGGCGAGGTTCCCTCGACGGCAATTCGAGTTCCAGACACGGGCACGCGGACCTCGCCTCCATTCGGCGAGAGCGCGAACCGCGTCTTGTCGCTCCACTGTTGTCCGGGCTCGTACGTGTTCCACTGCAGACCGTCGTAGGTCAGGTTCCACCCGCCACGCTGGGAGTCGCCCCAGTGCCCTCGTCCGGGGTTGTACATGAGCATCGGGTCCGAGGGGAGTAGCGAGACGGTGTGCGCCACGCTGTTCAGCGCGGCCGCGGTGCTGGCGAGCGCGAGCGCGACGGCGAGGGGAGCTGGCGGCTTCATCGGGCCATGCGTCGTTCGTCGTCGGAATGTGGAATGAGCAAGATGCGAAAGTCAAGATGGAAGTCAAAGTCAAGATTCAACAAATGCCCACAAGGTGACAGACGTAACCACCCTCCATCCTTCCCAGCAACTCACCTGGCAACTCCCGGCAGTCGAGACACTCCGTTCGGGCCATTCACGGCCAGGCCCTGGACAGGACCCCATGGATCTACCTGTCTACCGCACGGCCTAGGGCGGTTGGGGCCGCTGGACCGTCGCGCTTCGAGGCCTGGGCATCGACCGAAGCCCGTCTGCCGTCTGCTCGTCCCATGCAGGCAAGGGAGGGAGGGAGGTGCACGACCGCGAGACAGCGCGAGCGCTCGCGAACCTAAACCCTGTTTGAATGCACTAAATGCGTTTGCAGGATTTTGATACCGACTGAGAGTATCCGGGGGCCTTCCGCCTGGGTAGACGGAGGATTACACCAGTCTCACGACATTGGAACAGGCTGTTGTGGGTTCCGTTTCCTGCTGAGACGAGGTACGGAGGCCATGCGATTTCCTGCTATTCTCCTGGTTGCTCGTCCTGCTTGTCAAAGGGAGAGACAGAGGGAAGAGCAAGAGGCGGGGTGGCGCCAGCGTCCCGCGGTTGGCGTGGCCAGGGTTTTGCTCCGAGTGACTAAGGACGACACGCGCGATGGGCACGTCCAAGCAAGCAAAAGTGACATTTTACATGAATGTCCCGTGTCGAGGCCCTGTTCGCGATGCCTGAAGCCGTCACTTCCCTGGTGCCTGTCTCGTCATCGGGTCCTGCATTCCCTAACCTGGCCAGCCCTTCTGCTCTTCAACTCGCACGTGATGGTGTTGAAACATCACTCTTTTCAGTGAAGAAGTCGCTGACAACGGTCCACCGCTTCATCGCCTTCATGGGCCTGCATAGCCTGCTTAACCAGGAGCACAGCTCGCTCCAAACGCATTCATATACCGCACCGGTTCCTTATCAGCATTCATTCCAGGCGAATATCGGTCCAGCACTTGTCCAGACTTTCTCGTCAGCCGCGGTGTGTGTCTGACCACCGTCCAATTCAACGCTCGTGGGCAGTCGCGACCATCCGACATGCCCGCACAGACAAAGTCATGTCACCGAAACGTCTAGGGCGATTCAGAGATCATTGTTTGTGCATCATAGTCGGCATGGAAATACATCTGCGCATTCCAAGCGTTGCGAACCCGAAACGCACTAAGCTGTCGAGGGCGATGCCACACGAGCGCAGATCGCTCAGATCAGCGCCCTGTCCATTGGGGCGCAAGCTGGGCGCTATCACGTCAGCCACCCTTCTTCACATCATCAACAGCCTTTACTCGTCTGTCTACGCGTCTAGAACGCACAGGATTGACAGCAACGATGGCACATGTCCAAAAAAGACGTGCTCGCACGCTGAGTCGAACAGCGGTCAGCTCGGAAGGGGATCAGAAGAAGAACCACAACGAACGGTGATAACCACCTACACTATACGAGCAGTAGACATCTCTGAAGGGTGGCGCAGGCGGCCACGGAGTTGGCTCGCTTCGCCCTGCATCGTGTTGATGCAACGGGCAAGTGGTGAGATCGATCAGCGTTGTACGAAGGTTGCGTGGTGCCACTCGCTGGGCCGCTGACGTAAACATATTGGGGCGCAGTGTGATCGGCGTGTGGCTTGTGTGGCAGTGTGACCGTCCATGACTCAGTGAGGCTGTGTCTTGGTGTGCTCGCGCATGGTTCATGAGTTCATACATACATGAATGTCCTTGAGTCATACTACGTAATGAATGTGCGTTCTACTGCTGGCTCGCCCTCTTGATCTCCTTCTCAAGCCTCTCAAGCGTGTTGCCGTTCTCCTCGCTGAGCCTCACATCGGGGAGGTTCGCTTTGCTCCTGCTGAAACCAGCCAGTGCAATCCGGCTTGAAACACTCCTCATGAAGTTGTTCCCGGGCGCGCGGGGACCTTGCGGTGGGTGCGGCCTCGTTGGGCTCGTTGGAGACCGGGGCGAGCGCGAACGGCCAAGGGCACTTGGACCGGGGCCACCGGCACTAGGTGGCATACGCAAGGGGTTGATCTTGAAGCTTGTGCGCGAGATGTTGAAGCTGGACAGGTTTGAGAAACTGCTCGCCGCCTCGGTCGAGGGGCGGCCCGTGTCGTCTCTTCTCAGCATAGCCAGCGCCGGCCCCTGGCCCGAATCAAGACTCGTACGCGCGAACGTGGATCGAGAAGCGTCAAAGCTGTTCTTCGGGAGAGTTGAGATCTCACTCTCGCTCCTGTTCGCATACGCGTCAAAGGCTGGGGGATTGAAAGCAGGCAGTGGGCTCAGTGGCGGCGGGGGTGGGACTGGGGAGTCGGGTGTTGACGGCGTGCCGGGCACGCGAGGAGAAGGCGGGACAGACTCAGCATGAGAGCCAAGGCCAGGTGCGTTAGGCGGCGTGATGAAGCTCCAGCTCGAGTTGGAAAACTTGGAGAATGCGGCGCGTTTCGCAGATTGTGGCGGAGCCATGTCGAGAATATCCCACGAGCTCCAGGAAAGATGCGTGAGAGCTGTTTGCTTGCTGGCACGCTGCTCCTTCTTCGGGTCTCGCACAGAGAGGACATCACGCGACTTGCTTCCTCGGCTACCCAGAGAAAGGAGAGACCAGGATGTCGCGCTGAACTTTGAGCGCTTGGAGGACGCAGGTCCAGGATCGGGGTAGGGACTCGGCTCCACGAGAGCCTCGCTGGGACCGGCAGCGAGGGAGCCAGTCGCTGTCGAAGCGCCCAGAGATGCGATGCCGTTCAGCCGCGTCACGGTTCCAGTCTTGATAGGAGACAGCTGGGGCGGAGCAGACGACAGGCGTCCGCGCTTCTCCGCGATGGTTGGTTTGCGCGAGAGACGAGACCACCACCCGCCATGGCAGGGACCATAGCCAACTGCGGGGACGGTGGGAGGCGACACAGCGCCGTCATTGTATGGTACGTTGCGCTTATAGGGCTTCTCGTGTCCCTCCTCCGTGGTCACAATGGAAGAAGGGCGAGACTTTTGCCGGCGCCGGCAGCAGCACCACAACAGTAGACCTAGGAGCGCAAGCCCGACACCACCGCCGACGACACCTCCGACGATCGCACCGACATGGTTGTTGCCCTTGTTCTGCTGGGTCACGGCGACACCGTCACTTTCGTCTTCGTCTGTGTTTTCTGTCACATTGTCCACAGTATATCTCGGCAGATCCCTGAAAGGTCAGTCGAATTGGCTCGGATAGCTGCGGTGACCGCCACTCACAATGTTGAGGAGAGGAATTGCGCGCTCGTGAACCCGAAAACCTGCCCGTCCTCTGCAGCACTGCGCAGAACAACGTTGTACTGCAGTGTCGGGTCCAAGGCGGCCTCATAGAGCACACCGTCCTTACCCGTGCACAGCGGGCGATACCTAGCATTCGGCACACGGCCGCCGACGGCGGTAACACCGACGTCGTACGGTGCGCAGTTCTGGTCAAAGTGCCCGTTCAAGCGGACAAAGCTTGCATTCAGCGGCGTGCGGAGGGAAAGACTGCCACTTCCAGTGAGGGAGGATGTGAACCGCGGCTCAGCATCTCCATCTGTCCGTCAGCATCAAGGGAACGGTATGGGTACGCACCAGATGTGATATTCTTCGACTCCCAAGGGCCGTAGAACTGGATCTCGCGGCCACCGTTCAGACTTCCATTCCCCCACCAAACCGCCGGAACGGTGAGGAGCGGCGCCTCCTCGGCCCTGTTCGCGGAGACATTCACGCGATGCGTCACCTGGACCTGCTCGATTGCCACGGCGCCCGACGCAAGCTGCACCGTTACATTCTTCCACTCGGCGCTGGTGCTGTTGTCGCTGTAAAGCACTCCACCCGCCGTAGCATTGAACGCGTATCTCTGAGTCGAGATCTCCCTCGTTCTGTTGGCATGTGAGGCGTTGGCATCATGATGCGGCGAGTCCCAATCCGGTGAGCGACGAGGGTCCCGCTCCGCGTCGGTAAATCCGAGCACAGAGACAACGAGCTCGCCATTCCCAGAGCCCAGGACTTCGAAGCTGGAGCCGTAGAAGGCGAAGCTGGCTGATGCATTGGTGGCGTTCGTGCTGGCGACGAACTGAGAGGTGGAGGCCACGGCGGAAGAGTTGGTGTCAGAGTTGTTCGAGAGCATCCAAGCTGATGCAGCCGACGCCGGCGAGAACAGAAGCACGCCGTCGCCCGGCGTCAGAATCACGGGGTAGTTGTGCTCGCGCTGCTCCTGGGCGACTGCCACCGCGGCGGCGGCGGCGAGCCAGACGGGCAGGCGCAGGCGCATCTGGGGCAAGTGGCCGGCGGCAGTCGAGCGAGACGATCGGATGTGCGTAGCTTCACAATAAGATGTAAGAAGGTGTGTCTCGGTCGCTGATCGTGAGTGTTAGTAACGGAGCAACATCGACATCGCACTCGCATGCATCGTCTCCACGGCCTCGCGTCCCGTCATGCGCAGCTTTCGACACCGCGGGCACGGGACACAACAAGTCCACGAGGCCAAACTCGGGTTCGGCCTGTTGCCAAGGTAGCAGATTGCTCTGTGCGAATAAGCTCGGGCTAGCTGGGCTAGTGCTGCTGGCTCTGCACTCGCGACTGCACTCGCCGCACTTCTGGCAGCCTACAGCCAGCTGAGAAACGAAAGAAAGCACGAAGAGGGGAGTGCGTACCTCGTGCCTGGCAACAGGCGTAATGTAACACTCTGATCTGTACCCGCAGTTGCCGCAGACCGAGGACGAGTGAGGAGAGAGCTCATGTCGGGGTCGAATTAAGCTTGTATGCGGGCAGAGTTTATTCCTTCTCCTCTTGCGCCGCCGACGAGCGCACCAATGACCCACTGCCCGGCCATGCGAGAAGGGCTCGAGACTCGAGCTTGTGTTTCGCGATGATGTGCAGGTGATACCGAACATGCCGCCGTGTCTAGCTTTCGACTGACACCGCAGTCTGATGGCATAACAACGAGCTAAGATAGTGTCAGCATCAACGACAGACCAGCACCAGTAATGTGAATAAAACGGCAAGCCTTCGCCTTGAGTAGAATTGCAGGAGGAGAGCCACCCAGGGTCGCACTGGGGTAGGTGCAGAGCCTACTCTTCTAACGTAAGGGGAACTAGGAAGGCTCTATCTTATCCTGGCAGCAGCATGCAGCAAGTGTACCCGAGCAAGGAACCCGCGACGTGACAGGAGGCAAGTGTCAGGACATGCTGCGATCTACCAGCCCCGTCGACCCCGTTTTGGCCATGTTGATGGATCGCCATTGGGCAAGCGCTGACCCTCGAGCCGCGGAATCGGGTCGGCTCAGTGCGTGTGAGTGCGACAGTTTCGGTCCAGTATGCATACGCTTGTGCGATTTTGCGATTGTGCGTGCGTGCGACGCCGAGCTACTGCGAGCTGTTCCGAGTTACTCCGCGTGTAATATCCTCGTCCGCTTTCCGAGATATCATAAGAGATGAGCACGCGGGCGCACGCAACTCATCCGCCAAAGACGGTCCGAGGCTGAGGCACTCATCTCAAACGAGGTTATCCGTTGGGACTGAAACACTGCTGCACAAGAGCGAGAGTGCCAAGAAGAAGATGCATGTCTGAGTGGAGGGTGTCCTATGTTGAAACGTCTTGATGCGAGCATGCACATGGCAAGCTATGCATCCTCGTCCTGCCCGTCCTCCTCGTCCAGCTCCTCGATCTCGTCCATATCCACTTCCACAGTGTGCGACCGTTCCAAGCCCCGGACAGCGTGGTCGACCAGACGCTTCTCCCTCGCGAACGCCGCGACGTGTCGGAACCGGTTCGTGTTTGGGATACGCGCAGCCAGGTCCTCTGCAACGCCGCGCTGTCCGAGTCTGAGCAGCTGTTTCAGCGTGTCGGTATACACGACGGGCGGGACCCAGTCTTCAATGAGTTCCCACTGGTGCAGCGCCTCCGGCACGCCCGTTCCGTCCTTCCTCGCAAGTGAGGCGAGCATGACGCGCGCGCGGATCTGATTCGCCTCAATGTGGCTGGGAAGCAGCGCGAAGACTTCTTCCATGGCGGCATGCCGCTCCGCGGCAGACAGCGCGTCGCTCCTTGCCAGCGCGAGCTGCACCACGCTCCACGCCAGAACCGTCAGCGTCGGGCTCGTGCTCTCGCCCCGTGGGAAGTGGGAGCGCAGCACGTGGATCGCCGCCTCTAGGGCTGCTGGGCGCACGCCGCGCGCGCTGCTCCCCGTCAGCCCGGAGAGAAAGCTGTACCACCATCGTGCGGGGACGGTGGGCGCGAGCTCCTGCTTGGTCGCTATCGCGTCCGTCGTGCCGACGACGTCCCATCCGCTCCTGAGCAGCAGCTCGAGAATCCGCCCCCAGTCCGCGCCGACGACGTGCGCATCCCCAATTCGCGCGAGGACTTGCGTCAACAGCTTGCGCTTTACGTTGTCTTCTGCTTGGGCGTGCAGCACGCCGAGCGTGAAGGGGCGGTGATAACTGGACGGCGGCCCGGTAGGAGTAGGAACCTCTTGCAGCAGGCGCTCCGCGTCCCCGATCCGGCCGGCGCGGCAGTAGGCGTTGAAGACGTGCCCGGCTAGGCGCGAGCGCCAGTCTACCGTATCCTCGCCCCTGCTTACGAGGGCAATGACCGCGCGCCGAAACAGCTTCTCGGCCTCAGCCGGCTTGCCTAGGTTCGACAGGCTTTCGAGTCGGTTGTCGAGGCTCTCGAGCGTCATGTCCTCGCCTCTCGCCTCAATCGCGGCCCAGTACTCGGCGACTTTCTTCTCGGCCTGCTGCTGAAGGGTCTTCTTGGACCGCGTGGAGGACAGGCTCGAAAGGCTGCGTAGCGCAACACCGTATCCGCCCGTCGGGATGCGAGGATATCGAGCCGCCATGTCGACCTCAACGATGTGGACCACGCGGTCGACGTCCTTGAAGTTCGCGTAAGCGTCGATTAGCGCATCTGTCATCAGCTGTGCCCGCATCATTGAGCTTACCCCACACGTCCATGCCAAGCGGGACAAAGTTGTAGTTTGCAGTCCTGTTCGCCGAGTCGACGGGAATGATGAAGCGATCGGGCCCGACGGACGCCTTCATGAGCGACTCGTAGAGCCAGTTGACCTTGGCGACGTCACCGTGCCGCGCCAGTGCCCGGATGCGCGTCACGAGCGCCTTGGAGTGGTAGCACTGAATCGCAAGCGTGACCTTGTCAATGTTGGCGAGGAACTGGCGCCAGACAATCTCGCTCGCGCCCTGGTTTGCGGGAGAACGAATCTGGTACTTGAGCGCAGAGAGGTCGAGCCTGTCGCGCTGCACGAGGCGGCCATCAAACGCAGAGTCCATCAGCGAGATGAGCACCGTGTGGTCAAACTGCCCCAGCATCGTTTGGGCTGCGACGTAGCCAAGCATGAGCGGGATGAGACCGTCACCCGTCAGACGAGATGCAAGACGTTCCTCGCGGTACCAGCTCACGAGACCTTTCGGGTCCTTGCCTTGGTGCGCGAAGAGGCTGTCCTTGAATTGACCGTACGCGGACACGACGTCGTGCGGACGTCCGGCGCCGATCAGCTCCAGCTGCAGAGCATTGAAGCCCCGCCAGTTGTCATGCACGGAAGCCTCGACCGCCATATGCAGGAGCGTTTCGAGCCGCTCGGGATCGTGCGCCGCCCATCTCCCGATGTTCAAGCCATTGCGTCGGGACGCAGTCTCGACGATGAACTTGGATATTTTCGCATACGTTTCGGGCTGAAGATCTCGAAACACATCCGTGGCCACGAGAAAGTCGTTCCAGATGCGAAGACTCTGCTCGAGCTCACGGGCATCGAGGTACCGAATGAGGTCGTCCTCTTTGGCCTTCTTGTTAGAGAGGCTTGAAGGCGGAAGGGCCGCAATCACAGTCTCAGAGGGCGGCTGAGTGGTCGGATCTTTGGCTGTCAAAGGTCTGGATGCAGCCTTTGGCTTCTTGCTCTTCGTCGGGCTGCGTTTGGGCTTCGCTGGAGCTAGACGAGTGGGAGCCGACGCTCGATGTGCGGTCCTCACAGCCGACACCGTAGCGATGGACGACGGGAGGCGAGCCATCTGCCGAAAGGCCAGCGTGACCGGACCCGGTCCTCCAAGCTGTGCGATCTGGGTGAGCATGATGCGATCGCTCCGGAGGACGCGGAGATGGAGGTCGGATGAGGCTGGTACGGAAGAAGAGCAAGTGGTCAACCTCCACCTCTGTCGTCCCGAAATCTCGTCGACCCGTCGCTGAACGACAACGAGCGGAAGCAATTGCACGCGACCTGACCTCTTCGGCTTCTTCGAGGCGGCGGTGAACGATGGGGCTCGGTCTAAGACGTCTTCTTACACTTGTACATGGCGGTTTTACTTCTTTGCTACTACTTTACATCTACAGTGGAGCTTACGGCGCGGGCCAGCTGTCCAGCTCGTCATCGTCGGGAAGGTGCACGCCCGTGGAGCGGAGGAAGCTCATGAGGCGGATACGGTCTGCCTCGCTGTTCGCATTCCCGCGAGCACGCAACAGGTGGCTAAGGAACTGGAGAGCCGTCGAGTCAATGCTAGAGCTCTGGTGATACGGCGGCGGCATGGAGTTCCTCGCAATGATGCGGTCCGCCATGTGTGTGCGGATGAAGCTGGGTTTCTGCGGCTGGGCGGTCGGCGCGAAGATCTTGGGCGTGTTGTCAATACCAGCCACGGCGAGAATGGGCAGGGTCGGGTGCTGTTCGATGACGTTCACGACGTCACGGCCGCCCTGCCACACACCCTCGAGCCGGCCCGTGAGCTTGTCCCAGACGAAGAAGTTGCCGTCGTCGCTGCCCGAGCATACCTTGTCTGAGGCGTTGCCAACGAAGTTGCCTGAGGTCAGTTCAGCACCCGCAGAAGCAGCAAACTTACAGTCCTTGACTGTCTCGTAGTTTTGCGCTCCCTTGTACATTCGTCGCGGGTGAATGAGAGGCACATCCTTGAACTGCCCGTCCGAGGACAGAGCTCCGGGACAATAGAAGTTGTCATCATCGTCAAAGTCGTCCTCGTCATCAAACTCGGAGTCAATCACTGTATCGAGCTCCATGGATTCCTCATCGTCGTCTGAGTTATCCTCATCGTCGCTAAGGTTGGCGAACATGCGCCGTAGGCGCTGGGCAGCTTGGGCCTCGGCGCGGACCTCGGCGTCGATTTCGGGATCACTTAACGGGGCTGGCGGCTCGTCTTCTCCGCCCGATTTGGGTTCGTCATCCTCTTCCGCTGCTGGGACTGACGCTTGGTCAGTTGTCGCACCGACGGTAGCCGCGGTCGACGGCTCGGCTGCGTTGCTTTCGTTGTCCGACTCCGAGTCCGAGTACAGGAACTGAGCGGCGCGCATTCTACGCTCCTCTGCCGAGTCCTCGTATAGCTCGCTGAGGAACTCGCGCATGTCGTCATCCTCGTCGATCGGCTTTGTCCGTGTTGTTCGGGTATGATGGTCGTTCGACTGCCTTGGGCTCTCCGCTGATTTAGTCCGTGACCTAGGAGGGTTGTCGTCCTCGTCCGATCCCCCGGAATGCCTCCGCTTTGAGATACTGGCCCCCATTCGCTTGCCGTTCGGGGCAACCACACCGCTCTCATTAGACCTCATGCTCGTCGTGACCGGATCGTCGTACATCGAGAACAGACTCGTCGAGTGCATGGCCATGGCACCAACAACCTCGCCCGAATGATCCGTGCTCATCTTGACACTCGTCACATGACGTTCGCTGTACGCCCGGCTTCGACTCGAGACGCCCGACCACTCCTTCTCCGGTAGTCCGAGGCGGCGGACACAGGACACCTGCCCAGCTTGCCGGGTGTGCGGACCCCAGCTCGGCACCTGATGCGCAGTCATGCGTCGATCACAGATGTAGATGCAGTCCGTCTGACCGCACACTGCAAAGGTGTAGGGCGTCAGTGGCGACACTGACAGGGAGTACAGGTCCACTCCTGCGGGTGCCCGGAACAAAGGATCTGGGCAGTCGGAGCGGCAGGTATGCGGACGTCGAAGGTCCTGTTGGCGTACGGTACCGTCTTCGCTGACGGTGAGGAACTGTGAAGGAGAAGACTCAGTAACGATGCGCTTCGTGCGGTCGGAGTGACACTTGAGTACTCGCACACTGCTGTTAGTTCAGTTCAGAAGACGAATAACTCACCCTGGCCCATCGACGCCCCAGAGCTCGTTCCTTGACCTCATGCCTACGCCTTGATTCGTAGTAAGACGTTCGACTTCATATACTCTGATATCCCCGTCCCCCGCAGCTGAGACGATCGTCGTCGTATTCGCATTCGGGAGGAACTTGGTGTGGAAGATGTTGCCGCGGTGGCCAGTCAGGATCGAGTCCTTCAGCCTCAGCGGGTGCGGTGAAGTGGACGGTGTGTCGTGTCTGTCATCGGCTGTCCAAATGCAAATTCTTAGGGTCAGCTAAACGAAAACGATAGAGTAGCTCACCTTGTATCATCGCTTCCACTGAGTAGTATCGACCCATCGTCGCTCCAGCACAATGCGTTAACACACCCCGTATGACCCTCGCCCTCCGGCCCCAGTTCTTGGACACGGTCGAGTCGACTCCACGCGTCAGGTCCAAATGGCCTGAGGGTCGAGTTGCGGGGACCAGAGTTGACGGTCTGATGAATCTTGCGAGGAAGGCGCGGCATGGCGGGGACTTCGAGCCGGTGCGCGGACGGTGAGAGGGATCAAGAATGGGTCGGTCGGAGGTCGTTTGGGGGAAGTGAAAGACTGAGCACTCTGATGAGAGTGCTCCGGGATTGGGGAGCGTGCTTCTGTCTAAGCCAAGATGAGGAGAACGAAGTAGTAATGAGAAGTGAGCGGTATCAAGTTGCCGACGTTCGAAGGACCTAACATGACGCTGAAGCCTGGCCGGTGGCAACGAGATGCGGAGTGGGCCCCACATTCCCTATCTCGCCATGGCGACAGGAGCTAGTCTCCGAATCAGGCAACTTCGGGTCTTCGTTCGTTGCTCTCCCTGCATGCCTTGTCCCCTCCGCGTTGCGCTGAAGACGCTCTGGCAATGCATGTCCAGCTCGCTAATGTTCTACGTGTTCGCACGAACCCATCGTAGAGGCACATGACGAAATAGACTTTCAGACACTAGTCGGGACCTTCATCGCCACGTGGTAGGGCGTCAGGCTGCACGTGACTCACCAAAAGTTGAAGATGACCTCCATCCGGCTGCCTTGCAGTGAGCGAATTTCAACAACATTGCGGCGTCGATCAACCCCAACAACACCAACACCACCCATGGCGCCATCAAGAAAAATGAAGGGCAAGGCGCGCGCCGAGCCGAAGACCGAGGCTGCGCTCCCGCTCGGAAAGCAGCTGTCGCACACTGGTGAGCTGCGGGTCTAGCGAGCGTAGCTGACAAGCAGATAAGGCTGTCCGCGACCAGGCGGTGCGCAACCTGACTGCCTTCCTTTCGCGCGGAGGACAGGGCGAGGACGACGAGGAGGGACCGAGCGGATACACGCGCCTGAGTGAGACGGAGATGGCCAAGCTGTGGAAGGGACTGTTCTACTGTGCGTAGCTGGAATACCCGACGTTGAGCTGACGACAGGCTTCTGGATGTCTGACAAGCCGCTAGTCCAGCAGGCGCTCGCGCAGGATCTGGCCAACCTTCTGCTCCTCATCAACCCGGCCGGAGGGGATGCTGCGCGCCTCGACGCGGCGCTCGCCTTCCTCGAGGGCTTCTGGACCGCTCTCGTGCGCGAGTGGAGTGGCATCGACCGCCTCCGCATCGACAAGTACTACATGCTGATCCGTCGATACGTGAATGCCACCTTCCGCCTGCTACAGCGTGAGGGATGGAACGCCGACGCCGTGAGCAAGGTGAACAGCATCCTGACCGCGGTGCGGGGGCCGATGTCGTGGCGGGAGAAGAGCGTGCCGACGTCGCTGGCCACGCATCTTGCCGACGTCTACCTCGACGAGCTGGAGAAGGAGGAGCCTGTCCCCCTCGTCTCGGTGCTGGAGCCCTTTGCCCAGCTCGCCGCCAACACGCGCACACCGACCGTGCACACCCGCCTCATGAGCATGGTCTTCTCGCCCATTCTCGCCGCCCTCAAGGACGAGGAGGACGAGGACGAGCGGCCGGCGAAGCGCGCCCGTGCCGATGCGCAGGAGTTTGAGAACATTGTCGAGAACATTGAGGTTAACGGAGAGAAGGCAGACAAGGACGAGGCACGGGAAGCCGTCCTCAGGGCCATGTTCAAGGAGGCCGCAAAGGAGGACGCCGTCGAGAGCAACCGACGCAAGATCTACACCGTCGTTCGCGAGGAGGGCGATGAGTAGACGTCACAGATACCATAGATCCATTTCAGACAGCATCATGTATTTTGGTTTTGCATTAGCAGCACAAAGGACGCGAGAGTGGATGCAATGCATAGATGCTACATTGTGATTTTAAGACGTAGCGTCAGAGGACACACGCCATGTGGTCCGGCGGAGTAACCTTTCTTGAGGCCCTCACGCCAGGATTTTGAATGCCGACAAGGTTAGTGGAGGGCAAGACGTTTACTGCTGGGCAGCGTTGCGCTCCTTGGAGACACGGGCGACGTAGGAGCGCGAGACCTGGTCGAAGGCGGCCATGTAGAGGGTCATGCACTGGGTGAGGCAGCGCTCGTCAGAGGCGCCGAGCGAGGTGCCGGGGCGGGTGATGCACTTGGCGAAGCACTAATGTTAGCTGAAAGATCTCTACACAGCTGAGCTGCGTCGTCCTTGACAACCTATGTCGGCCATAGAACTGGGTCGAGATATTCAAGGCTGCCGAAGCAAGGTACTCCGCATCAACAATATACCGTCTCGACGCGCGCTCCACGGCAAATGGCTGATATCGCTACTCACGTTCTCAGTGATCTTGTTGATGAGCTGCTGAGCACCGGCAACAGCAAGCTCCTGCTGGATCTGCTGCTTGAGCTGCTCCTTCTGCTGCTGGGAAGCTGAATGTTAGCTTAGAGTGAGGGCCGCAAGCTGTTTCTTCAGACACTCCGACTTTTCAAGCGCCACAGAGCCGACTGCACCAGCTGGAGATGCAGGCCACGGAAACAAGGTCGAGAGTGCTTGGGCTACTCACTGGTGGCGGCACCGCTGGATCCGAAGAGAGACGACATGGTTGTGTAATGTGGTGGTTACAAAAACAAGAGTTCGCAGTGTTGAGACGGCCACCTGCAGCTGAAAGGGGCTGACGAAATGTCCTTGGCCGGTTTGCCGCCGCTCGGCTGGAGCCATTGAACCTGGGTGCAGCGTCAGGCGCAGGCCGCAAGAATTTTGGAAGTGGAGGTCAGTGGCCACCAGCTGCAGTCGCTTGTTGATAGCTGCATTCTCACTTTCTGCCGTCCTCTCGCAACACAGTGCATATACCTTTTAGACATATACTAGACTTGTAACGAGAAGAACGAAACGACTACAGAAGAAGGCATAAGGTCACCATGGCCCCGACAAAGAAATCGATCTACCGCCAGCCTGGCACCCAGCACTTCCAGCTCGTCCACCGTTCCGTCCGCGACCCGCTCGCCAACGACCCCGATGCTCCCCAGCAGGTCTTCAAGCCTATCGAGCGCTACAATGTTGCCGGAAAGGAGAAGGTAAGCTTCGATTTCATGCTCCATAGCTGACCGCCAGGGCGCCGTGACGCTCGCCGACCTCGAGCACCAGATGGACAAGACCAAGATCCGCGACAACGAGGGCGAGGCTGCGATGTACGGAATCACGTACGACGACTCCAAATACGACTACATGCAGCATCTGAAGCCCGTTGGCGAGGAGGGCTTTGAGAGTGTGCTCCTCCCGGCGCCGCGAGGCTCGAGTGTCGCGCAGGGCATGAAGAACCAGGGCCAGCGGAGCAAGGGCAAGGGGCGGAGCGAGGACATGTTCAAGATGCCCGAGGACGTGATGGCGTCCAAGCACGAGCTTTCACTGCAGGAGGTGCGGGAGAGGCAGCAGAACATTCCCACAGAGCTGCAGGGCTTCAACCCCGACATGGACCCGCATCTGCGCCAGGTGCTCGAGGCGCTCGACGACGACGAGTTCATTGAGGACGACGGAAACGACGAGGACTTCTTCGGCGAGCTCGTCGGTACCGGCGAGGCGTACGACGAGTACGACCGTGAGGAATACGAGTTCCACGAGTGGGGACCCGAGGGCAAGCCGAAGCCGGTCGAGGAGGACGGCGAGCCGCGCGAGGAGACGTGGGAGGACCGCTTCCGAGCGTTCAAGGAGGCGGGTGGCCGGCCGAACGCCCCCGTCTCGAACGGCGGATGGGAGTCTGGAGAGGGAGAGGACTATGACGAGGAGAACCGCTCCGAGATGGCCGACACGGTCGGCTCGCTCTCTGGACTCCCGGACATGATTGTCAAGGGCGGCAAGAAGCGCCACGGCAAGCGCGGACCGTCCGACGCCTCAGGCATGAGCATGTCGTCCGCGAGCGTGTACAGGAACAACAACCTGCGCAATCTCGACGATCAGTTCGACCGGATTGAACGCGAGTACGAGCTCGACGACGACGACGAGTGGTGTGAGGACGACGATGACGATGTCTCTATCGCGCCGTCTTACATGTCCTCCGCCTCGCGAGTTAGCATGTTCAAGGGCGGCGACTTTGAACCTGGAGAGCCGCTTCAGGTCACGCGCGACGACTTTGATGCCATCATGGACGACTTCCTTGAGAACTACGAGGTCGTCGGCAACCGTATGCGCGAGTCGCTGGGTGGTACAGCCCTCTCGGGTCCGGAGAAGCTCAAGGTCCTCCGTTCAGCCCTCGAGCAGGGAGACGAAGGACTCAGCAAAGAGGAGAACAGGCGGCGCATCCTGGCATTGGAGAAGCTCAACCGCGGACCCCTCAAGGAGGACAAGGAGCGCATCCCGCGCGCCAAGATCGAGCCCGCCAAGGAGGACAAGTGGGACGTTGAGACGATTCTCTGTGAGTTGTGTTGAACCCGACGGAAACTGACAAACAGCCACATACACCAACACCGAGAACCACCCCGGCATGATCCGGGTGCGGTCGTCGAGGGAGGCCAAGGAGCGTGCCGCGCGCAAGGCTGCCGCGGCCGCTGCTGCGATCCAGGAGGAGGAGCAGGAAGAGGATGAGGAAGACTCCGGCTCGGAGACCGAGACTGAGGCGCCCAAGGTGACGGTTGCGCGCAAGAAGGGCGAGAGTGCGGAGGAGAAGCGCGCGCGCAAGGCGGCCGTCAAGGCTGAGCGTGCGAACCGCCGTGCCGAGAAGAAGTCGCACAAGGAGACGTTCAACGAGGAGCGCAAGCGCCAGATCGCCGGCCACCGCAAGGCAGTCACGGGCGGCAAGGCGGCGGACATTGCCGTCGGCGCCAAGGGCGTGCACTCGCTTCGCTGAGTGTGAAGGATTTCTGTGATCGGGCGATCGCACCTCCTGTGGAATGTCACCGCTGCGGGGGTCTCCGATCGCACTCGCTGACCAAGTATTCCGAGGTGGAAAGCTTGGTACGCGGGCAAAAGAGCAGGACATCGCCACCCAACGCCCCTCACGAACGTCATGATCGCCGTGCTCCGCCCATCACCCCCGACCCCCGCGGGACGGACCTGACTCCCCCCCTCCCCGCGCTCTACTGCCTGTTCCGGCGAACGCAACGTTGCTCCGCCCGGTGGCATGCTCGGCGATGGGCCACTGTACCTGATCTGCATGTTCCGTGAGCGCGGAATTCCCATCGTAGAAGCTGCCAGATGTGTAAGATAGTTAGAGCGGTGAATGTAACCTTGTTCAGGATGCACTCCAACGCTTCGTCAGCGCCGTCTTACCGCCCCTCCCATCATGACGTTTGCCACCCGACATAGGAGAGTCATAGCCAGGCACGATCCGTTTCTGTCGGGCGTACGCGGGAGGAGGCTGTCAGGCACGCACCAAGTATCAGGCACGGCGTCCTAAAGTCCGACGCAGGTCGTGCCAAACTTCTGCCACACGCTCGGCGAAAGAGCACTGGTGGTGGACCCTGAGTCCAACCTCGAGCGTCCCTGGTGCTTGCTCGGGGACGGTGCTGCAGTCGCGGACGGCACATGCAGACTATCACCACCTTCTGCCCCCCAACCTCCTCCATCGTCTTCGACTTATAAAAACGCTCGCAGAAGAACCGCTCGCGCGCTCTCTCAGCACTTTGCGAATCTACATTCTTCACACACAAAGCTCGAAAACGATACAAAATGGTGGGCATCCCGAAAAAACGGCGCGCTCGCAAGTTTGGGAAGGTTTTCGAGGGCACACTTCGCGGCATATCGCACCCGGTCAACTTGGTTCATGACTTCGACAAAATCGACATCTCGACAGACGGCAATCGACACGCACCGAGTGCGATCGGCGAGGGCAGGATTTTTGGCAGCGGAAAAGAGCTGGACGGATGAGAGGCCTGCGTGGAGATTTCGGTGTGGGAATGAAGGTGGCTTGGTCTCGTGCCACCACCTGACAACGGAAAGAGGGGACGATTGGGTTGTGCATCAGTGCTATGCTGTTCACCTGCTGGTTCTGCCAGCTGCTGAACGGTGCGCTGGTCGCGATCAGGAGCGGAAGAACGGCACGGGGACCGCAGAGAGGTGACTGTACTTGCAAAAGTTGGTGACCGACTCTGGTGGCTCCGGACCCGAAAAATCTTCACTCGACTCGTCCCCGCTTCCGGACCGCACCAACACGCTGCACTGCTCGGCCATCGACTCGCGGCGGAATCGTGCGCAGAACTGCGGCTGTTCTCGCCACTGGCTATGCGTTGATCCGTGCCGAAATCCTGCATGGAAGAAGACAGACGGAACCGATAGAAGTGACTGGTGGGCAAGCGTCATGGGAAGCAGCGGGTGCCTCGCTGTACCCTGGTGAATGCCCTCCTGTCGCCGCCGTCCGACGTCGCTATGATCGCATGGTGTGTACGCGTCGCCGACACCCTGCGTAGCGGCCGTAATACGATCGAACGGACATCGACCCCGACACGAACGACGAATACGTGATTCATGTCATGAACCAACGAGCCGAATCGAGCGAAGCCTGCGCGTGTGTCCCGTCAACCCATCCTCCAACTTGCAGCCAGCTAGGTACCGAACTGTCGCGCTAACGCATCGCAGGTTCTCGCTGTTGACCTTCTCCACCCCTCCCCCGAGGTTGAGGCTCGCACCTACAAGCTCAAGAAGATTGTGCCCAAGCCCAACTCGTTCTTCATGGACGTCAAGTGCCCTGGATGCTTCCAGATCACCACCGTCTTCTCGCACGCCTCCACCGTTGTCCAGTGCGGCTCGTGCGCCACCGTCCTCTGCCAGCCTTCCGGCGGCAAGGCCAAGCTCACTGAGGGTAAGTTTGCCAGCTTCTCGTGCGTTCACAAGCTAACATTCCTCAGGCTGCTCTTTCCGCAGGAAGAACTAGATAACATCTACGACGCGGCGGTTTGCGGTTCTGGTTCTAGCATGACCCATGTACTTCATTGACATCATGGCTCCTGGATGCAGTCCGATTAGATAGACACTGATGTGCACTTGAGAAATACTGACGAGGTTGTTTCGGGAGATTTTGTGTGCCACGTTTGAAGCCAAGTGCTGTCGGGTCGATTAAAAGACTCTCATACATATGCCCAAAGGGTAGTACAACTCTCCTCGCTATGTGTAGTGTCGCCATGGAGCGGCTGCGTACAACGATCTGTCTTCTACGGCCCGCGCGTGTATGCGAGCTCTTCTTTGCGTTCCGGAAGTCTGCCCGCTCTGTGTAATCAGACTTCGAAGCTCGATATGAGCATCCCATCACTGCGGGAAGACTTAGAACTCGCCCTTCCTCACCACGCCCAGCCCGAGTGCCAGGATATCCTTTGCCTGACCGAGATACCCCACCTCGCTCTTGTCTGCGACAGCCGTGCTGGGCGAAACAGTCAAGGAAGGCTGGGGCGGGGGCGAAGTTAAGCGCTGAGGCCCGCTGGGCGGGGACGGGGGAAAGAGCTCGGACGGCGGAGGCGGCGAGAGGAGGATCTGGTACGAGAGGTTGTTCTGTTCCTGCCTGTTAGCTGACGATACTCGAATCTGCAGCGGGAGGGAGGTGGGACTTGGGCGAAAGATGGGAGGGGGACGCCTCCAGTCCATCGTGGTCTTCGGCCAGAAGACAGCCCCCCAGACCATCCAACCATTCCCGTCGTCGTGCTACGAGCAAAACGCCATTAAGCAGTCAGAGAGCCAGACTCACCGGACTCCCCACCAGCGCAGGCACATTGGCCCTCCGCTCAGAGCAGAACGTCAGCGTCTGCATCAACGCCGAGTTGAGCGTGTTGCGTGTCGTCGTCGCGCGCGTCACAAAGTGCACGCTGATAAGGTGTTCCTCCCACGGCACGAGCGCCTCCGTGACCGCGAACCAGCCCTTGCGGTTCTTGCGCTGCAGGAACACGACGGCGATCTGGGTGTCAGCTAAAAGCCTGACGCAGCAACAGCGCTAAGAAGCTCGGATGCAGACAGCGGGCGATTCATGGCTCGCGAGCGCAGCGAGCGAGAGTACAGAGTAGAACTCACCTCACCCCCCTCCTTCCCCGTCTCCACAAACGTCCTCACGAACCCCTCGACCTTGTCGTGAATCTCGCGCTCGATCTCGGTCACTTTCTGTCCCGGCCCCGCGAGCGCGGTACTCGTGCCCGTCGCCGCGCCAGAGACGACGGCGACGTGCGTGTCAAACACATCTAGTGTTTCGGGTACTACGTTCTCGAGCGTGCGTTGGAAGAATATGGACAGGAGCAACGCGCGGAGCACGGCTGCGGCCGAGGTGCGCTCTATTCGCTGATTGTTAGCTAAACCCCCGAGTTCAAAGCTGTTGCCACCGATCCTTTGCTCCGCTTCTGCATCTTCCCTGCTTCTCCCACATATATCCTTCGGGACTGAAGTGTGAAGTCGTGGAAAGGAGCCAAGAGTAGCGCAAGAACAGGGGCTTCTGTTCAGTTTGATGTCACTGAGGGACCCATGCCCAATGTCACACCATCCGTGAGACCGCCCACATCCATCGTGACGTACCAGTTTGATGTGGTTCACCGTGTCCATGCTGGCATGTCGATGTCGGGTCAAGAAATCAAGAAGGTTCTGGTGGCTGAGCTTCGACTTGGAAAAAAAAAAGCGTGAGTTGATGCTCGAGCGTTGTGTCGGTCGTGTGCGATGTCGAGCCGAGCCTGGGTTTAGTCTGTTGGCCACTGGGGTCAACCTCCACCAGACACCAAGCGGGACTGTCCTGCGTCATATCTCATGTCTGTCTATTCCGCGTGCGGCAATTGGACCAAGCTTGGTCACTATCCTGCAAGCCTGTCCAACTCCGCTTCTGATGCTGTACTGCATGACTCCTCTGCTTTCCTGCTTGCTTCGCTCGCTGCTGTACATATTTACCACCCTGCATATACAAGTTACAAACATCTAATCGCGCTCAACCTCGTTCATGGCAGACACGAGGCGGCTCATGGCCTGGAACATGAGGCCCGCGCGCTGCGTCTCTGCGCTGCTCTGGGGCGCCTGGCCGTCTTGCGCGGCGGTGAGCGCCGCGTTTTGCTGAATCACGTCCTGCGCTTTGCGCTCGAACGCGTTGAAGATTTCACGCACACTCGCGCGCCAACTGTCCCACACGACACCGACAATGTGGCTCTCGATCGCCTCCGAGATGCCCGTTCCCGAGAGGCGCGCGCCGTGAACGGTAATCAGGGCCGAGGGCCGGCCCGCCGCGTTAGGCGGAGGCGGCGGAACGGGGAACGTCAGAATCGTCGTCGTGCGCGACAGAAGCGCGAGTTGCGGGAGGGTCTGCTGAGGCGAGCCCGAGCAGTGCGGGCACGTCACAAGCGAGTGGAACAGGCGCAGCGAACGCGCCAAAGGAGGGAAGATGTACATGGAAAGAGGCGTGTTGGACCCAGGCTTGGGCTCGAGAGGGTGCTGGTTTAACAGCGCGAGGACACGGGGAACCATCGTGACGTGCTGGCAAGCGGCCGGGTACTGCGCGCTCAGATTGTTCAGATTGAGCTCGCCCGTCGTGTCCGTGCCGGTCTGGTCCTGCTCAACGCCAAGATTGGCGTGCGACAAGTCGAGGAGGGCAAGGTGCGACTCGTCAATGTTGTCTATTCCTTGCGAATCCGTTCCGTCTTGCGTGCCGTCGGTGGCCTGGGTGCCGTCCTGCGCCGGCTGCTGCGCGACCGCGCTCTCATGCAGCGAGAAGATGGCATCACGGAGCGCAGACGTCTGCTGGTCCATGTCGGAGAAGGGCATGTGCTCGTTGGAGAAGTCGCCGCCGAACGAGTCCGTCGCCTGCTGCTGCGCCGCGTTATGGGGCAGGTTCTGGACGAACGTGGCCAGAGGCAGATCCGCGAGGTATCCGTCGATAGCGATAGACTCGAGCTGGGATGTCAGTTTCGAAGAAGGGGATGCAACTCACCATCTGCTCGTCCGTCATTGTCAAGAGGTGCTCGTCCTCGTCCTCATCGGCCAACCCAAGGTCCATGGCCATGCCCATGGCTACCCGCATGTCCATGGACTCTCCACCGAGACCCAACCCATCGCGCTGCAGCTTGCGCTTCTTGCCGAGCGTCCCAGCCAGCGACGAGAGGTGGGAACGGGCATCGAGAGCGTTGGCGAGCTTCTGGTCCTTCGGCACTGTTCGGCGACGTTGACGCGGAGCATACACACAGGCCCATCCTCCCTGAGCGCAGCGAGTGCATGAGGGACGATCTCCGGAACACTTTTGCTTGGCGGCATGGCACAAGTCACAGGCTGGGATGAGTCAGCTACACGTTTGCGGAGACCAGCTGGCCTACTCACCTTTACGGATCGATGGTGGCCTGCCAAATGATGTTCTAGGGGGAGGCTCGACATGATGAGGTGCGCTGAGGTTCAAGCTGAGATCGAGATCAGTGTCCTGAGTGGGGATGACATCCTCCTGGCCCTGCACGGGGATCTCGAGTCCGTGGACGTCGACCTCCTGATGCTGGGTGCCATCGTCCTTGTGAGTGGAGTGACTGAAATCGGGCTGCTGCAGGTTGTAAGGATGCTGCTGGTGGGGGGCAGGCTGTAAGTCTCCTAAGCCGAGCTGGGCGGCGGCAGCAGCAGCGGCAGCGGCAGCGACGGCGTCGTTGTCTTGCTGCTGCTGTGGGGTGAGATGGTCTTCCATCCTTAAACTTCAGAAGATGTCGCGGGCGGCGGGGTGCGCGCGCGCGAGGGGTGGAGGACGATGCCGGCGGCGGAGAGCGGCGGCGGGGGTACGCGAGGGTCTCTTGGAGTTATCTACGGCGTTAGATAACAGGCGTGATGCGGGTTGTGGCAGCAATGAGAGAAGTCCACATCGAAGGAAGACATAACCCCGTATGTGGCATGCGTTTTTCGCGACTCGTCTCTCTTTTCGCAACTTTACTCACGGAGGCAACCCGGGCCGGCCAGCGCAGTGGGGATCAGCTGGGCGGAGTCGGTTGGAAACGGTGGGAGGGCGGACGAAAGGTCGATGGGTGGATGGATGGAGTGGATGATGACGAGGAGGCCCTGGTCTGCAATGCGAAAGCTTTTCGTGGTGGTGGCGACGAGCAGGACGAGTCGTGAATCCTCACCGTACGGTGGTGCACCACCCTAACACCCCCCATCCACTCACCCACCTCGTCTGTTTTGGTCTCCCTCTACTTAGCCAGCTCCCATCCGAGCATGAAAATTACCTAATCAGGTCACAACGTGGAAAAATTTGCGGGAACATTCTTATCACTTCCCTATGTTTATCCCACGTGACCATGACTCAGCAACACACTTCCCGCTCGATCGCAGCCCAGTCCATGATGCAAGCATGTAATCTTGGGCCATGTTCTTGGTGACCAAGTTGAGCAGCAACCTATCTCCACACTCACAATCATGTCAACGACAGACGCCCCCGCCAAGCCGGTACTTTTCAAGAAGGGCCCGCGATCACGACCGAACCAGTCGCGCCGGAAACGCTCCGCGACGCCACCAGATGAGGACGCCAGTGGCGAGACCTCCGTCGTGCGACCGAACAAGACGTCGATCGCGAACCCGCTCGTGCAAGGGACGAAGCGGCGGCGAGACGATGCCGCAGCAGCCGGGGGTCTCGACGAGTTCGAATACAAGGCCGACGAGGGCGGGATCAAGGGCGACGACTTTGCGACGCGGTCGACGAACTGGGACATTGAGGGTCTGGAGCCGCACGAGGTCAAGGACAAGCGCATCAAGGTCAACGAGGACGGGGAGATCACGGTCGACGACGGGCTCTACCACGGTAAATCGGGCTACTTGCCCACGATCAACAAGCCAAAGGACGCGCGCGACGACCCGCGCTCCCTCAAGGGCCCGATGCGGGCGACCGCCAACATCCGCACGATCACGCTGGTCGACTACCAGCCGGACGTGTGCAAGCCGTACAAAGAGACGGGCTTCTGCGGCTACGGCGACAGCTGCAAGTTTTTGCACGACCGCGGCGACTATCTCGCCGGCTGGCAGCTGGACCAGCAGTTTGCCGAGGACGGCGCGCCCATCGAGCCCGAGAGCGAGGACGAGGAGATGCTCCCCTTTGCGTGCCTCATCTGCAAGAAGGAATTCGACGAGCCCGTCGTGACCAAGTGCGGGCACTACTTTTGCATGAAGTGCGCCGTGAACCGGTTCATCAAGAGCCCCAAATGCTATGCTTGCGGCGCGGCCACGAACGGGATCTTCAACAAGGCCGAGAAGCTGCTCGCCAAACTTGAGGCGAAGCAGAAGCGCAAGCGCGAGGCCAAGGGGATCAAGAGCGACGACGAGGACGAGGGGGGCATCGAGATTGGCGGGGCCTCGGACGAGGACGCCGAGGGCAACGAGAGCGAGTAGCGCACCCACGACTGGAGACCGAGTAGAGCAGCCCTTAGACCGCATTGTACCTTCTAACTCCATCATTTATGCCAGCATTTGTATCAGTACCGTCCATCCTCGCCTTGCAGACACTGACGCTTCTCTCCACTGACGAATCTCAGCTCATCGTCGAGCAGCGGCGTCGGCGTCGGACGCCTCCCCGCCCCTGCGGACCCAGTCATCCAGTTCCCGTTCGTATAACGGCTAGTATGCTCGCTTGTCATGACAGACCGCGGGAGATCGGAGTTCGATTCTCCGACGGGAAGCTTCAAGTCTCATGAAGGCTGTATCTTTTATTGGAGGAGAGCCGGGGGCGAGCGAAAGGTTTCGGGGAGGGAGGCTCGGTGGCGTCAGGGGATGGGCTTCGGGGTCGGGCTGCTGGCAAGAGGGGTCCGCCACTCCCAAGCATGCTCTGTCTATTTTGTAGAGCATGGCTTGGACTGTCTCGCTGAACAGAGTGTCACACGCTCGGACTGTCTTTAAGAGTCCATGCTGACCGTGCAGTCCGGAAATCCAAGCGCGAGAACTTTGAGCGCTGACAGGAAGGCAGGTGGAGATGGTCACGTGACAGTGTGGCACTCGTTGGAATGGTTTCCGTACGTGGTGTCAGTCGTCAACCCCTATGTTCCTACAGCAGCGACCCAGAGGATCATGTATGACAGCCTATATGTTTCCTGGTCTTTGGAAACCCTGGTTATCCCTCCCTGATGGCCGTGCTGTCACGGTATGTGTGTGGTCCGAGAGCGTGGATGGGTGGCATTTCCTGGTCTTTTGCCAGTTGCCTTTCCGCACCGATTCCGTCGAACAGTGGGATTGACATGGTCTGCTGTGGACAGGTGACTGTGCTGGGGAGTGTAGCCGCTGCCGGTGAAGGGCAGTGGAGAGGCTGTGACGCCCTCGTGACCACTGTCAGCCCTTGGATGATTGGACTGGCATCTGCCGATCGAGTCCTCCTTCCAGCGCTCCTTTAAGACGAACTCAAACTTCAGTCTGCATCAACGTCCAGCCAGTCCGGTGAGCATATCAAGCCCAGGAAGGACAGATCTGCTACTTCGGAACGCTTCTCGTCCCACCTGGTGCACTTGGTGGGACATTGCCTATGGGATTGCACCACACCTGCGGTTCAACGCAGTAGTTGCCCCGAGTCTCCTCGAATTGCAGAGCAGGAGAACAGTCAATGCCCCGTCGCTGGAATGATGGATACCCCACCGTGTCCGAATTGGCAGAGTGCGGAGCATGCAAAGATGAGGATATCGTCCACCCTCTCCATGCTGCATGGAGGAAGGTGAGCTCAAGAAATGAGTTGCAGGATAGACATCCATCTGCCTTGGATATTTTGAGCATGGCACCCTGTGAAGCCTCTACGTACTCACACATCTGACAACTGCACAAGAAATCCTCTGTTCGAAGATTTGCAGTCTGCAGCCAGATACTGAGGTAAGAGACACAGGGAGGAAGACGGTCGCCGCCACAAGCCGACGCAGACTGGGGTGCCACAAGCCACGCCCACCACCACACTTCACCACGTCCTCCGCACAGCCACGCTCCCACCACTTCCTGCAGCGCAGTCATTCCAAAAGTAGCTCGAGGTAGCTCGCACGACCTCGCCCTGAACAGAACGCAGACATCCCGACGACGGACCCTCGCTTACACGTCTTTTTGCACGGAATATCACCGATAGCTCACCAGCGGCCGCCTCTCATGTCACATGCCGGCATCGCCTCAACACAGTTCGCATCTTTCAGTCGTTCAGCAGAGTGAGCCAGAGCCAAGGACAAGGACAAGGATCCCGGCGGTCGGCGGTCTATGCCGTAGGTGGTGATCGTCTCTGCGGCGATCGCAGCACCAACCAACGAGCCAACGGGGACGCAGTGTCGCAGTCCAGGGTAGGCATGGCCCCTGGATGATCGGCGTCCCCGTCCTCTGGGTCCTCTGGGTCCTCTGGGTTCTCTGGGTGCTCTGGCACCCTCCTTACGTTTCTGAGCAGTCTCGTTCCTCTACCACTCGCTTCGTCTCGAGCGTGGAGGTCTGCGTATGGCGCGTCAGTCGCCAGTCGTGTCTTGGCCACCAGGCCAGGGGAATGGGAGTGGGTCGTCTGCGCGGTGTATGAACCTTCTTCCATCGCTCCTGACATTGGGACTGGTGGGATTGGACACAGCGTCGCGAAATAGGTCCCTCTTGCGCGCGTAGCAGTGGGCCTTCCATGTCTACGTACCTACGTCAATCCTCGCACTCACTCGGTTTTGTGAAGGGGTGGACAGATGCAGCGGACCAGTGCTAGTGCCGTGGGATGCGACGCCGACGTCAGGTCCGCAGACGACCCGTAGTTTCTGACAGTCTGTCTGGGAGTTGCAGGGCAGGCAGGGCAGGCACACTCCAGATCCGCCCGAGGCCCGAGGCCCGAGGCCCGAGGGCCATGGGCCGAATGCAGCCCGAATGCAGCCCCGATCTGCGCGCAGCTCTGCTCAGCTAGCTCAGCTGCTGCTCGGGCATCGCCTCCTCCCATCCACCCATCCCCTGTCCTGCATGTCCTGTGTGCATGCAGTGCGCAGCCTCGCAGCCAGCCCACACGTCATGAGCAGCAACCCCATATGAAGTAGGAGTGAATATGCCATGTCCCAGAGAGTCGATATGGCCCACCGATGGCACCAGATCTACCAGACTGACGTAGAGTGTCCCCGTTTGACATGAGAAGAAAGGAAAAAGAGTCGCGAACGAGGACCTCGAATCAATTGGTTATGTCATACTCAATGACAAGCACCGAATGTGCGACATGAACGACCAGCCTTTGGCCTCTTTCGCCTGGCCTGCCATTCTCCTTCATGTGCGGTCATGCAAGGCGCTTGGCACCTGATGTAGAGAAGTGATCGACCCAGCCTTGCTGACTACCTCGAGAGCTCCGGATCCATTCTGTCGGAACGAACAAGACGCTCGTCGCATACCCCCCGTCGCACTCTCCGTCTTCGTGTCCGAAGACCAACCGACCCCCATCGTCGAGTGTTGACAGTATCGAAGGACAGCGGAAGATTCGGGATTAGGCTTTTGCATTGAGAGCATAAACCTGTAATCCAATCTGGACCAGGCTCTACGGAGTGGTGTATCTCCGAGGACCGAGGAAAGGACAAGATTAGGCTGTTTGTTTGGGTAGTGGGTTCCGAGTTCTGGCCCAGCGGTCGCCCATTCGCTCCATACGCTGCAACGGCTGGAGGAACTGGCTCACTACCAGTCAGTTATTTACACTGGCTGACTACTTTGGCCGATTGCACGCTCATGCTGCCCGGAATAGACCACCGCTGGTATGTGTGATGCAGTGAGATCCTGTGAATTTCCAGTTGGCCCAGATGTGGATGCATGCAGCAGTGCTCGGTGATGAGAAGGGGGGGGGGAGAGTGCATTCCGCGTTCCTCCTTGTTCGCGCGTCTCGACCAGACAAGACGCCAAGGCAGGAGGAGGAGAAGAGTGGGCTGGATGATCACTCGGGCGCCATGGGCACTCTCAGACGGGCGTACGGGCGGCGCGTCAATTAAATGAAATGGGTGAAATGACGCGCAAAGCAAAGGCTGGGGGCATTAGACCTGGAGTGAGTGCGAGACCACGTGGTGGAGTGCAAGGCAAGGCAAGGGTCAAACCGCGCTGTGAAAATTGAATCCGCGCGTCGGTCGCTGGCCACGGTGGGTGGGTGGGTGTCAGGTGAGTCAAGTCTGGGCAGTGGTTGCCGTTGCAAGCCGGGCTCTCTGTCCTCGCATCCTCGCACTGTGCCTGCCGCTAGAGCGAGTGCCCAGCCAGCCCGTCCAGCCCAGCCAGCCCGCCAGCTGCAGCCAACCAACCAACCAGCCAGCCAGCCAGCGAGCGAGCAACCAGGGAGTGCGTCCCACCACCACTGCAACCATCTCTCACCCTCACTCGCTCACAGTCACTTGCTCTTGCTGCTCACAACCACTCGACCATCGTCCCTACCGTCCATCCCGACATCTACGCTTCGACCCAGCCAACACACCCGCCCACCCAACGCCCAGCCCACCTCCTCGACCACACCCCACCCCCCCTTCCCCCCGGTCCACCAAACCACGTCAACCACTCTCATCCACCGGCCCATGCGCCCATCACCTACATCCCAACATCCCCCGCCCCCCGCCTGACACACACTCGAGTCCTCCGGGTCAACAAGGCGGAGCAGTACAAGGTGTACCGCCGGCCGATCCCGCTTGAGCTGCTCGTGCTCATCACGCCCGAGGACCACTTCAACAGCGCGCGGTCACGAAAGCTCATTTCTCGCGGCACGAACAAGACCAAGGAAGGCGTCCACGTCCCGTCGTCGCCGTCAGCAACCCACACTCCGCCCTTGACTCACACACATCTACCCCTCCGAACACCCCTGTCACTCTCCTCCCACAATGTCCTTGCCCCCCGGACAGCGACCTGGCGGCGCGCGCCCCCAGCGACCACCGTACGGCCATCCCGCTCACCCCGGCCACCCAGGACAGCCCCAGATGGGCCGCCCGTCATCGCGCAACGCCGCTTTCGAGAACATCTTTGGACGCCCCGCCGGCGGACACCATCTCGGCGGCCCAGGTCCCATGGCACCCGGCCCGCACGGCGGCCCGCCCCACGCACAGCGCGCACCCTACCCCGGTGCACCAGCTTACCCGCCCGCGAACCCCGCGCAGCCCAGCTTCCCCCCGACGCAGCCGACTGCATTCCCCCACCCCGGCGCGCCCAAGCCGCACGGCGGAGCACCGAATCCCTACAGCAACTACCCCGCCGAGGCGTACCGCGCACCAGCACAGCAGCAGGGATACGACGCATCGAACAGTGGCGCGTACGCGAACATGCGAGGTCCGAGCTATAACGTGAGTTGAAAGAGGTGTTCGCGCGCCAGATTCGAGACACCGCGATCGCGATCGGCGCGCACCTCGCGTTCCGCACGAACGTGACTGACCTCGCCCCCCAGCCGCAGATCCAGCAACTCCAGTCAGCAGACGCTGTCCCGAACCGCCGCACATCGCTCAACCAGAACACGCAGAGCGGCAGGCAGTACTTGCAGCGCGCGCCGACGCAGACGTCGTACAACTCGTACCAGTCGCCCGGAGATCGTCTTCCCCAGGTCCAGGAGCGTCTGCCCCACATCTCCGTCATTCCTAACGGTGGCAGCGGAGGAGGGTCAGGACAGCCTGTAGCTCCACTCCAGCAGCAGAAGACGGGAGGCAGCGTTGTCATGCCCCATCCCAGGTCCATGTCTGGTAGTGCCGCCACGGGCCTGCAGCCGATGACCCAGGCGTCCGTGCCGCCCCGCTCGCGCTCCCTGCACCACCAGGGCGGGCGCCCGCCGCCGCAGAGCAACCCGTCGCAGGACTCGTCGCGCATCCGTGTCAACATCCCGTCCCCCACTATCAGCGGAGGAGGGATTATGCCCTTCCCGGAGATCCAGACCGAATCGACCATCTCTGGACGCCACAGCCATGACCAGGACTCGACAGACTTTTCGCGCGCGATGAGCGACCTGAGCCTGAACAACGGCAACGACTCGATGCACGCGACGACGAGCGAGTCGTCCTTTTACGCGGACTCGATCAGCGGCCTTCCCCGCGACAGGCGGAGTGACCACCACCTTCGTGCTTGGGACGGTGGCCAGGAGCCGCAGGAGAGGTTACATGACATCAATCGTGAGTCGTTATCCTGGCGTTACACACGCCCCCCGAGACACAACAACACATGCTCACACCGTTTCCAGCCTCACGCCAGCCGGTCGCCTCGGGCTCCAAGATGCCAATGCATCGACGTCAGCCGTCTGACTCTTCCATTGCGAGCAGCATATACACCGTCAACGGACGCATGGCGTAAGTGTCTCTAGTTCAACATCACGGTGGCCAAACGCCGGGGCGGCACGTGCTTGCGTCTTTTGTCCTCTACCCCTTGGTGTCAATAACAAGCCGCCGTCACCGTGACACAGTCATTGACGTCTTTTCCAGACCGCTTTCCCAGATCGATAACACGGGCCTTGCGTACGATTCGGCCATTGGATCTCCAACCACCCCGAACGGCTCAGAGAACGGGTACCCGACTATGAATCGAGTGACCCGCAAGTCGATGGAGTCCACCCATTCGCTGCCCCTTCCTCAAGAGTCGCCACTACCGCCTGGAGCCGCCAACAGTGTCTACGACCACCGCGCCATGTCGTTCTCGGGATCAGGTGTGAACCGCAGGGATGTCGTCCAGGCGGTGCGCTCGTCGTCCATCAAGTCGCCTTCCGGATCTGGTATCGGTGCCCTCGGCATCACGCTCGATAATGTCGGCAACTCGCCCGTCAAGTCGACAAAGTCGATGAAGCACAGCACCCCGCCCATTGTGCCTGCCGACATTGAGGTTGACGCCATCCCTGCGCTGCTTTCGACTGTCGCCGAGGCGTTCCGCACGATCATCAAACCGACCGAAATGATCAAGGACGGCATCACGTACAAGGACGCATTCGACGGAAGGACCGCCGTCACGCTCATTGCGAGGATTATTAACACTGATGATCGCAATCTCGCCCTTCTGCTGGGCCGAGCACTCGACGCGCAAAAGTTCTTCCACGACGTCGCCTACGCCCACCGTCTACGCGATACACCTAATGAAGTGTACCAGTTCAAGGAGCGGTTGGTGGCCCCGTTCACGCAGCCCGGAGCGGCCGACTCGCCCTCGAGCGACCACTTGAACCTGTTACGCCCTTCCTCGACTGGCAGCGCCGTTAGAGGCGGCGGTGCCGCTCCTTCCATCCACTCGACAAACTCGGTCTTCTTCAACAATGCGACCGGAGGCGGCACGCCGCGGCCGTCGCCGGGCGTCGACGGCGCCACCCCACAGTCGTCAGACGACGAGAGCGACGATCTGCCGAACGGAGTGTTCACGCTGCTGACCGAGTGTTACTCGCCGACGTGTTCGCCCGACGCTCTCTGTTACTCGATCTCGTGTCCGCGCCGACGCGAGCAGATTGAGCGCCTCAACATGAAGAGCGCGCACCCCGGTCTGCAGCGGGAGGTCGAGGACAATGTCGACGACGTCATTGTCAAGCCGACCGGCACGCTCTGGATCGACTCGGTTTCGCAGGAGATTCTCGATTCCGTCGACGACCAGGAGAAGAAGCGCCAGGAGGCCATCAACGAGGTCATGTACACGGAGCGCGACTTTGTGCGCCACCTCGAGTACCTGCGCGACTTCTGGATGAAGCCGCTGCTCTCGTCCGAGGTCGTCCCGGCTAACAGGCGAGACGAGTTTGTGCACCAAGTCTTCTGGAACGTGCAGGACGTGCTTTCTGTCAACCACGTGCTGGCTGAGCGCCTGACGAAGCGCCAGAAGCAGCAGCCCGTCGTGCAGTCGATCGGTGACATCTTCCTCGAGTGCGTCCCGCACTTTGAGCCGTTTGTCACGTATGGAGCGCACCAGCTGTTCGGCAAGTACGAGTTTGAAAAGGAGAAGGGCGCGAACCCGGCGTTCCAAAAGTTTGTCGACGAGACGGAACGCAAGCCCGAGTCGGACAAGCTCGAGCTGAACGGATACCTGACGAAGCCGACGACGCGTCTCGGCCGATACCCGCTGCTGCTCGGTGCCGTCCTGAAATACACGCCGGACGACCACCCAGACAAGACGGACCTGCCGGTTGTGATCGAGATGATCCGCGAGTACCTGAAGCGTGTCAACACGGAGACGGGCAAGTCAGAGAATGTGTTTGAGCTCGCGCAGCTCGAGCGCCAGCTCGTGTTCCGCCAGCACGAGAACATTGACCTTCGCCTCAGGGATAAGAACCGTGAGCTCGTCCACAAGGGCCCCATGAAGCGTCGTGGCGGCACGCAGGGCGAGAATGCCGACCTGATTGCGTTCCTGTTTGACCACGCTTTCCTGCTTGTCAAGTCCAAGTGGGTCAACAAGGCGGAGCAGTACAAGGTGTACCGCCGGCCGATCCCGCTTGAGCTGCTCGTGCTCATCACGCCCGAGGACCACTTCAACAGCGCGCGGTCACGAAAGCTCATTTCTCGCGGCACGAACAAGACCAAGGAAGGCGTCCACGTCCCGCCCAAACCCGAAAGCAGGCACGGATTCTCGATTACCGTCGTGCACCTCGGCCGCAAAGGATACCAAATCCAGCTGTGGGTCGACACGTACCAGAGCCGCAAGACGTGGGTCGAGAACATTGAGAAGCAGCAGCAGATCATTCGCGACCGGTCCACGATCTTTACGAGCGAGACGATTTCGGAAAATTACTTCCAGGGACTCAGACGGATAACGTGCGTCAGTCCTTACGACAATGGCAACCGCATGATTTACGGTACCGACGAGGGAGTGTACTTTTCCAACCTGCGCGACCCCAAGCTGCGCGAGCCCGTCAAGGTCATCAACCTCGTGGACGTTACGCAGGTCGACGTCATTGAGGAGTACCAGCTGCTGGTGGTTCTGCACGAGCGCTCGGTCACGACGTTCCCGCTCGACTGCCTGGACCCGAACGACCCGAATGCGGCGCTGAAGCGCGGCAAGCGCATCTCTAGCCACACGAGTTTCTTCAAGTCTGGCATCTGTCTCGGGCGCACGCTCGTTGCGGTTGTCAAGAGCTCCCCGCTCAGTTCGACTATCAAGGTGCTCGAGCCGATCGACCAGAACATGCGTGGCAAGAAGCCGCAGACGGGCTTCATGCGCCGCATGAATGGTGGGCAGGAGAGCCTCAAGGTGTTCAAGGAGTTTTACATTCCGCTCGAGTCGTTCAACATCCACTTCCTCAAGACCAAGCTCTGTGTCGGGTGCCAGAAGGGCTTCGAGATTGTCGACCTCGAGACGCTCGACATGCAGAGTCTGCTGGATCCCGAGGACTCAAACCTGGACTTTGTGCTCAAGCGCGACGGCGTGCGGCCCATGGCCATCTACCGCATCGAGGGCGACTTCCTGCTGTGCTACAACGAGTTTGCGTTCTACGTCAACAAGAACGGGTGGCGTTCGCGCGAGAAGTGGGCCATCATCTGGGAGGGCCAGCCGACGTCGTTCGCGCTGCAGTACCCGTACGTCATTGCGTTCGAGCCCTCCTTCATCGAGGTCCGGCACGTCGAGACGGGCCATCTCGTGCAGATCATCCCCGGCCACAACATCAACTGCATGTTTGCCGACATGCCGCCGTCGACGGTGAATGCGCCCCCGCCGCCACGACAGCTCATGTACGGCGGCCAGCAGCCTCCGCCCAACATGTACGGCCGCCCGCCGCAGATGTACCCGCAGACGACTGGCGGGCCGTACGGCGGCTATGCCAATGGGCCGAACGGCATGGCGCAGCAGCAGCGTATGCACGGCCCCGGGTACGGGTCGATGCAAGGCCGCCCGCCCATGCCGGGCATGCCGCAGCAGTACATGGGCCCCCAGCAGATGATGCGTCCCCCAGCAGGCCCGCAGCACAACTTTGCCTTCCGCCCCCAGGTCATCTTCACGAGCGACGAGCACCATGTGCAGTTCCTGAAGCTGCCGCCGCGGGGGAGGCGGGGCAGCGACGCGAAGAGTATAAAGAGTATGAAGTCAGTCCGAGCCTAGGGCCCGTAGGGCCCGGCGAGGACTATCGTCTAGGCGCTCGAAGGGCCCGCAAGGTCCGCCGAGCCAAGTTATCACGCCTCGCATGTCGGAGGACTCCACGCTCAGCTCAAGTGACGTCTACCCGCCCCGCATACCCATAGCCCCAGTGCGACGAGCAGCCTACCACCCACCCCACCACACCAGCAACTTTTCTCCCCTTAACTTGGTTAATCACGTTTTTCCTTCAAGTTGTAGCATCATGCATGTGGATTGCACTCGAGAGCACGAGCGAGCGCACGCCGAGCGCAGCGAGGCGTGAGTGCGAAGGGCAGTGGGCACTGAGCACTGAGCGGAGCGAGGTGCCTCGTCTCGTGCGGAGAGTCAGGAAGGGAAAGGAACGAGCGTGGGAAAGTTTACGCGTGGACCGAGATTGCCCCTGGCCCTTTACGCGTCTCACCTGTCCACCTGTCCTGCAAGTTCCTCAGCCTTACCCTTCTCCTCAACAATCACAATTCATAATGTCTGCGCCGCCCTCGCCAACACTGAGCGATAGCGAGCTCCTGGAAGGTCTCGAGGAGAAATTCGACCTCGGCAAAGAGAGGGAAAGGCGCCTAGCGGCTCTGAAGGAACAGAGCGACAAAGCCAAGAGACTGCAGGAGACAGAGTATGGAAGGGTGGTGACGTATGGCGATGAGAAGAAGCTGATTGAGCGCATGTCGTGAGTGTCGTGAGTTATCCCCTATGGTATCCCCTATCCCCCTCTCTCTCTGTTGTGGGCCGACGCTCGCCGACGCTCGCCGAGGCACTCCCCGGCCACTCTGTCGCTGTGGTGTCAAGCCGCCGACTGGGCGGCCCGGCGGCCGTGGACGACGACCGGGTGCTCGTTGGAGTCAGCGGGCACGGGGGGCACGGTCCCGCGGCCGCGAGGCCGCACGATCTCACGGCCTAAAGGTTGACAGCCTGACGGCCTGGTACACCTCAATCGGCCTCACTCGTCCCGCGGCCTCCGGCCTCGTTCGGCCTCGCTCGGCCTCGTTCGGCGCGGACAGCTCGCTAACGCTCGCTCGCAGTAAGGAGAAATGGTGCATTATCCACTTCTTCCACCCCGATTTCCCGCGGTGTAGGATCATGGACAAGAAGCTCGACGTAAGTGCCCCCTTCCTCCGCTCCTTCGTTCCTCTCTCGCTACCCCATGTGCAGCATCGCACACCTCGCACACCTCGCACACCTCGCTCCGCCCGCTCCGCCCCGCTCGGCGTTCAGTTCTATCCCGCTCGCCTCGCACTCCTTCGGAGCGCTCGCTGACAAAGAAAGGAATTGGCGCCCAAATACCCGCACACGCTCTTCCTCCGCGCCTCCGTCGCCGACATTCCCTTCCTCGTCGGCAAATTGGGCATCCAGGTCCTGCCCTGTGTCTACGTCTTTGTCGACGGCAGAGGGACAGACAGATTGATCGGGTTTGAGGACCTCGGGCATAATGACAATTTCACGACGGCCGCGCTCGAGTTTAGGCTGAAACAGAGTGGTGAGTTCCGCCGCCGATGCTGAGCCTCTGCCAGCTCTGCCGTCAGGCAGAGGCCGGCAGAGGCGAGGCCCCTGCTACTTTTTCTTTAAATCGTGTATTGTGCGATGAGCCACTGGGTCAGCAGGTCAGCACTTTCGAGACTAGCACGGCCATCAATTCTAGCTAGCTAGCTCGGATCGGGTGCTACACGGACGCTCTCCCGGCTGCTCACTCTCGCTCACTCCCCCTCACTTATCGCTCGATCGGCGTACTAACACCAGGCGTTCTCCACTCCGGCCCAATCACGCTCGCGTCCCTCGTCGGGGAGAGGAAGGCGGTCGACTCGGACGAGGAGAGCGACGACGAGCGGCACACGGACGACAAGGCGCGCCGCGCGCGCAGGGGCAAGGTCGGGATTCGGAATGGGATTGCGAACCTCGGCGAGGACTCGGACTAGTCCTGGGCCGAAGGGCCGAAGGCCCGACTGCCTTGACTGCCTTGACTGGCTGGCCCATGGCCCCGCTCTCAGTTCTAGGTTCTCAGATGGAGAGCTGAGGAGTGCTGGCAGTATGGGCGGAGGGAATAGGGATGGAGGTGAAGAAAGGGAGAGAAGCGGAGGGAGTTAGGGATCAAGACCATCTTGTACACTTTCATGCATTGTCACGGCACATATTACTTCTGACTGCACTACACACACTCTCCTTCTGTCTCGCTCCGCGGCACTGCGTGCCGCTCCGCTCATGCACGCGCGCCCGCCGCCTCGCGCATCGCCCTGTAGATCGCCTGCACCTCTGGCCCTTCCTCAACCCCGCCCTGACCCTGGGTGTCCTGGGCCGTATCGAGCGCCTCGCGCATGTGCTTTGGGTTTGTGGATCCACACAGTGGATGGATACCCCAGCTGCCTGTCAGCTCTGTTCCTTATTGCGATAGCTCACAGAATGGCACAGCGGTATATCGCCTGCTGGGGCGTGAGGCCGTTATCCCTCGCCAGCTGCACGAGCGCGGGGAATCGGAGCAGGGACGGGGAACCAGTCAGCGTCCAGAAGGACTGGTACTCTATGCCCTTCTTCTTGCACAGGTCAAGCACTGAGGTCAGCTCAAATCTCCCTTCTACTTTGCTGCGACCATCGATAGAGTATGATGGGTCGGCACCGCACCCCTGGCGGGTGCGGTCCCCGACGCACTTACCATCCCAGTCCCACCCGTTTCCCTCGTACCACCTGTTCTGCACCGTTTTGATGTCGCACCCAGCGTCGAGGAGGGATTGGAGGTAATTCGCGTCGTAGATGTTGGAGATGCCGTATTGGCCGATGGTGCCGTTCTCCACGAAAGTGGCCAGGGTGCGGAGGGCTGAGAGCGTGTCCTGGTTATGTCAGCTTGCGAGACCGCGTTTTCAGCTGTTAGAGCAGCCTGCCTCCGGCAGTCCGCGGCCCACTCACATCACGCCGCCGCATCGGCGAGTGCAGCAGGATGCTGTCTATCTTCTGCACGCGGAGGTTTTGCAGTGACTTGGCCACGCTCTGCTTCACTTGTTCCTCGACTGGCATGTTTGGATCATACGGCAGAGGCTGTGACCGATCCTGCCCGTCGATTGAGGTGAATCTGGCGTCAGCTGCGGCCTCAACAACTACCAGCTGCCTTCCCCGCCTTTCCCGGAGCATTTACTCACTTCGTCTGCAACCAAACATCCTCCCGCTTCACGATCCCCTCGTCAATTGCCTTCGCCAGCCCCTCGCCGACGAGATCCTCGCTGTCGCGGTCAGCTTTCGGTCTGGCGCTTTTAAGCTCACCGGTAATGTTTGGGCTGGCACGCCGTGTCGATCCCCCGGAACCCGGTCTTCAAAGCCGTGTACACGAGTCCCGCTGTTGTGTCCTTCTTCCACGCCGTGCCGTAGAGTATTGCGGGCGGGAGGCGCATGTCGCTGCTGCTGCTCATGGTTGAGTTGGAGAAGACGAAAGAGGGGCGCTGGGAACGGCACTTGACGTCACGGGAGTGCAGCGGAGGTCGGAACCAAACAAGATGTGCCTGGTGGAGGTTTGCAGGTCGCGCTTCACTCATGTCAACACATCTCCACTGTCTCCTCTTCCTACGTCTGGCAACCCGACCTCGAAACGAACGGCACTGACGTTACAGTTGCTTCTGGCATGCTACTGAACCGCACAGCTTTGCAAAATGTTTTCCCGCTGTGAAGGGTCGTAGAGCAAAAAGCAAAAAGAGCGGAGGCCAGGCGCCGAGCGAGGCCTGGTGTGGAGCCCAAGATGAATCGAACCTAGTACGGGTCCGACTCGACTGGACCGCTTAACCAGGACTTTCCCTCGGCGGCCAATAGCCCGTTGCGCTATGGACTGATGTTCGATCCGGAATGCTGCCGAGAGACCCCCTGTCCCGGCGCACGTGATTGGCCACTGGACCACGCGAGCTAAGGGGGACACGTGACTGGATCCAGACAGGCTGGCACTGGCTCAAGTTACCAACCGGGCCCTCCCCCTCTTCCACCCCTCCTCCTACATGGGCGCGCGCACCTCCATCTCTCCAAGCCACAAACAACAAAAGATCAAGCTGCCGTTAAGCAGCTCTGAGCTTCCCGTCGGAGAATCGAACTCCGATCTCCCGCGATCAATCATGACAAGCGAGCATACTAGCCGTTATACGAACGGGAACTCAATGTTCGGCGTGTGTGCTGCGTCGTCCGCTCCCGTGGCTGCGTCGCGGCGCCGCGAGTGGCAGCGATGGAGCAAGCATCAGCACAAGGAGTTAGGGGGGAAGCTGCTATGAAGAGCTGTCACCAAAGGAGACGTCTTGCGACATGAGCATGTGTTTTCAGGGCTCACGGTGATACGCCTTCGATGAGGGTGCTCATGGTACGCGGATAGAGACACTCATTCAGACAACAGTTTGCTACAACTTTACGAGGTGGCGAATGACTTCAAGCAGCACACGAGACACCGGTGCAAACGGTGGCGTCCGTGGCAGGCGCCTCGGCCTCTGTGCGCGCCTTCTTCTCGCTCTCTTCCTTTCCATTCTGGGCAGCCTTGCGCTTGGCCAGATACTCCTTCTTCCACTTGGCGCGCTCCTGGCCACGGGCGATATCCTCCTGGGCACGCTTCTCGCCGACGTCAAAGTCCTCACGGAGCCAGCTCCAGCGCGTCTCGGGGGGAATGTAGTTGTCGCCGCGCTTCTCCTCGGTCCATTTCTCGTACGCGTCCTCGCCGGACACGTAAGCGTCGAGCATCTCGCCAAAGGGCAGGTCGTTGTGAATGAGGAAGGCGCCGGAGAGCTCGCCGTCCTTCAGGCGGTAGATCATGGGCACGCCGCGGATCGCCCACTCCTTGCGAGGCCAGAGGTTATTGTCGAAGCTGGGGTCAGCATCTATATGGCAGGGGGAGGGCTCACTCATCAAGGGTAAAGGGAACGACAAGGGCGTCTGAATCGTGTCAGCAGGAAACTAACCAAACGTATGCGCAACGTACGGTGCTCATCTCCCTTGAAGACGCGCTCGATGTCGGGCGCAGCCTCGTTGCACGAAGGGCACCAGCTCTTTCCGTCCTCGTCCTTGGAGCCAGTGAAAACGACGAATGTCTCCGACGGCGCAGCCTTGATGTCGGCCTTGAGCGTGTCCCAGCTGTTTTGTTAGCGAACGGGACCACTTTGTCAAGGATCGGGGGCTCACTTGGTGTCCTGAAGAGGCATGATGAGGTTTGTCGGTAAGGGGGTGATGAAAGGAAGCTGTCAGGAGAACGACAGCAGTTATAGTCCGAGCTAGAGTGATAGCGAGTAGAGTTCTCAGCTTATCGTGTGAGGCAGCAAACAAACATCTCTAGCGGGGCCCTGGTCCGTGTGAGCCCCGGCTCTAGCGCGCTTTGCATGCGCATACACTAGACTCTCGCAGCAACTCCTGGCTGCTTCTTCTGCCTAGCAGGAGATCTTACCCCGCGTTTAGGCCTAAACCGATGACAGCACGCAGCACACTGCGGTCACGGGTTGATCGCCGACAGCCTCGGAGAAAGGATGGCGCGATCGGCGTGGTGGCCGTTGAGCCCGACCCACACGGTAAGTAGCTCCCTCGGGTCCAGGCGGGGCGACCTCTCCCCGCCCATGGCCGCCCAGCAGACAAGCAACGTGCTCGTCTGTGCCATAGCCTGTGGATAAAGGACTGCGACCCTTTCTCGGACCGTCGGTCCGGTCAGCCTGACCCAAAGTCAGTTGAAGTTTATCACCGTGCAAACCTCATTCCGTTACACTCCCCCACCCACCGCGACGCGACTGATTTCGTGCATGGCAATGTTCATCCAGTCACATGATCGCAGCCGTCTGCATGCACCACATGCTACACCCCCTTTCGACTTGTATAGCGTGCTAAAGAGGTCAGATGACGGCGCGGAAAGCAGGCAGACTAGTCCCAAAATAGCCCCTGCCAGTGGGTCAGGCACGCTCTTATATCCGGACTGGAAGGATAGGCGTGCTGCACATCTCTGAACAGTGTTCATGCAATTCCTGTACAAGCAACCCGACACCCAGATTATGTTTAGCTTTGACGAATGGCTTTGAACATCGGTCTTTGAGAGTGTAGTCGCAGCCTGTGTACTCTTGAAACGGCGGGGGCCACCGCAATCAGCGTACGCTCACTAGCACCGGAGGTCAGGAGGAGCTGGGGTCCTGAGCTTGCGCCTGCAGCAGCCCCTTGAATCACTACAACGACAGAGGCGTGGCGTCAGATGACATTTAGCACGCCTGATGAGCTGTGTTGGTGCATGTGTGTTATTCTACCGCCGCCTCTAAATTTCGAAAACTCATGATAGTGCCACAATCCTCGACCTCAAATAGCACCATCAACGCACCAACTACCCCGTCCTCCCTTTCTCTCCGCCGCACGTCCCAACCAGTGTTCGACGCAAAAAATCAAGCCCATAAGGAGTTGTTGTGCTTCCTGTCGGAGAATCGAACTCCGATCTCCCGCGATAGTCCTTGACAAGCGAGCATACTAGCCGTTATACGAACAGGAACTGGACGGAAGTCCGAGAGGGCGCTGTGCCGGTCCGTCGCCGGCGCGGTGGGCGGTTGGCGAGCTTGGGGGAAGGTGTTAGCAGGGCAGCTTGTGTGCTGTGAACTTGCGGTACCCTATCTGTACCCTCCGTCTGTTGTAGAGCCGTGCTCGCAACGATGGGCGGATGGATGGCCGAACGCCTCAGGGGTGCGTGCCACTCCGCAATCTGGTCAGCTGATTACAAACGTATCCTAGGATGCTATCATACATTATTTAGGAAAAGCAAATCCTAATCCCAATTAAGTCAGTGGCACACCGAAATCACCCCGTCCCTCAAGCCACCCACCCTCCATCCAACCATCCGTCCATCCGACCGTCAATGCAACAAAACCAAAAGGATCATGCCTCCACAGAGGACTTCATGCTTCCCGTCGGAGAATCGAACTCCGATCTCCCGCGATAGTCCTTGACAAGCGAGCATACTAGCCGTTATACGAACGGGAACACCTGTGGTGGTGTTGCGCCCTGCGGCGCCGCGTCTGGCGGCTCGCGCCGCCGGTGCAACGAACGCGGGAGGATGCAACCTCGGTGCGCATGGCACCTGGAAACGAGGGGCCAGTCGATTCATCCTGCTACAAGAGAAAGGGTACATTGCTCTGCGAGTATCGGACGTTCCTTCTTCGCTTCCGTCGTACTCTTTTCGTTCAAATTTCATTCACTGAACCTGCTTCGGACTGCCCCCTCCTTCCTAAAACCATGGGTCCACAGATCGACAACGTCGACCCCGTTATGCCAAGAGCTGGCCAAGGAGGGAGTTGGGGAAACACTTGGTCGCGACCGCGTCCACGCCCGCGATGATGGTCGCGAGCTCGACGAGTTCCTTGCCGCCCACGTCGCGGATCCCCTTCACGGTGCGCACGGCGCGGAAGCGGGAGATGGTCTTTTTCATGTCGCCAAACTTTTTGAAGATCTTGACGATGCGGACCACCTTCGTGATGGGGAAGGCGTTCATGCCCAGCGCGACGCCCATGGCCGTGAGACACTTGGGCGCATTGAAGGGTTTGTCGGCGCGCGCGTCGAGGTCGAGGGTTCCTTCGGTCCCGTCCGTCTCGAAGATGGAGAGGGCACGCTCAGTGTGCGGAACCCAGAGGTTGGAGGAGAGCCAGGACGCAGTCGCGTCCTCTCCCGCATCGAGCACGTCGGCGGGGATGCTGTCCAGCCGGTCTAGGAGGGCCGAGGTCTCGGGGTCCAGCTCAAAGTCGTCGTCGTCAGTGTCGTCAGTGTCGTCGTGAGCCACCATATCGATGTCTCGGGCTTCGAAGGCAGAGTCTGCCAATACGGGAGCGGAGTCGGGCATAGGCGCCGGGGCGGCCAGGCTGTGGCCCACAAGAAGGGCGATGACGGCGGAGATGGCGATGGAAATCTTCATGTTGCTTGAGGTGTGATCGAGGAGGGTCGATGCTGTTGAGATGTCTTGGAGGTAAAATGGTGCTTCTTATATACCTTTCTCACCGGGATTCTTGGTGCACTCCAAGACGACTCCAAGACGTAGAAGGGCGGTCGATGTCGGACAACGACATGTTGCCGAGTCCAGGCAGTGTCAAGCCTCACAGTCAGTACTCATCAGCTTCCATCCGTTGGACGCGTTGAGGGCTTGCGCCAACTCGTCCGGCTGACCCAAGACACAACGCGAAGCCGATGTGACGCCGACGTGATCGCGATCTGAAGCGACGCCGGGCCGGATCGTGGGTCTTGCTTCGGGGGCGGAAGTCGGGCAGCGGACCACAGAGTGACAGCCATGTCAGCTGGTCATTTACAATCCCGTCAGCATAGCCATTGTTATTGCCTTACGAAGAACGTCGCAAGCTGCGTCTCTCTATCCCGCCCAGTCTGCGTGGAGGTTACAGAGCTATAGAGCTCGGGCGCGCCCGCATCCATCGATCATCGATAAGCGCAATGGTAGTTCAGATAAGACCCGCCTCAACCAGTGACTTATCCGATCGAGCAGCGTCTAGAGCCATCATCCGCATCGAGCTGACATCATCATGCGACGCGACCGGGCTTCATCGCCACGATTGCCAAGCCGGCAACAGATTAGTATCCCTCGGCCGCGCAATTCATTCACCCGTTGATTAGATTACAAGGCCCGTCCCGAGTAGAACGAGTGGCATGCTCGACCGAGCGTCGAAGCGATACAAGAGTCGTGCGGTGCAGGATTACGATAAGATTTTACTTGATCCGGCGCAGCACAGAAGGTTGGGTAGAAGCATCGAAGCAGTGCCACAATCTCGGATCCGAAGATAAGCTTTCGGTGTCCACATCGCGCTCCGCCCTCCACACTTCATACTTCCCTCAAGACTTCCGTCACCTCTCCTCATGTGCCAGGAGAGGACCTAGAGGACCTCGTGCCACACTAAGCCGACCGGCGGCTTCTTGTGGACTGTCTTGAGATCGGCGATGACATGCCCCGTTGTTAAGAAGTCATGGTCTGCGGGGATACAGACATCGCCGTGCGCCAAGCTGACGACCGACGACAGATTACACTCCTCGGTCGAGCAGTGCTGACGATAAGATTGCCCCTGGCCTGTTACCCCCATGTGGTGACCAACGTGTAATCACTGTAGACGTCACCCTAAGTTCTGTCCAAGCATGTCTACCGTGTCCCCGACGATATGTACGTCAGATTTAGATGGCTGCATAAATCGACTCGTCTAAAACGTCAACATTCAAGAATTACAATCTCAGGGGCTATAACTTCTCTTATCCTCCTACTCATATCGTTCGTCGTCTCGTCGTCTCATCGTTCATCGAAAGCATCGAAATATATGCTTGGAAAAAAGGGAAAGAAAAGGGAGCGTGTGCGGTCGGGGAACAGCATGCACAGACGAAACGCACTCCTCGGCTCTCCTTCCTGCTCGCTCGCCGCGCTCGCCGCGCTCGCCGCGCTCGCCGCGCTGCGCTCCCTCCCGTCTACTACTCTGTATTGCTCGTCTCCGATGGCTCAGGCTCTCGTCGCCTCTCGCCCTCTCGCCTTCGCTCCGCTCGTGCCGCCACCACCTATGCTCCGCCAGACTACCCAGCATACCCATACGCCGGATACGCCGGCGCGATCTTCTCGGGACACTAAACGAGATTGTCGATGTAGTCTTGCGGCGGCCTGGTGGGGACGGGCGGAGCCGGACCAGTGGGGAGATGCGTGAGCGGCCTGGCTTTGGTAGGCGTCGACTCGAGCGGCTGAGATGCAGTGCCGAGGAACGAGTATCGTCCATTAATCGTGGCGAGGGGCGACGTCGGCATGTCGCCCAGCAGACTGATGGGCGGGAGTTGCGGCGGAAGCGTGGAGACTCCCGGCTCGGGTTCGGGCGACTCGAGATCGCGCGGCGTGCGGATCGCATCCTCGTAGGATGTCGGCGCACTGACGCCAGAAGAGGCCGAGGGGCCGGGAGGAGGGGACACGGAACCCGTCGCCCGGGCGACACGCGTTGTGGCCTCTTCGTATCGCCTTCGCATCATTTCCTTCTCCTCCTCGGCGGACATGTACGGTTTGGCCTGAGACTGCGACGCCTGCGCGCGAGGCGGCGAGTTACCAGGAATCTGGATCGGGGGCGCCTGGCGTGGGTCCACGGCACGCTGGGAGCCAGAGCCGCCAGAGCCGCTAGCGACACGGCCCTGCGCCTCCTCGAATCGCTGCCTCATCATCTCCTTCTCCTGCGCTGCGGTCATGTACGCGGCCGGCGTGGAGCTGAACTGGGCGGGAGGCGTACCAACCACATCCTCGAAGGCCGGAGGCGCGGCGCTCGGCACACTGCCTGAGGGCGAGGTGGCGCGCGCGACGCGGTTAGTCGCCTCCTCGTATCGCCGGCGCATCATCTCCTTCTCCTCTGCGGCTGACATGTAGGCGGCAGGTACGTTGGCCGGCGGCGGCGAGCCGGCCGACTGCTGTCGCACAGGCTGCGCTGTGCCGTTGCTGCCATTGCTCCCGCTTGCCACATCGGGCGCACAAGTCGAGCTCGCCACGCGCCGCGTCGCTTCCTCGTACCGCCGGCGCATCATCTCCTTCTCCTCCGCCGCGCTCATGTACGCCGCGGGGACCGAGTTTTCGCGCTGCGGCGTCGGCGAAGCGGTTCCAGCACGAGCACCCGAGCCGCTGGCCACGGCCGCGGCCGCAGGAGAGCCAGTGGCGGACGCGACGCGGTTCGTCGCCTCCTCATACCTCCTTCGCATCATCTCCTTCTCCTCGGCCGCTGACATGTAGAGTTTCTGCTCGGGCGACTGGGCCGCGGGCGGAGACTGCGTCATGGGCGGGGACTGGGCGCGGTCCGAGCTGGAGCCCGAGCCGACACCCGTCGCGCGGGCAACCTTGTTCGTCGCCTCTTCGTAGCGCCGGCGCATCATTTCCTTCTCCTCGGCGGCGGACATGTATGCCTTCTGCGGGGTCTGGTTGGGTGTCTGCTGCGGCGTCTGGCTCGGCATGCGGTTGTGACCTGCATTCGAAGCAGGCGGGCTCGGCGACGTCGCAAGCGGCACGCCCGTCGCGCGGGTCACGCGGTTCGTCGCATCTTCGTACCGCTTGCGCATCATCTCCTTCTCCTGCGCGGCCGACATGTACGGCTCGGCGACGGCCGAGGGCTGGCCTCCCGGCGGGGGACCGGGGCGCGAGCTCGATCCCGCAGCAGCAGACGAGGAGGGACCAGCAGCAGTCCCGTTGCCGAAGAGCTCCTCGTATGAAATCGGGGCCTCGTCGGGCGCTGGCGGCGGTGCAGACGATCCAGCGGGAGCGCCCTGCGCAGCGTCACGGTTCGCAACGGCCGCCTCGTAGCGCAGGCGATCTTTCTCCTGGCCCGCGGACGGGTATTGGCCATTGGCAGCGTTGGGGTGCGAGGGAGGAGGCGTGTGGCTCATGGCGGCTGCAGCGCCAGCGCCAGCAACACCCACGACGGCGGCCGCAGCGGCAGGAGCAGCATAGGACGAGCTGCCCCCGGCATGTGACGAGCCACCAACACGGTTCTGGGCTTCTTCGTAACGCTGTCGCTGAATGTCCTTCTCCTGCGCAGCCGAGGCAAACTGACCAGGCGCGGCGCTGCCGTTTGCGCCAGCGTGCGCGTATCCGGGCGGTGCGCCGACAGGCACACCGGGGTTCGCGGGCGTCGGGGTTGCTGTGCCGGATCCTGATGCGACAGCGTTTTGCTGTCCAGTCGCCGTGGGTGACTCGGAGATGGCACCATCGGTAGGACGCCACTTGTTCGACTTGCTGTGCGTGAGGCCGCCAGGCAGCGGTTTGTCACGGAGCGACTCGACAGCGGGCGGCGAGGCCGTGTTACTCCTGCTAGCGGGATTCGGCGTCGGCATCGTTGTGAACTGACGGTCGCTCGGGGCGGGTCCCCAGTCCGAGGTCGTTGTTGTGCTCGTCGTCGTCGAGGATGAGCGGCGCGGGAACAGACCCGTAATCGTGTTCGCGGCAGCACCGAGGCGGCCCCCCATGGGGCCGCTGGCGGGCTGGCTGGGGCCAGCCGCATGCGGCGCACTTGCGTGGTACGGTGTCGGAGGCTGGGCACCGTTCTGCATCTTGTTGCTCAGCGACGTCGCTGAGGACGAGGGGTCGGACAGCTGCGGGCTCGACTTGAACATTTGTCCTGAGAGAGAGTTCAGAGGTCCCATGCCGCGCTGGCTCTCGGAGAGGCCGGCGACGTATCCGAGATCCCTGTTGCTGTCAGCGCAATACACTACAGTAACTTACCTGACACACTGCGTTGCCGCTTGCTTTCCAAATGCGCAGACATCGCAGGGCTGCTCAACAACAATGTTGCCATTGTCGCAGATGGCCTGCACGACAATCTTGTACTCGATGCCGAGCGTCTTGGCTCCGCGGACCGTCAGCATGGCCTCGTTGGCCGTCGGCACCGGTACGACAAGGCTTCCCTTAAAAGCCTTTTCTTCTCCGGGGCGCATGGTCTGGTTGATAGTGAAGCGCTTCGAGGTGACGACCTCGGTCTTGGTCGTCGGCTGACCAAGAGGCTTCTTAGACTTCTTGGTCGACTTGGTGTCCTCTTTCGGAACGAACGTGAACATTTCCACGAGCGAGACGTCGAGGGCCTGGAACGTGAAGGGCTGCGGGCTGTTCGACCTGAGGAGCGTCATGAGGAAGACAGAGTCGCCGGGTCCGAACGCCTGCTGCGGGCGCTCGACGACGAGGTTGACGCTGCCGTCCTGCGACTGTGCGACTTGCTGCGTCGACGCCTGGTACTTGGGCCAGGCGGACATGAGGTCGTAGCGGATGATGCGCAGGTGCTCCGAAGCAGTCGTCTGGGTCGGGGACGACTTGCGGAACAGGCCGCCCTTTTGCTTGTAGCAGATGCTGGCGACAAGCTCGTAGCTGATCGTGGCGCGCTTGTTGTCGAGCGACGGCGGAAGGTCCTCGAGCGGCAGCGGGATAACGAAGCGGAAGTCGCGGTTCGGCACAACCTCATACTCCTTGCCCTCGCCGGCCTTCCAGAGCAGGTGCACCTTGCCGACGTGGGTGTAGGCCGGTGTGCCCTTGGGCGGCGTGGGACCGCCCTTCACTGTCTCATACTTGCGAACCTCGACGCGGACCCACTTGGCCTTAACAGGTTGGGTGACGGTGCGGACTTCGACGGTGCCCTGGACAGTTGCGCCGTCGCGGTTCTCGGCGGGAGCGATGCCGGGGTGCCCGAGGATGAAGGGGCGATGAGCGGTCGCGCGCAGCGAGATGCGCACAGGCCCACCTGACTGGGTCATGCGGGCTGAGCTTTTGCGGGGTTCAGTGGGTGGGAGAAGCGAGCGTGGTCAGCTGGATGGAACGATGGCCGGTGAGAGGAGAGCGAGGTTCCGATGAAGCGGAGGGGGGAGAGTAGAGGGAGGGTGTCGAGAGCGAGGCGATGAGGAGAGGGAGGCGGACGGGGGCGTCTAGGGCGAGAGGGTGTGCCAAGAGAGTGACTGGGTGGTTGATAGGTGGTGTATGACAATTGTGAATGAAGAGACGGAAAGGAGAGAGTGGAGGATGGATGACGAGGAGTGTGCGGGGGGTGATGAGATGGATTCGGACTGGCCCTCGAGGGGTGGTGGTGTTCAAAGTCACAGCCCAGAGGAGGAGTGCGGATGGGAGAGGATGAATCGCTCAGGACGTCAGGACCACGGCTGCCGCTGTGAGTGGCTCGGCTCAACTGTCCCTGGCACAAAGGGGCGGGCCCAACGGCATCCGGACACCACGGCACGGCGTCCAGTCTGCTTTTAGGGACTTTGCGGATGAGAGCCGTCATGAACGGACACGCGACACGCCTCCTCTTCATCTGCAGCGCCCGATGCGCCTAGTACCGAGTACAGCGCCCAGCATACCGGACACAGCCCGCTCACTGCGCACTGCGCTCTGCACAGACAACGATGTTCTCGACCCTCCCCCAGTTGACAATGATTTGCCCCCGCAGCAGCCCAACTCTAGACGAAACAAGGTTTCGTTCCCCCCTTGCTCAGCTGAAACGACTGAAACCGTCCCTTCACCCGGGCCTTTGGGCTGGTGCGCTGATTCTAGTTTCCTTCTTACTCGACATTCTCTCGGCATGCTTTTTTTTCCTCTTCCCAGCACTTTTCATCCTCTCTCCTCATGCATAACTGGCCATCCAAAAGGGGAAGCTCACTGAGCAAGTGGTAGCTTTACGCTTTTCATTGGCACCTATCCCTTCGGCAGTGAGTGGTAGGACAGCGGGCATGGGACTATCCCCGCAGTGCCTCCATGTCACCTCGTGCTCACTACCAAGCTAGAGATGTGCCCATGTGCTGCGGTGGGAACAGGAGTACGCAAGCCGGTGCATCTCTGTGCAGACCATCAAGCGAAGCGCCGCGAAGACCAGTGATAAGCTCAGTTTTGTGCGTGACTCCTCGACTCCCGATAATTAATCGGGGTCTGGAAGCAGTGAGGGAACACACACACACTGACACGCTTGACTACTACTCTGGCAGACTTTTTTTCCGCAGATCACAGCAGCACAGCATCAGCTGGAGGAGAAGGAATGAACTCTAAACGCTCCGAAGCCTGCATCGCGTGCATCGCCATGTTCAGCGCGTCGACGCGTCGAGGACGTGGCCCACCCTAGACTAATGTATGGCACTCCCACACCCTGTTCAAAGCGGCGTTGTGTTTGGCCAGAATCCGCGAGAATCCGCAGAGCTGACGGCGGGCACACAGGATAAGGACGCCACTGTACTGCATCTGTCCCTGTGGGCTGAGAGGGCTGAGTGGCTGGTGGAAAAGGTAATCGTGGGAATATGGCTTTCGTCTCGCTACTGTCGAAACTGCGTGCAGCGCAGACATTGCTATGCATGCTTCGGCGGCGATCGGCCCTTGATTAGCTGCTGGTAGGGGAGTAGAAGGAAGGCTATGCTGCAGTGATCAGTGCAGATTACACCAGAGAGCTTAGTGCAGAGCCTGACGGCCAAGACTCTTCTGTACGCTCGGCGCAGAAGCACTCAGACAGAAGCAGACAGAAGCTGTACACCGTATGCGGTCCGAATGGCTATGCATGTTATTCAGCCTGCTCACACTCGTCGCCTCCGTTTGGTATTTGGAGGTGTGAGAGATGCAAGGCATGATCGGTCCGAGCTCGGCCAGCTCGGTGATTTCCGCTCGATCCGCTCGACTCAGCATTCCGACCCACCCTTTCGTCTCCATCACAGCACCTCCACACATTCACCTTTCACCTCTTCCAATTTCTCTCTCTCTCTATCATATATCGGAGCAACGCCTTCCTTGCGTCACCATGTCTGCGACGAACGGCGCAGCGCAGAAGTTAGCGTACAATATCCGCCCCGTGGACCCGGAACAGCTCCGCCTCCTCCGCCATGAAGTGCTCTGGCCCTCCATCCCCCTCTCAGCCCAACTCGCCGAGTACGACTACGCCCCCGGCGCCCTGCATCTCGGTCTCTTCCTGCCCTCCTCTGACCTGCGCGCTCTGTCTATCCCGCCTTCCTACGACTCGCTGCCCGTTGGCGTAGTCACTCTGGTTCCTGCGCCCTATACCCAGCCTCCCCAGCCTCTTCCCCCATCCCTCGCCTCGAGCCTGCCCGAGTTTAGGGGCGAACCCGCAACTCAGCTGAGGAAGTTTGCGCTGCACCCGAACCTCCAGGGCCGCGGATTGGGACGGGTCATGTTTGACGCGTGCGTTTCCGCCTTACAGAAGATGGACAGGGAGGAGGGGCAGGAGGGGCGGGAAGGGCAGGAGGGACGGAGACTGCTCCATCTCGACGCTAGGACGAACCAGGTCGGCTTCTACCAGCGCCTTGGGCTGAGTGTGCTCGACGAGAACGTGTTTACGAAAGTCGGGCCGAATGGCGACGGACCGGCCATTCCCCACTTGCGCATGGGGATTGTTATCTAGACACGTAGATGTGCGATAGAATATAGACTTGGCCGTGGAGGACGGGATAATTGTATGGCTTGCATAAATGTGACAAAGGTATGGTACGTCGGACTACTCTTCACTCTCTCGCTGCCGCTCTACTGAGCGAGTTTTACGTTGTTGGGAGCTCCTCACATTCGCCTACGGCGCCAAAGCATGACACCTCCGCCCTCCTCAGCTTTCACCTCCGCCTTTGCCTTCGGCTGCGCCTCAGGCCTAGAAGTTCATAACCTTGATACTCCCATGATTCGTTCCAAAGTCGTTGTCTTCACTCCAAATGTCCGGCCGGCAGACAGTGAGGATGCGCTCGGCGTCGATGAGCGGGATCGTGTCCTCCTCGCACTCCTTGCGCGTGATGAGATACGGGAATTCCTGTCCGCACGTCACCGCGTCATCGAGCGGGAGGCTCTTCTCGTGCTCGTCTGCGGCCAAGACGAGCTGGATGCCGTCCCAGTCTCCCTCGACTGCGTCGAGATCCGTCACCGAGTCGCCTGTCAGTTTCCCTTCCGAGGCGAGCAGGTCGAGCCGCTTGTTGATCTCGTGCTGCACGCGCCGGCGGTCAAAGTCGTAGCAGCACAGGTGGGGCACGAGCACGTGCCCGTCCTCGCTGCCCGAGTCCTCTTCGGGGCCGAAGAGCACCTCCTCCACCGTTACGTAGCGGTTCTGGTACACGTAGCACACCCATTCGGCCTGCGGGTGCTTCGGGCCCAGGGCACGCACATGCGGCGCGAGCTCGTCCCACGTCACGGTGCGCGGGACGTCGGCCCAGAGCTCCTCGAGCTGCTTCTCGCTGACCGTGACTGCGGCGGGCGGGATGAAGGTATTCCGTGCCAGGCGCTCGTCGAGGTCCTCCACGTTAGGGAGGTAGGAGATCAGCAGCGGCTTCGGGAACACAAACATGAAGTGCAGCACGTCAATGTCGTCTGGCTCCTCGACGTTGAGCAGCTGCTGCCGCACCGACACCAGTACCACGCCCGTAGCAGGATCCGGGACGAAGGGCGGCGGCGCATGCAAGGGGTACTCTGGGAAGGACTGGCGTGGGGGAGGCTCGACGCGCACACTCATCTGGGGCGGGAGAATGTTGTTCCGCAAGTCGGTCGTGAAGCGCGGCAGGTCAAACGTCTTGACGAGCGTCGGTCGCCATCGCCGATCACTGTCCGAGGGCAGTTGGTCGAAGGGCGGGAACGCGTACAGGTCGAGGTGGTGCGAGAAGTCGAGGTCGTGTGCGTCGTCCACCTCCGCCACCGGCCGATAGGCCGTGACGATGAACGACGTCGGGGTCAGCAGCTGGAAAGACACGAGCTCCTGCTTCGCCGCGCTCGTCAGCTCGCTGCACATGCGCCCCGTCTTCCAATTCCACCCGATGAGCTGGTCCGGGATCCGCACGTGCACGCGAGGCATCGCCACGTCCCGCACCGTCTGCTTGCGAAGCACGAACAGCGCGTCGTCGCAGATCTGGAACTCGAGGTTTGACGTCGTCTGCCACCGTGTCGGATGGAAGTTGAGCACGGGCGTCTCGGCGAGAGGATGCGGCTTGAAAGTCGACAGGCTCAGAAGGTGAATCTCCATGCAGTACATGATCGTCCCTCGGTCACGGTGTCCCCTGGCTGTCAGTTATGTCTGGACGTCAACGAAACTTACGATGTAGCCAGGAGCAGCAGGTCCTGTCCAGGGTCAACGGCGAGCTCGTGGATGACGAAGGACGACTTGTAATGTGTGCGCACGCTGTCGAGGTCCGACTCCTCGGTCTCCTCGACGACCTCATCAACGTCTTCATCATGCACGCTTCCGTCGACCGTCATCTCCTCCCACTCGTCCGGCTTGCGGAAGTCGTACACGGCCAGGTCGCGGCTGTACGTGGCATGTTGCCCGCCAAGCGTTAAATCCACGGGCGATCGCAGGAGCACGCCCTCGAGGTACTCGTACAGCCGCCCCTCGGCTTCTCGGAACGGCACAAGCTTCTCAGTCGACGGAGACAGATTGTGCAGCCGCGTCAGGCGCTCTCTCAGCTGGTTCAACAGGCTCACGGACGACTTGGGCACTTGGTGCGGCATGTCGGGTCGCGCCTTGAGGGCGTTCGGGTTCAGGCGGAGCGAGTTTGCAAGCAGCGCATGGCGCAGCGAGACCGCCGACGAGTTCGACATGAAGGAGTGGATGTGCTTGCATACCTGCGTCGTCAGCTTCTCCTTCACTTCCCTCAGCTGCTGGCACCAACCTCAGCGGCAAATGACACTCACTCTGTAGCACTTGGACAGCGAGTCGGCGTCGAGGTTCATGATGATCTCCATCAGGATCTCCTCCGGCATGTCCATTAACGTGACGCGCTGCCCATCTCTTGGTGTCTCGTAGGATAGCCGCTTGTGCTTGGTGCTGGGGAAGGAAGGGTCATCGGAGAAGGGGGAGTTGCGGCTGGAAGGCAGCTGGCTGGGTGGATCGCTGGGTTCGCCAGTCGTCACGGTCGAGACCGACGACGCCGACGGGGTGGTGGGCTCGCTGCTGGGGTCCATGCGGCCTGCTGATGCCCCCATTCTTTTGCGTTTCCGAGTAGAGGACAGTATGGTGGATAAGTGCGGTGATGATGTAGCGACTGTAGCGCTGCTGCGATCTCGGTCGCCTGGTGTCCACAAAATGAAATCAGCGCTGGCGGGAGCAAACCCTGCAGCCCGTCCCTGGGTGGCGACAACCTTGACGTATTGCTGTTAAACCGGAGGATTCGAATCAGCAGCAAGCGCAGCATGCATAGCGCGGAACAAGCTTCGACTCAGTATCGAGTAGCAAGAGATACATCAAAAGGTCTAGCCCAAGCCCAATCATTACATATCGTTAATCTAGTGTCTTAGATGTCATCGTGGACAATGTCCATGATCGCCGGAGCAACCTGCTTCCTGGTGGACTTGGCGTTGCCCTGCTCCCAGACGCGGGCGACACGGCCGTCGTGTCCAACAGCGACCTCGCCAAACTTGTCGGCGTACTCGAGCTTCTTGCCCTTGCCCTCCCAAGGCAGCAGGTCGAGAACACCGCCTGTTCGCTCCATGCCGGCAGCGAGGGTGTCGCTAACGTAGCGACAGAGAGCAGCGTCGGGGATGCTGCCACCGGGGCGGACAACGAGCAGGATCTCGCGCTTGCTCTTGCCCTTCTTCTCGCTCTTGTACGTCGTGAGAACGCCGAGCACGTCGATGCCCTTCTCAGTCATGAAGCTGTCGCACGTCTGCAGGTAGGTCGTCCAATCGTCCTTCTCCTGCTTGAGCTGGTTCTTCAGAGACATCGGGACAGTCGCGAGACCAATGTTGAGGACCTGCACCTTCTTCGTGTTCTTGGGGTGCCACACATACTGCTTGTAGTCACGAATAAGCAGGTCGTGCGTCGACATGCCAGTGACGTTGAACTTGACCTCGACAAGCTCGTTGCCGAAACGCAGCAGCGGGTCGGGGACCTGGTCGCCCGCGATCGACTGCAGGGCTATAACCTTGTTGTCATCGACAAACGTCGAGAGGGGGTACAGGAACGCAGCGGCCGCACGGTCGACATCAGTGGCCTTGCCGCCCTCCTTGAGCCCATGAGTGTCGATCATGATTGAGGACAGCAGAAGGGTCGCAAGCTCGCGGGGCACCGGTGATCCAGCGATACCAGCTGGTCCGGAGATCGAAGCCTGCCATTCAGGCTGGAAGTGCTTAGTGACGAGACTGGAGCAGCTGCCGGTCGGGAAGACAATCAAGCGAGTCATGGCGCCGTCCGAGCGCTCCTCGTCCTCGTGGTGGTCGATGATCGCGTCAACCTTGTCCTCGTTGTCGCCAAAGTCCGGCAGCAGACGATTGTGGTCGACGAGGTCGAACCTGACGCCGAGCGAGCCGAGCTCCTCCGTCGACACGGGCAGGTCCTCGGGGGACAGGAGATCCTCGGGGCCAATCAGAGAAGTCTTGAGAGCGAGGAGGTTCTCGGGACGCAGGCGGATGTACTTCGAGGGCGTCATCATGAGAGGCACAGTCCGCTGCGCCTTGAGGGCGGTATTCAGGACGGCGAACGCGACAGCCGAGGAGATGGAGTCGAGGTCACCTGCCTCGTTGCCATTCACCAGGTGCCATCCAGACCCATGGCCCTTCTTCAGGTCATCGACGAAGAGCTGGTTCTGAGACTGGAGGAGATCGGAGAGTCTCCCAACCATGATGTCAATCTGCGATGCGAGGGTGGAGGTTGATGAAGGCGCGGCCGTAGTGGTAAAGGGTCGTGAAACTTTAGAAGCAGTAGCGTTCTGCGCAGCGTAGGCAGCGGGGGCTGGGGCAGGCGAGCAGGCAATTTTCTGGTGAAGCGCCGGCGAGAGCTTGTAGACGGGACCGGGAAGGCAGAGCCTGAGGTACTGGCCTTTGAGGAGGAGAATGGTGGAGAGGACAGCGACGACGCAGAGTGCGCTGAGAACGAGGAGGCAGTGGAGGGGGCGAAGGCGAAGTCGTCGCTTGGGGCGGTGGTGGGCTGATGGAGAGGAGGGGAGAGGAGGGGATGCGTTTCTGAGTGGCTGATAATGAGCTGTGGCCATAAGTTGATTGATGAAAGACGCGCTAGCTTCGCAAGCTTCGCAGTCGCTGTGGAGATCGTCATAACCGCTCAGAGTTCGGACGGAACCAGATGAAGGTGATAACCGACCACGCACGTGGCTCAGGTACCATCAGAGTCGAACCTATTTCGAGCTCGACGCCGTTGATTAGGAAACAAGCTTTGACTGTTCGCTGCAAGTTGAAGCTACTTTTTACATCGAAGTACAGCTTACAACGTTGTTCAGTGCAGAAGTGGGTTACCTCTGAATCGCAAGATCTCAATTCTCGACGGTGACGGTCCCCCTACCTGGGATGAACTCACGGCGCTGTATGACCGGCAGGATGTGTGCTAATGCGGCAGCGTCATGGGCCCACGAGAATAGATGATAGGGGTGAAGACCCTTCGCCGCAGAGTTTCTGAAAGTGCGGATGTGAGTAAGGACGCGCGCCGAAATGCGAGCGTACAGCCAAGTGTCATTGTACTCGGCGTCCATGTCGATGGGTACGTCTTCAAAGTCCTCATTGCAGACATACCGAGGTTGACGGAAAAGGAAGTGGGACGGGAACAGATCTGAGTACAGCCAAGCGACAATCGTGTGCAGAAGAGTGGAGGGTGCGACGTTGAGATCGATGTCGGGCAGAGGAACGATGAAGTTGGTCTGCAACATACAGTACGTCAGCCCCGCGTTTGTTATCCGCAACACAGGTCACTCCGACTTACGCAAGCCAGGGGTGAGCTTCTACTGCTGCACAAATCCAGCAGATCTTCTTCTTGGAGGCCGGGAGGCAAAAACGGGTAAATTGGACGAGCGCTCAGCTCCTTGGGCGTGAAATAGTCGTAGAAGAGGCTGAAGATTAGCAGTGCCCTAAGCAGCTTAGATACACTCACCCTTGCCCTGCAGCCTTCTTCGCATTCAAGATACGCAGTCCACGCTCCAACCTAGAGCGATTGACCAAAGGCGCGTCGGGATCGGCGTTCCCAGCACGGTTCTCCGCATCGCCGCGTTCTGGCTCCAAAGACGCAGCCCACAGGCTGCTTTCTGCTGCCTCTTCATCCTCCAAAATTGTGGTCTTTGCGAGGAGGCACAGGTAGATGCGAACGATGCGAGGGAGGCTGCTCATGTCAGAAGTACATCTTGCTTCTCTCACTTGCGTGGAGGGGTCAGCGTCGAGTCGAAACAGCCGGTCAGATGAAGAGGAGGAAGGGAGCTTGCCGGGCGATCCATGAGGCGTTGCAAGAGCAGACGACGGGTGCGCGCCCGAATGGATTGAAGAGGCCATGTCGAGGTCAGTAGCGAAGGTTAGGAGGTAAGTTGTGCCATTGCAGTTGCAGATGAACGGCTGATGACGGCGGCTGAGCAGTGGTATCAGTTCCTAGCCGCTGGTGGCAAATCTAACTCAGTCCCACACTCCCACGGCGGCATGAGGTGAACTGGTTCGTCGCCGCAAACGGGCAGCTCGTCAAGTAGTCCAGAGTCTAGCCCTTGAAATCGAGTATGCAGTGGGCAAACATGTTTGAGGTTTGTACGGTGCCGGCCATCACTTCAAGAGAATGCTGTCAAGGATGTCGAAGATCGGAAAGGTGAGATTGATGAACGCCAACACGTGGTTCAGGCACGTCCGACGCGGTCGCGTCAACCAGCAACGTAATGTCAACAAAAGTCTGGTCCGCCAAAACAACTGTCACCACATCACCCACCATGGACGTCGGCACCAGCAAGCTGCACTACCCCCTCATCGCCGGATACAGAATAGGCGAGGAGATCGGTGGCGGTGGCTTCTCCAAGTGAGTTATCTCGCCTATGCAGGAACTGACATGACAGGGTCTTCCGAGCGATCGACGACGAGCACTCAAAGGTTGCGGCGTGCAAGGTTGTCAATGTGTTTGTCTCGTCAACGCAGCACGCGACGCCCAACGTGAAGGAGCTCCAGAAGGAGGTGCAGGTGCACAAGTCACTGAAGAACTCGTACATTCTCGAATTCCTTCACTCCGAGATCGTCGATAAGGCGAAGGAAGCCGCTGGCGTCGTGCCTGGACTGTACATGTTGTTAGAGCTCGCGGTCGGAGGTGACCTGTTCGACAAGATCGGTGAGCTGATCGTGTCTTGTCTTAGCTAATACGCAGCGCCCGAAGTTGGTATTCCGGAAGACCTCGCCAAGTTCTACTTTGCGCAGCTCGCGTCGGGCATCGTGAGTTGGAGGTGCGGATGCGAACTAATAGGCAGGAGTACATTCACTCGAAGGGCATCGCACACCGTGATCTGAAGCCTGAGAACCTCCTGCTCGCTGCGAACGGAAACCTCAAGATCACCGACTTTGGTCTTTGCGCCGTCTTCCGCTACAAGGGGAAGGAGCGGTTACTGAGCGGACGATGCGGCAGTCTTCCCTATGTTGCTCCGGAGGTGAGTTGTTGTTGCGTTCTTCTTTCAGCTAACTCCAGCTCGGCGCGCAAGGACAGCCGTACAAGGCGGAGCCCGTCGACATCTGGGGCATGGGTGTTGTGCTCTTCACGATGCTTGTTGGCAGTAAGTGGCCAGCTGCCCTGATGCGGTCTTTGGAGCTGACGTCCAGACACGCCATGGGACGAGCCGTCTGAGAATGCGATCGAGTTCCGGGCCTACGTTAACGGCGAGATCTGGCAGTACGACCCCTGGTGCCGGATACGCGGCCAGGCGCAGAGTAAGCTAAAGCACCCCTGTGATAGCTGACCTTCAGACATTCTGATGGGCCTGCTTACGATCGACCCCCGGAAACGCCTGACAATCGAGGGCATCAAGCAGCACTCGTGGTGCATGACGTGCGTACCTGACGATCTTCCCTCTTCAGCTAACCACCAGACCCTCGCAGCTTACGCGCGAGCAGATTCCGGAGGCTCTGACGCAAGGAATGCGCACGACAGGAATGATGTCCGTCGCCGACCCAACATTCACACAAGGAGACCAAGCAGACTATGCCGTAGAGTAGGTTATCACCGTCTTTTTCAACTAACGTTCAGGCGCTCCCAGCGCGTCTTCGGCAACTCGCAATGGTCCTCTCAGTGGAACCAGCAGGAGTCGCAGTTCATGCGCGGTACCGGAAACCTGACGCAGGGCGGCGACTTTGACAACAACACGACGCGATTCTGGCTCGCCCTCGACCCCGCCGACGCCTTCGCTCTCATGCAGCAGTACCTCGTCGGCCTACTCGAGGAGCACAACGTGCAGGTGAATGCGGGCCGCAATGCGATCCGCGTCCACAAGGCCGCGGGGCAGAAGAGCGTCACGGGCGTGTTCCTCCTCAAGGCGAGCGACACGCATGCTCCTTCTGGCCAGACGCTCGTCTCCATGCGCCGAGAAAAGGTGAGCTGATAAGTGGAGGTTGAGCTGACAGGCAGGGATCGATTCTGCACTGGCGCGCGTTCTGGTGGTCGATTGTCCGGAGCCAGCAGCTCGAGCAGTACATTGTCCGCGGTGACGTGTAGGTGTCTTTTGTGTCGCGAGAAGAGTATGTCTAGAGTAACGAATAGACGGGTCATGTATAGAGTACACTTGTCTCGTGGGCTGGCTTTACGTCACGAGCGTCGCCATTCCTCGCATCTCACTAGCTCGTATGCTGAGGGTGTGAGCTAGAAGAACTGCCGAGTCGTAGCTCAAGCGAGCAAGAGCTGGCGAGGCTATATGGAGCTACTTGGCGCACTGACTGAGAGAGATCGCTTGCATCTAGCTTGCACGCTTGTCAGTGGGCGAGGAGTGGCATTCCGACTGCGGTCTGGATTCGCAGTTTGAATGCCGAAGACGGTTAGAACGTTAGAACAGTTCGGCTGGTCCGAAAACCGGTTACAAGATACGATCGATTGTTGTGGGGAAGACTAAGACACCGGCTGTGCTGCCTGTACTGGGTCGTGTGTATGCGTCTGCATTTGAGTGTGGATGATCGACGCACCGTCCTCTACCGTCCAACTCCGGTGTGACCTAAGCAATCTCTTATAACGGTGTCTGCGACTGCGTTAGACACGGGTTGTATTCCGCGCTCGGCAGGCTATGGCGGGCAGCACTCTCCTTGTTAGAGCTGGCGTACCTGAGCTGGGCAGGGAGAGTTCCTGAAATGTCCGAAGAATGAAGAGAGCCAACCCTGTACCGGCCCTGCAGACGTGATGGCCGAACAAGGACGGCGAAGGGGAGGAACTTGGACTTGGGCTGGTCATGTGGACACTCGAGGGCATAGCGCCGGCGTAGCGCATGGTCAGCCCCTCAGCCCTACCAGGGGTCGCGGAGATGCCGGGGGATGGATCTAACGATTTCAGACTAATGGCGCTCACCCGTGGGTCCCCGGTCGCTGGCGCGCTGGCTGCAGAATGGCCTTGCCCATGATGGGCTGCATGGTTGCACTCGGTGCCTTGCCGCCGCCGTTAGCCCTGCTTCCGGAACTTTGAACGGCCTGATACCCGATCAACAATCCCGCACTCAGTCCATCCAGCCCAGCTAGCCCAGCCCACCCAGTCTAGCGCGTACCATCCACCTCAGCACCTTATACCCCGCACCTTCCTCGCCGACAATGTCACTGAACTCCTCTCCTCTCCTCTTCCCTCTCCCCCATCCTAAACTACACCCCCGTCACCATGGCCCAGACACTCACCGACGAAGAGTGCGAGACCCTCCTCGCCTGCGTCGACACCGTCGCGCCCTCCATCGCTGCCGAGGAACTCAAGGCCCTCGCGCCCCAGCTCGCCGACGAGGTCAGCGAGGACACCATTGCCGCCTTCGCCGCCGAGGTCCCCAGCAGCATCGAGAGCCTCCGCGAGGACCTCAAGTACCTCCTTCCCTCCCAGCTGCCCCCCGCCAAGCTCGCCGATCTCAAAATGGTCCTCGGCCTCCTCCGGTGAGCTGACCATGTGGTATCAAAGCTGACAGACAGCAACCCCTTTGGCTCGCTGCTCGTGACCTACTCGTTCACGCCGTTCCACCAGCAGCCCCGCGAGGTCCGGGAGCAGATCCTCTTCAGCCTGAAGCACGCCCGCACCGCCCTCATGCGCAAGATCTTCGACTCGCTGATCAAACTGTCCTCGGCGCTCTACGTGCGCAACTCTGACCTGGTCCACAAGGCCATGCTGTACGAGCCCAAGGTTACTGAGCCCCCGGCCGAGGGCCACTTCCAGTTCCAGTTCGCCGACCCCCAGTCCCTCGACGGACAGGAGTTTGACGCCATCATTGTCGGATCGGGCTCGGGCGGCGGTGTCGCGGCCAAGCAGCCGTCCGAGGCGGGGATGAAGGTCCTTGTCATCGAGAAGGGCCTGCACTACGACCTTGCCGGCCAGCCGTACGACGAGCGCGAGGCGCTCAAGGTTATGTACGACCTTGGCGGTCTCGCCGCGACTGAGACGGGCGAGCTTGGCCTCGTGTCCGGCAACGTGTTTGGTGGTGGTTCCTCTGTCAACTGGGCTGCGTGTATCCAGACTCCCGCTGCTGTGCGCCAGGACTGGGCCTCGACGTACGGCCTGCCGTACTTCAAGACGCAAGAGTTCCAGGAGGATCTCGACGCGGTGTGGAAGCAGATGGGTGTGTCGCTTCCCAAGAAGCAGAACCTTCAGAACCAGCTTCTCATGGAGGGTGCGCGCCGCCTCGGTTACGCGCACGCGCCTGTCGCGCAGAACAATGGCAACGCCGACCACAACTGCAACCACGACTGCGCCAACGGCTGTCGCTCCGGCGGCAAGAAGGGCGGTGTGCACTCGTGGCTGATTGACGCCGCCAAGGCTGGCACGACGTTTGTTGTCGGCTGCTCGGTGCGCAAGATTCTGTTCACCAAGTCGCGCCACGCCAAGGGTGTCCTTGTCAAGACGCCCGAGGGCAAGAAGATCAAGATCAAGACTTCCCGCGTCATCGCCGCTGGTGGCAGTATCCAGACCCCGGCGCTGCTGCTGCGCTCGCGCATCCCCAACCCGCGCATCGGCACGAGCATCTACCTGCACCCGACCAACTATGTCTACGCCGTGTTCCCCGAGCGCACACACCCGACCGAGGGCCAGATCCTGACCAGTGTCGTGACCGAGTTTGCCAATCTGACGCCGTCTGGCCACGGCGTTCGTCTCGAGACGGGCATCATGCAGCCGATCGTCTCGACGGTGCTGATGCAGTGGCACGGCGGCAAGGAGTACAAGGCCAACATTGCCAAGCACTCGCACATGGCGGGTCTCATCGCGATCGCCCGCGACAGGGACCACGGCTACGTGCAGCTGAGCGCCGAGGGCGAGCCGATCGTGCACTACACGACGAGCGCGTTTGACCAAAAGTCGGTCCTGAAGGGCACCGTCGCAGCGGCAGAGTGCATGCTGGCCGTGGGTGCGGAGGAGATCATCGTCAACGGCCGCGGCGTCAAGCCCTACAAGAAGGGAGACGACTTTGCCGCCTGGGCGAAGCAGGTCGAGGCCACCCCCTCGAGTGCATTCGGCAGTGCGCACCAGATGGGCTCGTGCCGCATGTCCTCGCGGCCCGGAGACGGCACGTGCGACCCCTCCGGCGCCGTTCGCGGCGTCCAGGGCGTGTGGTGTGCGGACGCGAGTGTGCTGCCCTCCGCCTCAGGCGTCAACCCCATGATCTCCACCATGGCCGTCGCGCGCAAGGTGTCGCGTGGTATTGTCGACCAGTGGAAGCATGGGGATGCCGGCAGGGCGCGTCTCTAGGCGGGCACAGGGCCGGGCGTCAGCCCGGCACTGGGGTATCGCCCGAGGCGCCCGACAGCGCAAGACGTCAAAGTCCTCTGAAGCCCAAGCAAAGCAAAGCAAATCGTTGTATTCTCCCCCGTCTTATGACAAACTCCTTTGGTATTCTGCTGCACACTAGAACTACTGACGCGACTGACATGAACGGCGTATATACACTGACGGGTGCTTACAACTGTATGGACTTTTGGCTCCGCCTCGGGAGAGGCGGAGGCGTGGATGGGTGCGGAGGAGGGAGGAGGGAGAGGGTTAGGTGGGTGAGGAGTGGGGTACTGGTGTAGTGACGGGGAGAGAGGAAGGGGAAAGACAAGGCTAGGTCGCTGGCTCAGGCTTGGGTGTCGGCGGCGACGCGGCCCTCTCACGAGCATGAGGATAGGAGTAGTAAGGGTGCGAGTAGTCGTAGTACCCGTAATAGTAGTGGGGGGGATAGTACTGTCCCGCGGGATACTGCTGTCCACCACCGCTGGCCGAGCCATACTGCGTCGGTCCAGCATGCGCGGCGTGAGCAGTATGGCCCGGGGGAGTATGCGGAGTATGAGCCGGCGTAACAAGCGACGACCCCGAGCCAGAACCGCTCGAATGCGAGCTCGGCGCGGAGACAGGCCGGGCAGTCAAGGAGTGGTTAAGCGGCTCAGTGTCAAGACGGGGCTGGGGCTTGGGCGGCGGCTGGAAGGCGTGAAAGGCATCTTTCAAGCTGATGGGGAGCGGGGGCAGCGGGAGCTGGCGCGGCGTCAGGTCGCGCGTGTTGAGGACGAGATGGGGTCGAGGGCCGCTCGAGGCTTCGGGGCTGCGGGTGGGGTCCATTCCGCCCACGCCTACGCCTACGCTTACGCCGACGCCGACGCCGCCGCCGTTTATCCCTCCATATCCACCCATCCCACTGACACCAGGGCCAGTCATACCCGCCATCCCCCCGCCGACTCCTCGGGCCGTGCGTAGTGAGTACTATCTCGGCAGCGGCCGGAGGGCCTACGATGGCGCACACCGGCGCACGACCAACCGGTAGCTAGCTGGCCAACGGAGTAGCAGAGGGATGAGCGAGGAGACTGCCTGGTTGGCTGCGGCTGTGCGGACCGCTGGCTGCTTCATTGTCTCCGGGTCCGAGACAATGGGAACATGATTGCCCAAAATCGCGCAAACCGCGCGGCGTCGAGGGTCGAGGAACAGCCTCGTGTCTGGGCGACAGGCTGCGCAGGGTCTGGATCCTGGCCATGGTCTTGCGTCTGTTCCTCTCCTCCCCCCAGAATCTCCCTCTCGAGTCACCTGCATGGCGAGTGCGAGCTCTGTCAGGAACGCACAGAGGTTGTCCTCTGTGTGCTCGTCATGTCGCTCTACGGAGAAATAGCGCGCGCAAAGCAAGGCCTGGTGCCCCCGACGCCGCCTCATACAAACTCAGCCCCGCATGCACCGCATGTGCATGCGTCCCCGGACTCGGGGGCGCGTCGGCCCCGTCGTCCTCATACGTCTTGGGCCGGTGCGTCGAATAGCCAAAGGAACACTTATTCTTGCCACAGGGCTTGCACACCTTACGCGGCGATTTTGGGTCGGAGGAGATGAAGCAGCGCCAGTGGTTTTGCAGACAGCGACGACACTTCGAGTGCCACAGGACTTCTTTCAGGCTCGGGTCTTGGGCGTACTCGGACTATATGTTAGCCATTGATGGGGAAGACCGATACGGTGGAGAGAAGGAGACTGTGAGGATTGGATTGGGGATGAGGTTAAGCTGAAGATGAGGGGTGGGAAGGAGAGGATGGCGGTGTGGGTGCAGAGTTCTTGCAACGCTCGCACACTCGCAGCACTCGCAGCACTCGCAACTCCTCACGCACTCGCTTCGCTCGCGTCCCTCGTGTTCGCTCGCGCTGCGGACTCACCTCCTTGGCAAACTTGGCCATGTCGCGCTTCGAGTGCGCCTTCCTCTGCCTAATGTTGTCCTCGAGGTTGAGCTTGGCGGCGCGGGAGAGCTGGAGGTCGGGTTTCAGCTCCCTGCGGGTCAGCTTGATAATGGCTATGGAGGAGCAGCTCACCTTAGCGGGGAGCCGGGGTCGCTGTAGCGGCAAGGGCGGAGGGGTGCCATGATGCTGATGGAGTGGAGGTGGTGGTCGTGAGGGTTCGTTTTGATGGAGCGAATGTTGTGAATGCCGAGAGAAAGCTGATGATCACGAACGGAAGTGTCTTGATGAGGAGAGTATGATGAAAGCACTACTGATGCCCACCGAGTCCAATGGTGAGAGCAAAGTCGCGTCGAGAGGAATGTCGACGAAAAGATCACCGTACCAAACCGCCGATTACTGGAAAGGAGGGAGGCGCCCAGATCAGGCCTTTATACGACGCGGCCGTTGATGAGAGCGCGTCGCGGACGTGGAAGAGGAACGACGGTCGATGTGGACAGATTATTACTGATCCCGGAAACACACGCCGGCCTTTATACTCGGTCTTCCTGCAGGTCGGGGCCGGAACCAAGGAAGGATCAAGGCTGATCGAAGCTGAGCGGACCGGTGTGTCTTATGTGCGCGAGTGTGCGAAACGCGCGAGAGTGCAAGATAAGTGCGACAAGAGCAAGAAAGCAAAACCGGGGTGCTCGGGAGGGATGAGACGAGGAGCGACAGAGAATGCGAGAGAAGCTCGCGCGTGTTCGGCGTGTGCTGAGCTTGTCCACTCCAAAGCACCAAGTACGTCGCGCGAAACTCGAGAGACACTCCAAGTTGCATCACCGTTGCCTCGTGTTCAGGTCGTCGGTCAGGCATTCAGGCATTCAGGACAGCGCTGTGTGTGCGCTGGCTTTGTGGCGCGTGCCGTTCTCTGCCGTTTGGGTGTTCCGCGCTGGCTGGCTCTCCGCAACGTGTGCGGCCGCCTCACCTTATTGTTCACTCGATCTATTCAGTTTCCCCCAGGGGCAGGCTTTGTTGACAAGTGTGCAAGAGACGTCTCTCGGTACACTCGCCAGTGCCTGGCTTCCAAGGGCTGCCGAGCGTCACCCCCCGCACGGCGCTCGGCCTGCCCCGCGTCAAGCACTCCGACTAACGAGGTAGTCAGGCGACCTCTGTGCAGTCCCTCCAGCCCTGCACACAGAGGTATTCTGGCGTCAACAGAGGGCTTCCGGGGGCCTGAGGACCTTGCGGCCTGGCCGCCTCGCCGCCCTGCGGCAGCTGGTGACGTTCCGAGTCAGAGCGCACGCTCGGGCCTTATTGGGTGCGAGAGCGGGTCGTGCGCTGTGTGTCCATCTCCTTTGTGCCCAAGTCCAAGAGGATCTGCACTGGCCTCAATTCCGCTTTCTGGAGCTGGAGCACCGACGCCTCCCAGACCGCCATGAGGCCAGGCGCGCCCGGCAGGCGGCCGGCCACCAGCAGGTCCCACGCCACATACCCCAGCACGCAGGCTCAAGGCTGTCTCAGGCAAACTCGAAGCACCGTCGGCCCCGAGCTCTCCACCGGCAACGTTGCAGCGGACTGCACCGACATCCACTCATCGAACATGTGCCCATGCTATGCACGGAAAGCGTGAAATACTCGGAAAACACCCTGCAATGCCACCAGATTAGATCCCGCCGGATCGTGCGGATTCACATTCCAGCTGCAGATGAATTCAGCGAGGAACGCCGGAATTTGCCACCCAGCGCGACGACCAGTGCACATGACGTAGGACGCACGAGTCTGGTCGTGCGCTTATCGGTATCTTGATCTTTGTGTTGCAACATCGTCAACACGCATGTCGTCGCCGTCCACGCCTCCGTCCTCGACACCGGCCGAGCTCGTCTCGCGCTTGAACCTCCACCACCTTCCACCAGGGAAGCCTGTATTCTCGTGCGGCAAGTGCTCGCAGCCTATTGTGCGTTTCGTCCCCACACTTTCGATTAACCCTTCCCCGCATCCTCACCACGTCTTATGTGCCAGGTGCCGAGCCGACATGACGTACTGACGATACAGGCCCTACAGGATGAGCTCGTCAGCAAAGCCTTTATTGGCCATTCGGGCCGTGCGTAGTGAGTACTATCTCGGCAGCGGCCGGAGGGCCTACGATGGCGCACACCGGCGCACGACCAACCGGTAGCTAGCTGGCCAACGGAGTAGCAGAGGGATGAGCGAGGAGACTGCCTGGTTGGCTGCGGCTGTGCGGACCGCTGGCTGCTTCATTGTCTCCGGGTCCGAGACAATGGGAACATGATTGCCCAAAATCGCGCAAACCGCGCGGCGTCGAGGGTCGAGGAACAGCCTCGTGTCTGGGCGACAGGCTGCGCAGGGTCTGGATCCTGGCCATGGTCTTGCGTCTGTTCCTCTCCTCCCCCCAGAATCTCCCTCTCGAGTCACCTGCATGGCGAGTGCGAGCTCTGTCAGGAACGCACAGAGGTTGTCCTCTGTGTGCTCGTCATGTCGCTCTACGGAGAAATAGCGCGCGCAAAGCAAGGCCTGGTGCCCCCGACGCCGCGACGCCGCAGCGCCTTTGTGTGAATGTCGTCGTCCCCAAAACGCAGGCAGATCGATCGAAACACGTTTTCAGGGGGACGTGCACAAGGGATATCAACGCCACGCACACACGCACTGCACACACCGCGGCCAGCCCTGGGCTTGTCATGATGGTGACTGACAAATCAGCCTGATGAACTCGACTATCAACACGGTGCTCGGAAAACGAGAGGACCGGAAACTGATGTGAGTGGTCTTTACAAGAAGAGTTGCAGCAGTTGTCAACGATGATTGACGGGGCACGAGCTTCGAACTTGAAAACTACCAAGCTGACAGACAGGACGGGCAAGCACACAGTAGCCGATCTGCAGTGCGCGGCTTGCGGCGGCGACCTGGGCTGGATGTACATCAAGGCCCCGAACGGTGACCAGCGGTACAAGGAGGGTGAGTAGATTCGCATTACTCTACCAGCGTCCACGGTGGACGATGATTGGGCAGGTCCGACCGCACAGATCGACGCCGAAATTAGGGCCTAGGGCCGAATAATGACGGCGCAGCCATGATGCCTGACGGCCTCAAGCCATATACGAGTGACTTGCGTTATGGCTGTTGGTGGCTTTGATGGCTGCTTGCCTGGATCTGACGGAGAGATACTCGGGTGCTGTCAGGTCACGGGACCTCACGTTGGTGCTCACGTCTAGAGACAGTGGCCGTTGGAGGCGCTCTGCCCTCACGAGACCGAGTTGAACGCGACAGATTGAAAGCTGCAGAGTTACCGCTGACAGCTTCTCTCAGGTCGATTCATCCTCGAGGAAGCACTGATTGTCAAGGAGAGCGAGTGGCATCTCTGAGCCTGGCGTACCTGCCGCTGACTGATCCTGGTTTGACCATGTAAGGCTGCGAGCTACTCACTCGCTCACAGACTGTAGTAGTTGTACATCATATTACCCTGTGTGTATAGATTCACGTTATACAAAGATGAAGTAGACGGGCGAAAGGAAGTCCAGATATGTCGAGGCGGAGGGTCTTCGGGCCTGACTCAGGCTTCTACAAGTATTCTACAACGCAGTGATGGTCCGGGCAGCCCAAAGAGTCCGGAAGATAGAGCTCGAAGGCGCGTCATTGCAACGGGAAGGTCGTCGTCACGTGCAAGCAGAAGAAGCTGCCGCTCTCCGCAAGGTGCAATGACCCGCCTTCCTTGATCGTCAGGCGTCAAGATTCGAACGGGAGTCTCGACTACTGATCGAATCGACTTCTGGATCGCAGCTTCTCATGCGGTTGGGGCTGGGGCGAGAGCAGAACCGCGCTTGACGAGCGGGACAGAGGCAAGTCCTCGTTCATGGTGCAGCTGTACGTCAGCTCGAGATCTCCCACCCAGTAGTGGGGCGGTACATCGTCTTCCGCAAGGCACAATTCAATCATCGGGGCCTCGGTGGCCCAGGCATTCCATCGTCCCTGGGTTCCCCCCATCCTGGACATTGGGCAGCCTCCACTTTGGTCTCACCCACCCCACCTTGCTCCAGATCCGCCTCCCATGGATCCATGGCTGCGATGAGGGAAGGAGTTGGTAGACTCACACAAGCCAGATGAGCAGCACGGCGACGACAGTCGCGGCGCAGAACACGCCAATGCACGAGGCCTCGTTCAGACCCGCGCCCAGCTCGAGGGAAGAGTCGACGTCGAACACCTGGAACACTCGCGCGTCAGCGCCCACCACGTCGTCGGACATACTGGCCGACGTCTCCTTGGTCGGGATGAACATGCTGGCCTTGCTCGCCAGTAGAGTACGACGGGGGAAGGCGGGCTGGAGAAGGGGGGAAGGCGATATCGGTGTCGGTGTCGGTGCCGAGGGAATCAGACGCGGCGTTGCGACGGATGCGACGCGTGTGTCCGCGTGTGTGGAGATGGGTGTCGTCGTCGACCGTCTATAGAGAGGTTGTGAAGGGTCAAAAGATGATCTGCGAGTTGCAGCAGAAGACGCGATGCAGGCTGAGCGAGGTGGCCTGAGCGCCGGTGGGACCGCTCCTCTGGAGCGGGAGCGCGGGGGTCAGATCGCCCATGAGCCTAAGCCCGTGGCGATGCTATAAATGCTTCGAGGTGTGACGGTGGGATCTACAATCACGCTTTCAGTCTGCGGTCTGCGGTTGCAGACCGCTGGCCAGTACCCGTTGGCATGAGGCGCACGAGGTTTCGGTTTATGCTCGGATACGGTTGCTGCTCGGCACAGGTGGGTGGGATGCTAGGGTGCCTCGAGGGATAGAGGGGAAGACCAACCAACGCAACCAATACGGGAGACGGTCCAACTGCCAGATGGCCTACCTGCGCGAGAGCGCTAAGGCAGCACAGCAGCACGCTAGGAACGCTATGTGCGCTATTTTGGCTTGAGCGCTGCTGCTATTGCTGGCTACGGCTGTCTAATTCGACCAAGGCTAAAGCTGCAGGCGCGATGACAGCGCTGGAGGCTTGGCTGTCGTTTGGATCGACTCTGGTGTCGTTACAAGGTACGAGGGGTACGGCGAGTAAGTGAGCGGCGCACAGGCATGCAGGGGGCTGTCAGGTGTCGAGGCACAGGCCGTGAGCAGGACGACATGCCGGCATGACGAATCTGTCCCGTGTCCAGGCCAAGTGCAGAGGATATCGCAATATGCGTACAGAGTATATGTTGATCCGCGCGTGTCTTCCTTCTGGGCCTCGCTAGTGCTTTAGCCCGTGCACTGCATGGTGCGGGTGTAAGCTTGTAGGCTTGTAGCTGGGGCCTCAAGCCCCGGCCCTCGATCCCTCGAACGCTTCCGGCATCCGGCAACAACTTAGGACAGTGGGTGGTTGCGCGATCCTAGATCCCAAAGGCGCGGAAATGGCTAGAACGAGCGCCAATCGGGCTAAGCCCCGAATATCCCAACAGACCGCGGATGCACGGGTGCACGGCATGCACGGGGTGCATCCCAAACGCAGGCTTGTGGACGGGAGCGCCTCACGTTTGATATCTTCCATGTGCTGCTGCGATGACTGCCATTCGTTCGCAGATTGGGGCCCACGGGGACAGCATGATGGCCGCCAGACACGAATGGCCCGGCAGGTCGGTAGCTCACCATCCATTGGATGTCCGCAAGCGTTGACTGCTGCACGACCAGTGTCGGGACTGAGTGCACAGGTACTGACAGGGCATCAACCCGCTCGCCCGAGGCTCAAGTTCGATTGCAGTTCACGACCAACTTTAAACCGAGTAACTCTAACTGGACACGAAGCGACGAGCCAGTGGAGCGCGTCAGCCATTCGCAGTCCACGACGCAAGGACCCAAGTCACTCCGCGCTCGATACGCTTCGATCAAGAAACGGCAAGTAGTTATTAATGCAACAGGCCAGTTGGTGCATTCCTCTCTGTTCCCGAAGCGTTCACTTCGCGACGATCCACCGACTGGGAATGCCTCATGACACGTTGGCTGGGAGGTCTCCCGGCGAAGCCAAGCGTAACCGGCTGTGCCTGTGAGGTCTAACGCAACTAGCCCTGTCATGCATGCATGCTTGGCGGTGCGCTTTGCCGTAGCATGGACCTAGCGTTCGGGCTTCGGTCCGAACACCGCCTCGAGCTGACGAACAGCACGTCCAGCGTAGCTTTCGGCAGTGCACCATGACCCAGCTCTTCTTGTCCCGTGCAGATGGCAAGAACACAGGCTGATGGGGCACCACGCGCTCCGGAGTAGCGGAAGCCGCAGACAGCGGCCTCCTGCTCGTTTCAAACTCTATCTCGCCAACTGGCGGGCACATAAGGCGAACGGCCTTCGGCCAGCGGTCAAGACCTTTCTGCAATGGTCCAGGCTCAGCGCACAGGAGGCACCAGGCCGGAGCGGCACTGACCCGAAAGTCGATTTTGCGACGTTGGTCCGCAAATTCGTCGTACATGCGAGTCGCCATCGCGCCCTCCTATCGGCAGGAGGCGAAGGTTGCACTGCCCAGCTCGGTGGGTCCTCCCGCCAATGGCGTTCGCGAGGCAACGGTATCGCCATCGACTTGATAAGCATGCTTGGATTGCCCACAAAGAACGAGTAGTCCTTTAATTCAAGGTTATGACTAATGAAGCCGTGAGTGGATTTACGGTTGTTGACGACGTCGCCTGACGCCAACAACGGCGAACTTTCCGTCAGCTCACTGGAAAAGCCGGCAGAGCTGCTCAGTCGGATGGCTTTCTCTCTCAACTGTCATTCGTCTCAAGTGACATCAGCTCACGGTGGTCACACCCAGAATGGGCTGCCGACACCATGTGACACGGCTGGCGATTGATCAGACTCCATCCGCCGGTTCACCGATCTCCATTCCATCAGTCCTCCTCAAGGACCTCGTCGACTTGCAGCCCGTAACAGCCAGCTGCCACGCTGCCGAGGGGCACATGCCTCGGCCGGTGATCGTCCTCGGCTCCGAGGTCGTCCTCTCTATTCCCCCCGGCCAGGTGACGGGCGAGTCAGCGCGAGGGCGTGGCGATCACGGACGAATACCGCGGAGGCTCTTCGTCACCGTGTTGGAGGACATCGCACTCAGGTATGCAATTCCCCTTGGTTAGTCAAACGCCGTCAATGTTCCAGCTGCCATCAGTGATAGCCGTGAAAGCTTACGTACGCCGCGCCCGCGGCCATATCTTATCAGGTGAATATCATTGATGACAAAGCCGCTCGGCAGAAGTGACTACCATGAATGCCTCCACGACTGATTCGCCTGACAGGACGACTGCTGTGGCCACTGAGGTGCTGAGGTACAAGGCGTGTATGGCAAGGAAAGAGGACCAACAGTAAGCACAATGTGCAACCCAGGCTCATTACCACACTACGAGTACTTCCCCCATATCCTCGAGGGTTCCTGTTCGCAACCTCGCAAGCCGCTCCGAAACGCTGGGTTCCCTGCTGACGTGTCGATTATTGCGTGGCCAAGTTGACAACATACTCGCGCGACACCTAGTGCTCACCGATTGCGTGCGGACGGTTGAAGACAGACGAATGCCAACTTTCTCGCCCTGCAGCACTCATCGACCGACAGAAAGGCTGCTCGACGTGTATGGCGACCCCTCTCCAGCCCTAAAGCTCGCTCTGCAGTACGCTCGGCTACTCACAGCTCGGGTGTACGGAGGCTGCCACCAGGGGGACTTCCAATGCCGTACGCTGCTGCTGCACTCACTGCACCAGTTCCCCCTTGCGACTTGCGTACACTTTGATCCTGAACTTCCGAGGATCCGGTTACGCTCACTTTGTGACGGCGGCGACGGGGGAATGCCATACGCTGGCTATGCCAGGCATTCTGCAGGTGGTGTTTCTCAATGGGATACGGAGGGAAATGATACCAATGATCGTGATCAAGGAATGGGAGAGGGAATGCGGACTACAGTCTCCTATACTGGAACTCGCCAACTAGTTGAGGACGGACAGACATGGGTTGTCTCACGACAAATGCCAAGCCTCGGAGGTTCCGATATTGTGGTAAAGGTCACGAGCGCACCAGATTCATGTCGCGATAACAAGCAATAGCAATGTTACGATCGGAAACTGACCAGTCCCATGACCCACGTCTGTCAGCCGCGCGTCGCATATATGTGGCGCTCATTAACCAATACCGCAGTTCAAAAGAGCACATCAATGCAAGCTTCTCCTCGGTGTTGTGGTGTGGGACGCAGCCTCCGCCACACTATAACTCTTTGCGCTTTAGGCGAGTGCCGCCCGAGCTGGTGACAGAACATAAAGAACATGGCCCGGCAGCCACCGGGTCTTATCGGTGCGCCGACATGTGCAGCCATATCCGCATGAATATCCGTGGGAGTCCCATCTTCAGATCTATCAACGGTCTGAGCACGGGATGGTCGGCTCTTTTCTCTCTGCTACTGGCCATTGTAGTCACCATTCAAAAGTCACATTCCGCCAGCCTCTGACGCCAGGACCTAGACAGTAGTAAGCCAGGACCTGGCCCTGTGTCGCAGATGGAATCTCCGTCGTGCTCCGCGACATGCGGGGGTGGACGATGCATGGTGATAGGCTGCTCCGTTCTTTATACGACGCACTCGTCAGCTGGTAAGTCAGCATTCTGCCATGTTGCCCCAACAGACCCAACAGAGAAGTGAGACACGCCGAACCCAGTTCTTTTTTTGTCCTGCTCGACACCACTCGCACGGCTCTTTGTTATCTGCCCAGAGAAGCGGTAACTGCGCCGCTCTGAGCGCCAGCGGGCCGAGACCTCGCACCCGATCCGATCTGATCTCGCAGTCGCTCGGTCGCTCGCATGCAACGCTTGCGCCGGCAAGCCCCCCCTTGATGCTCGGTCCGGTGCCCGATGGCCTCAGTTCAGTCGCCGAATGTAGTCAGTGGCGCGGATTGCTGTTCCGTATCCCATTTAGGATGTCTCAAGTGTTCTGATGCAAACCGCCGCCAGGCCGCTTGAGATACACAGCTTCCATACCCTCGTCAACACCTGTGCATCGGGTCACACTGCAGCCGATCGAAAAGCAGGCCGACCGAAAGTAGCGACCGACGGCCGTTGTCCGCGTTCCATCCGTTCTGTCCGTCGAGCCGAGCTGCGTGCCTCGAGTCCAGACACAGAGGCGTCGATCATGACGTCGCCGGGCGCACGAGCCGATGGCGATTATCAAGCACTCTCAAGGCTCTCTGATGGTGCGCCCCAGCATCGCTCCATCACTCACCGCTCGCATTCCTGATATTCCTGCATCTCAGCGGCTCGCTGGCCGGCCGGGGTGCCGGCCGGGCAGACAACGGCGACCTCCCCACTCTCATGCCCGTCTGTCTCTCGCCCCCAGCCAGTGCCCCCGAGCGGTCGGACAGGCTGGCTTACCCAGTCCTGCCTGAATGCAAGATTGCCTGATTAATCATGTGGCCAAGTGTGCCAACCTGCGTGATGTCGCCATGTCCCTGTGCCGCCAGGCGTATGCTGGGACTTGCTGCTTTATACGCTGGCAGCACGGGACCGAAGACGTGCTTCTCTTACTCGGGGGTATAAAGGTTCGTCGAGAGCGGCCGAACAATCCGATCATATCTTGATTACCGCGGCAAACTCGTTCGCGACCGCGAGTGAGGCACTGTCGACAGTGTACTCGGCCCCAAGAACAACGAAGGAGATAAACAAGCCCCCTGACGAACAACGAGTAACGCAGTCAACATGGGTGACACGCGCTCCCCCGTGCCTTCGTCTAGTCCGGCTCCTTCACCCTGGAAGCACGCGTGTGGACACGCCTCGCTGGCGGAGCCGAGCGGCCCGCCATTGTCCACCACCGACGCAGACGCAGGCTCGAGCACGCCCAGCATGCCCAGCACGCCCAGCACGAGCAGCAGCGGCGTGGCCCCCGTGCTCGATCACTCATGCTTCCCACACATCGTCGACGACATTCTCCTCTTCAGCAGCCACAACACACGTCTGTCGTTCCGCGCCACGAGCCGTGCGTTCAAGTCCCTCGTTGATCGCCTGTACTCTGAGCGAGTCGTTGCGAACGACGCAGGCCTCTTTACCCCATCTGGAAGGCTCATCCCGTTCCTCTCCCCGTTCAGTTCGCCCTCGTCCACCCCACCGTCTACGCCAACGTCGCCTTATCGTCCCGAGCATCCCGAACAGCCCGTCATTCGCCGCCTCGACGTGATGTGCGAGTGGGCCCTGCCTGCTGTTGAGGCGGCTCTGGCACGCTTGACGCTGGATACGGTGCATGTGCACGGGCAGTGTCGCTCAGTGCACGTCGAGTGTGACACACTCGTACTCCATGCCGCTCTTGAACTCACTGGGCCCAGAGTAAGGACTCTAGTGCTCGATATCGATGCACCCAAAGGGTTCACCTACTTTGTCAAGCGGCCCAGCATCCCCGCCGACAACACGTTCGTCGTTGTTCATCCGGACGTCGAGCTCCTGCTCGACTGCGATGGCGAAGTGACCCAGCTCTCGCACGAGGAGTGGGCGTTCCTCGAGAATTGCCGGTCCCTCTAGCCTCGTTTGTGATCCCGCCTGCGATGAGCGTGTGCCGCGCCCTGTAGCCCTATCGCCTGCCTGTTGTAAGTCGTAAGCTCTGCTTTCCTCATGTTGTAAGCTCTTGCGTCTGTACCCTGGCTTGCTGGCTTGCGTTTCAGTAGAAACTGTATAATGAGTAGAATAGACCGATATCAGACGTAGACTTGATTGTTAGACTTTGATAGGAAGAGTGTATGATAAGTACGATGCTAGAATGCAACTATGAAGCAGTCCAGAAGCTATCTCACGGCCATTGAAGCAAGAACGGAGCCAGAGTTTAAGGCTGTCGCGTGCTGATCGCTCGGCTCCGTCGGCAACAGCGCTTGGGCCCAGGTACGGTCCGCCATCCGGCGATCGCCGATGTTTTCGCCGCTCGCACGAGCTTTTCAAAACGCTGATCACTCTGTGCCGAGCACGCTGAGCGCATGCATACGCAAGAAACATCTGGGCGTGGCATGCACAGCGGGCGGCACTGACATTCCTTCGCGGCTGTGGGGCACAATCTGTGGGTTGTCGAAAATAGCGACTCTCCCAAGAACAGGATGCCGCAAAGTGGGCACCCACGGGGCGGCACGCGGTGCTTGGCGCGGCTCCTGCGCCGGAGCAGCGGGACGGGCCACTCCCTTTTCGGACGTCTTTTGCACCACTCATGCTTTATCCGCTGCCTTACCAGAGTCACGCGCTCCACTAACGCTTCTACGCGAGCGAGCTTGAATGCCGAAGCTCTAGTCAGAAAAGAGCAGGTCGACTCGGTATTCAACAACAACAATTCCACCAAGCGAGATCTTACGGCCGAGCAGAGAGGTGGCATCTGACCAAGCCTCGAGACATTTTCGGAATAGGCCGACACCACCCTCTCCACCCACCCACATTTGACTTCACACTCCCACCTGCATCTCTGCATTGCTCTCTCCACCACTTAGCTTCGCGCTGCATCTCATGCCCGTGCGGATACGCCGAACACGATGACGAAGATGACGGAGAAGTTTGCCTCGCCCTCTGCGGGCGGCGCCGACCCGCCCCATACTGGCACGATCGAGGCGGTCGTCCTGGAGCGCAATGGGCCGGAAAGCCCAGGCGACCACATCATCGAGACCAAGTTTGGAATCGAGGAAGAAAACGTCGACGGCGCGACAGTGCACTCGCTGCACTCTGTCCCCATCGACAAGGAACCAGAGGACGCGACCGACTACCCCGACGGAGGGTATGGGTGGGTCTGTGTCATCTGTGCCTTCATGGTAAGTCCGATGGGAGCCCCGATCGCAACTCCGCGACCCATGGCCTCGTGACCACATCTCATCAACGAGTTTGGCAATGTTGGTCTGTGAATGCGGCATCGATTGCTCTTGGCATTTACTCTGTGCAAGTGGCTGACGTCAAAAGGTCAACTTTGCGACCTGGGGCATCAACACGAGTTTCGGCATCTACCTCTCGTTCGACCTGGAGAGCAACCGCTTCCCGGGCGCGAAGGACATTGATTTCGCCTTCATCGGCTCGCTGTCACTTTCGCTGGCGCTCGCGATCGCCCCTTTCTCGAACTACCTGTCGAAGACGTTCCACTGGCGCTACTCCCTGATTCTGGGCACGATCTGTGTCGTCGCTGGCCAGATTCTGGCCGGCTTCAGCAAAGAGATCTGGCAGCTGTACCTGACGCAGGGCATGCTGTTCGCCATCGGCCTCGGGCTCACCATGGTCGTGAGCAGTCCGATCGTGTGCCAGTGGTTCGGCACGAAGCGTGCGTTTGCGATCGGCATCGTGTCTGCTGGATCTGGCGGTGGCGCGCTGTTCTTCGCCAACATTACGCGCATCACGCTCGAGCGCCTCGGAAGGCAATGGGCATGTGTCGTCAACGGGTGTATCAGTGGGGCATGCCTTATTCCCGGCCTGCTCTTCTACCGTACGCGCGCGACACAGCTCAAGGTCCGTTTCGAGCCGTTCCAGCCCTCCTTCTACAAGAACCCGGGCTTCATCGGCATGTGTCTCTGGGGCGGGTTCATTTCCTTCGCGTACGCGATCGGAATCTACACCGTGCCCACATTCGCAACGCAAGGTCTGGGTCTGAGCCAGAAGGACGGCTCGACGTTGCAGTCTCTTCTCGCTGTGGGCCAGATCGTCGGCCGCCCGCTGACGGGATACGTCCTGGACAAAGTCGGGCGATTCAACGGCGCCATCGTCACTACGCTTGTGGCGTGCATCTCGTGTCTGGCCATATGGCTGCCGGCGCAGAACTTTGCCACCCTCGCTGTGGCCGCGATCGTGCAGGGCGCCTCGAGCGGTATCTTCTGGAGCTCTTCGCAGGCGCTGCTTACCGATCTCGTCGGTATCAGGGACATGGCCAGCGCGCTCTCCATGCTGTGGCTGAGTAATGTGGCCCCCGCCACCGTGTCCGCCCCCATTGCGATCTGGCTCGCGGACTACTCCCGCAAACGGGGCAAGACAGGCGCCAGCGTGTTCCACGACGGCATCATCTTCGCTGGCGTCTGCTACTTCGCATCCGCCGTGAGCCTGTACGGCACGAAACGGTATCTCCAGGGCAACTGGAAGCCGTTCGTGAAGAAGTGAATACGCCTCCGAAAGCGACCCAGCCAGCTCACCAGGCTGTTCGACAAGAATTGCGAAATGGACAATTCGAAACGAAGTGAATCGAAATGAAGTGGAGAAATTCAACCCCACAAACTGTTCGAGAACAACGTTAGGAAAGGAAAGAACCACACCCAACAACCAAGAAGAAATAGACTACCCACCCATCGGCCAGAGATCAGTAAAAGGTAACTAGGGCATAGAGGGTCTCGGGACACACATGTTTGTAACTCATATCTCCTCCGCATTTACACACCACACACTCCCCATCACAGCCAGAGATCAGTAAAACGTAACTAGGGCTTTCCAGGGACATACACACAGCATGTTTGTACTCATATCTGCATCACACCGGTAGTCATGTCATGTCATGTCATGCTCTTCATCACGTCGTGGCGCCACACCAACTAGCCAGAGACTACTACGCCTAGTAGTACGACGGCCGCTTCTTCTGCTGTGCCGAGTACGTCCTGTACGCGGCGACGGCAAAGGCGACGAACGCGAGCACACCAATGACCTTGAGCAGGAAAAGGAACCAGGACGCGACGCCGCCCGAGCTGCTGGCCGGCGGGGCACGGCCGCCGTTCTGGTTGTACGACGCGGCCTGGAAGGCCGTCTGGCGACCGCCACCGCCGACAGCGGCCGTGGCCTTGCTGTCCTGGTACTGGTACTTGAGGGTGGCCGAGTAGGCCGCGACGGAAATGATGCTGGTGGTTAGCTCAATCATAGAAGCGCAGCAGCTACTCGTACTCACTCATGGTTGTCCGTGACCTCGCCGGTGGCAGCCGAGAAGCCGATGTAGGGCGCGGGCGGGAGCTGGATGTCCTTGATGAAGCAGGTGGTCCACTGCCCCTCCTTGTCGGTCTGGAGGGAGAGCTGGAATCCCTTTCCGGCAAGGTACGTCATGCGGGCCTTGGTGGGCACGTCGCGGCGGCGGAAGTTGATGCTGCAGCCGGCAAGCTCGGTCGCGGCATTGTCGCCGTTGTGGTCGTAGCTCGTGTGCCCGTCGCCGAGCATGGCAGTGACGCGCGGGAGCGAGTACGAGTGGCGCGAGTTGGCGTACGTGTCGAAGAAGATGCCGAGGCCCTTGAAGTTGTCCTTGGACCCGAAGACGGGGCCGGTCACCGCCCGGTCCTCGGTGATCCAGATCGCGAAGCCGTCGCCGTACATCGACGACGCCTTGCCGTCCACCTTGAACTCGACCTCCATCTGCCAGTTTGACACGGAGAGCGGCAGTCGGCTCCACAGCCATCCCTTCTCGCTCTGCCGGTCCTGCGTCAGGCGCATGTGCCGGTTCGTGTTCACGATCGTGTCCTCGCCAAAGTCCCACCTGTCGTTAGCTCCCGATATGAACAACGTAGCTGCACGTTTGTGCTGCGCGCATGCACGCATCACTTCAGTTAGCGCCAGTACAACTCACCATCGGTTCTGCAGGTCGCTGTCAACGTAGGGGAGGTGAAGCGAGTGTGTGCGGAGATGATTCCTCTGTACCGGTCAGCTCAGTCTGAAGTAGCGCGAGGTGGAGGTTGACGAACCTTGTCGACCATGTCCTCTGGGATGTTGCTGGGTGCACCCGCGGCCGCAGCCGAAATGGCGCCGAGCACGACGGCTGTTAATGATCCCCAGAGCATGCTTGTTCCGGGTCGGTTGTGTCGTGTTTTGTGTGCAAGTTGCGATGTAGGGAGAGAAACGCGTCCTTGGAGGCGTCACATTGCCATCTCGCTGGTGCCCTGCCAGCGTTGCACGTACAACACACGCCGATCGGACACGTGGATTTGCCCCCGTCTGGATGCCGACTGCCGGCTGCGTGTTCGTGGGTCAGGGTTCACGTTCTGAAGTCGATGGAGGGAAGGAGGGAGGACCATGATGAAATGTTCGGGTGGAGGTTGGACACTTTCCCAACGACAATACTCCATGTGGGCTACGACATTACGACAGGCGTCGGCGGCTAGGTCAAAGGCCGCGGGAGGGCTGAGCCTCCAGCACGTAAGCTTCGGATGCCTCATACGCGAGCTGACCACAGTTCATTCTTCATGCTGAGATGATCAAGGCGTATCGGAAAGCTGTGAGGGCGACGAGACGTAAGCTTTGTTGGCCTCGCTTCAGAGCTAACACGCAGCACTTCCAGACCCGGAGACACGACGAGAAACGCTCGACTGGCTGCGTGCCGATCTTGAGCGGCTACGCTTCGAGACGGACCTTGAGAAACTCAAGTCAAATCTTTCGTCATTCAACAAGAATCTCAAAATCATGGTGCCTTCCCTCGGCCTCGGTGGTCTCACGCCAGACAGCGGTGCGAAGCTCATCGGCCAACGCCGGAGATAATACATATGTACTGACTATGTACTACTACTTTACATTGTTACTTGCTCTGCTGGCTGTGCTGGCTGTGCTGCTTCATCCTGTACCGGCCCTGCTTCACGCTCATCTCGTGGTGCTCGCCGCACAGCGCGAGCTGCGTCGGGGGCTCCATCGCTGGCTCCTCAGTCGTGAAGTACGCCATTTGCAGTGCGGCGTCGGCGCTGACGCGCTGCTTCGGGTCGAACTTGAGTAGCTGCTCGACGACCTCGATGCTCCCCTCGGAGAGGTTGAGGCTGCCGAAGCTCTGGCGAAAGCGAGATGGCACGACGTCTTTCGGCTTCACGAGCTCGTACCACGGCAACTCCTTGATACCAGGCCAGGAAGCCTCGTCTGGTGTGCCTAGAATCCCGTAAATGACCTCGAGCTGAGAGATCTCGTCGCTGCCTTGGAACGCGGGCTTGGAGGTGAAGATCTCGAGCATGATGCAGCCCGCGGACCACATGTCGACCTCGGGTCCGTACGCCGTCTCGCCCATGAGCAGCTCTGGACTGCGGTACCACAGCGTAATGACGCGGTTCGTGTAGTCCATGCGCTTGTGTTTGTTGTAGAAGCGAGCGAGACCGAAGTCGGCAAGCTTCAGCTCTCCGTCACCGTTCAGGAGAATGTTTGAGCCCTTCATGTCTCGGTGCAAGATGCCTCGCCTGTGAAGGTACCCTAAGCCCGCGAGCATCTGGTAGTTCAACGGCTTGATGTTGGCGGGCGACAGCTTCACCTCGGGGTGGGACAGGATACCCGTCAGATCGTGGTTCATGTACTCGAGAACCATATACACGGAACCTGATGTCAGCTCTGAGCTCCGATGACGAAGCTCACCTTTCGAGACCATCATTTCAGACAAGCGCACAACATTCTCGTGGCGCAGGGCTTGTAGCAGCTTGATCTCGCGCATCGACGTGACAGGGAAGCCATCCTTCTCCTGCTCCATACGGATGCGCTTGAGAGCCACGAGGGCACCGTCCTCGACCCTCCTGGCCTTGTACACCTTACCGTACGTTCCCTCTCCGACCTGGGCGAGCCGTTCGTAAGCTTCGCCAGGAGCGACTCGGCTGCGACTGCTCTTAGCAACCGCACCGGGTACGCCGGGAGGACCAGGGGTCGATCCGCTGCTGCCCGTCGGCGGGGCGAGGCCGCGTCCAGCCGGGCCAGGCGGTGGTGGGCGATCACCTGGAGGGCCAGGGGTGGATCCTGAGCTTCCAGTCTGTAACCTCTCGCTTCTGGGACCAGTGGGCGGAGCCTTCCTAAGACTGTCCTTCTCCCTAAGAAGGGCTTGTGCGTGGAGGTCGCGCAGATCCTTCTGGTCCTGGTCGTGCTGGCTTCTAACGCTGAGCAGCTGCTGGATCTGGTCCAGCTCAACCTGATTCGGCGCCCGGCCAAAGTAGTGATTGAGGAACTCGGGTAGCGAGGGCGTCGCGTTCTGCGCGTACCATTGTGCGAAGGCTTGCTTGATGTACGGTGAGACATTGCGCATGTGCTGGTCGTACTGCTGCTCCTTCGCCGCCATGCGGTCCAGGTACGCCTCGGGGCGGAGCAGGCTGCTGCCCTGGTCCTTGACGGGTGCCCACTTGGTTGGACTCCACTTGTCTGCGCGGTGCGGTCCGGGTTCCTCGTCGACGTCCATTTCGACTTCGGGCGCCTCAGCTTCCAGGCCAGAGCCCTCAGAAGCAATGGGTCGCCACCCGGGGCGCAGGCTACGCTGTGGTCCGCCATTGAAGGCTGGGTGCGGGGATCGCTCGCTACGCGGCCCCGTCGGCGGCAAACGTAATGCACCGGGTTCTCGCGGCGGAGTGCGCCTGAACCCCCTAGGTCCAGTAGGCGGAACATTGGGCTGGCGGGGTGGCGTGTCGACGTGCATCCGCTGCTGGCGGGATGGAGACTGACCACGCTGCACGGGCGATTCACCGCCCCATCGTCGTGGTGGTGGAGGGGACTCTCGCCGCCGGCTGCCAGTGGGAGAGGGCGACCGTGTTGGCGAGCGGCTGGGACTAGCAGGCTTGCCCCATTGGCGCATCTTGACTGGCCCATCCGAGACCTGCGCGAACGGCTGCTGAGCCTTGCCCCACTCGCGCTGCTGTCGTGGGCCGGTCGGGGGCTGCCATCGCTGCTGATCCCACTTGTTCGCACGCTTTCTCGGCGAGGTACTCCGCTTGCGAGGCGAGACTGAGCGTTTCCGGTTCACGGGCGATAGTCGCTTAGGCGAGGAAGGCGAGCGTCGGCGCGGGGAAGGCGAGTGTCGCCGGGGTGACGGTGACCGACGACGAGGGGAGAGCGAACGCCGCTTGGGAGAGGTTGACCAGCGACGAGACGGGGAAGGAGAGCGGCCGTTTCGCCTGGGTGATGGCGAACGAGAGAGGGGGGAACGAGTGAGCGAGCGACCACGGCTGGGCGATCGAGGTGAGAGGGACGTATCGCGAGCCCGTTTTGATGGTCCTCGGGCGGGCGAGTAGACTCTTCGCTTGCCCTCAAGTGATGGCGAGCGATACCGTCTGCAGGAGTCAGTTGTTGCTTCAAGTCGTCGACTCACCTCCTGTCGTCCTCTGACTCCGAGTCGCTTCGACCTCTAGGCGAGTCGTCTCGTCCCCGGGATGAGCTTCGGTCACCCCATCTCCGCTCTTTCCTCTTCGGCGGTTCCCTCTGGTCCCATCGATTCGGGCGGCCCGTCTTGCGTGCCCGGTCCTGCGTAGCCTGAGAAGCCTGAGACGAAGCAGAGTGCTGAGACGTGTGCGACTGGATCGGCTCGTCTGGACTGCTGCCCTTCCAGGCGCTGGTGCTGGGGCGGTCGCGCTCGCGGTCTCGGTCGTAGTCCCGCTCGTTGTTGTCGGCTGCACGGTCGGAGCTACGCTTCCAGCCGTCGTCGTCGTGATTGCGCCAGCTGCGGTCATCGTCGCGGTCGCTACGGTCCCGGTCATTGCGGTCGTTGCGGTCGTTGCCCCACCGCCGCTCCTGGCTCGCTCCGGTCCAGCGGTCACCGCGGTCGCCGCCGGCGCCGCCGTTGTTCCACTGCTTCTTCCCGCGCTTGTTCGGGCGCCAGGACGACTCGCGCTTGATGTTCCACCCGCCCTGCCCTCGGTTGCGCGACGAGTCACCGTTCCCCGAGTCCCAGTTACGCCGGTAGTCCGACATAGTCGAGGGAGTTACGGGGTGTGCGGGAAGCGTCTACGCGCGCGTCGAGGGTGTGGAATGGCGAGGGATGCGCACTACAGGTATCGAATGGATGTGGGATCGATGGTTCGTAAGGTAACTCTGGATCGGACGGAGGTCGTAATATCAAGAAAGGCGTGGAAAGGAAGAACCGTCGTTGGTGGATACTGAAAACAAGCCGGGTGTGATCACGAAAACTCGATGAGACACCGACTTGCACCTTGCAGTCGAGAGATCCTGGTGAACTCGTTTCAAAACGTCACTCTTGTCCCTTACGTAACCAGGCTACCACACTCCGGCACATCGAAGTCGTTCTGTAGCTATTCGGGTCTTCGGATCACCTTATCTTCGGACTTGTAGTATGCGTCTGGTGTGTGCCTGGTGCTCATTACCGGAACTCGCTGAATGCATACGACAAGTGAAATCGAAACAATTAACTACAACTAAGGACCGACCATACTCTGCAGCTCATGACATCTCCCGACTCCTCCTCTCACCATCGCTCAATTATACCCCCTCCGGATACGCCTGTTTCCCTTTGCCATCTGTCTTGAGGATGACGCCGTCGTTGCTATCGGGAGGTTTGTCCGGTTTCATGGCGGTGAACAGCGTTCTGGAGAAGGGAATGTTCTGTTCGTTTGCGGCGACTTTGGCCCTGTTTCTCCGTCAGCTTGCAGTTGAGGGGTGTCGGGTGTATTCAGCGATGTTTGCTGCACCGACAGACGCACCCGGTCCACCCGTCCGGCCCCTTCCCGACCCACGGCGACGGTGCCGGCATGTATCCCGGCGGATTGGACGAGTAGGGCCAGGTCCAGCCCGGCGGCAGGGCGTTGACCGGGAACGTGAGCGTCGTTGGACGCTGTTGAGGCTGGTCGTGCCACAGCCCGCCCCACATGGTCATGATGGCATCCTGGCGCTTCTTCGCCTCCTCCGCCTCCTTTGCGTTTTTGGCCTTGGTCGCGCGGTCGAGCAGAGGCTTCGCCTCCTTCCGCACATGGGTCGCACCCTGCGTCGTGTTCCCCATCTTGGTCAGAGGCGTGACCTTGTCGATAAAGTCGATCGCTTGCGCGTCCTTCAGCTTCTTGCACACGAGCAGAGCCTTGTAGTTGAACGGCCACCCGCTGTCGAGACGCTCCTTCAGAACACCGATGATCTCCTTCTCGTAGTCCTTGTCTGCGAGCCAGGTCTCGATGAGCTCCAGCTGCGTCGAGTCGGGCTCCGTGTCTGCATCGTTCGTCGCAATCTGCACATATTCCTTGACGGCGGCTTTGCGCGCGTCCGCACTGCATGTTAGCTGTTGCTCGTCACGAACAACTGACCTCGGAGAAGTGAAGATCCGTCTCAGCAGCGCCTCGTTTGGCTTGGCCGGCGCCGCGACAGGTACCCAAGCCCCGGGCATCGTCTGCGGAGCTGAAGGGAATCCTGGGGGAAGTGGTACGGGAACGCCTCCGCAATGCGGTTGGCATTGGTTGTGACACGGGTGCCAACCTTGGTAAGGGCCACTGCCGTAGGGGAACATCTGTGATGAGTTCTCTGAACCCCGTATGACTCACGATGAGGACGACTGAGGTGAGTAAGGAAAAGGAAGTGAGATGAGGTGGCAACTGTTGGTGACTGGCCTAAGTGTTAACTTGGGGGCGAAGTGGACGTGAGGCATCGGCACGGCACCTTCCCTGCAATGAGCTGGAGGCACGCACGAGGGTGATGTCAGTGGGAGCGACGCGGCGAGGCGGGCGGCGAAGGGAAGTGATACGATTGATCCGAGGGGCTTCTCCTCCGGCGGGCACAGAATGTCTCGAGTTTGTCGAGTTAACTGGATCGATCCAGTCAGCTCTGCGTTCCCAGTTGTGGTCCGGGACGCGTCGAGTGACTGGTCAGCGAGTCGGGCTGAGGTCTGTGTGTGGAGATGAAGGTGGAGTGTATGATGCAGAGAAACATCGAGAGGGGGGATCGCGCTTTGTCCCTCTGTTTCTTGACGAGTGGCGTGGCGTGTTGTGGGCACTGGGAGGAAGACGAGGGGACGCGCGTCAAACAGTAACCTCATTTTGTCATGCCAATAGGAGGAACGTGCACACAGCGCCGGTCCTGCCCGTCTTCTGGCCCACCTGTAAGATTAGAATCGAGTCTCTGTGCTTTGCCTTTCTGTCAGTGCTCACGTTAGCATGCACCCAGCCCGACCCTTGCTGCATGACTCAAGACTTCTCGGTCCACCGCTGGTTCCGTACACATTACATGATCAACTGCGAGAGCACTGACAGACGAAATATCCATGGACAGGCGCAGTAGTTTACGAAGGGTTCTTGCCGGAGTTGTTCTGCCACATTAGCCACCGCGCTGACAGCTTGAACCCACAGTGTTCCTCTCGGAGTAGTCCCTGATGACGTGAGAGGCAGCTCCGACGCCGAGTCCGATGCTGGCACCGCCGAGGACGAGGAGCGGGAGGGGTGCCCTTCGAAGGAAAATAGCCGGGGTAGCAACACCACCAACAAAGGCGCCGATGATAGACCAGTCATCCTTCTCGATCTCACTCTTGTTGTGCCTCTGTTCGTCAGCTCGAGAATGCGAGTGCAGCTGGTCAATACGTACGAGCGAGGTAACCTGAGCCGCAGCCTCGATGTCCGACTCTTGGCTGGTGCGCGCGTAACCAATTCCGACACCAATGGCCGCTCCGGCGAGGACGCTGGCAATGCTGAATCCCATCCACTTGCGGACGTAGAGGCCCTGGCCCTTGCCAATGCTGTAGATGAGGTAGGCGGGAGGAAGAATGAAGGAGGTGGCCTGAGCGGTCTTCAGCGCCTGGTGGGCGGTGAGCTGCCCCTTCGGCGAGAGGTTGTCAAGGAACGAGTTCTTTGAGGTGGCCGCCATGATGTGCGTGGATGGGCGTGTAGGTGTGTCCAACGAGATGAAGTAAATGCAAAGTGCGGAGTTGAGTGGATTGGTCGCGATGTGCCCAGTCAATCATTATTTGATCGGCGCTATGTGACGTCACGGACGGGCCGCGGCCGGAGGGACGGGCACTGTCCGTCCCTCCATGTATCACCAGCTCACCGGGTCAAAAGACCATCCTCAGAGACCGCCAAGCAATCGGCTCTAACGGCTGTCAGAGCATCAGACGAGCTGTCGCGATCGAAAACTGCATCGCGTAGGTCGCGTTGCGACATATGAGAGTCTGGGACTGAATGATGGACAGGTTTGCGGCTGTTCACCGGCGGTCTGAACAGAAGCGGAGCCGAGGGCCGCACAGCTGCGTACTCTGTGTACACACAGATCCGCGCACACTGACAGTCGAAGAGCAGACAGGTGGAGAGTTCCGAGGTCTCTTCGGACTCCCCGTGCTAATCCGACGGCCAGTTGTTCGGACATGTTGACAGACCTGACCGCGACGAAACACAGCTACCACATTTCCTCGACGCTTCCATTCCTCCTCACAGCCGAGGCTTTGTGGGCAGGCTTTTGGGATCCGCCGGATAAGAGGAGATAAGAACAGATGTCTGTGTCCGGTGATACATCGATGCCGTCGGCTCTGCAATCGGTTCGCTGTTGGTACTCTTTCTCCGCACGCAGCCCACCGCCACCGTTCCGCAATGTGCTAGCTCTCCACTCGCATAAGCGGCTCCGACACTGTCTCTCGCTTCAAAGCGTTCGCATTCCTGGGGGAAGGGTTATACGTGCGACTTTACGTTGTGAGTAAGCCCGTACAAGCCGAACTGGGTGTTAGTAGTTTCATCAGTTGGGCCCCATCAGTCAGGCACACCGAACCCAGCTGGTATCCGTCAGGGCGCAGCCACACAGAGGGAGTCTGTTTTCTTTCTTAGATGTGGAGAACGCTGCGATCGCTAGTAATAACGCTTATTGAGGTGGGCTCGAGCATCCCGTCCGTCTGTCTGGCCGGCATCCATCAACGGCCGGTTGCTCGATGCGATGGAGAGTTTCTGGGTGAAGCTTCGACCCCTGGCGCGTTGAGTGTGTGGTCTTGGGATGGAACAAGTGCGGAACCAGACTGAAACACCGCCACGGATTGATCCCGTGAGCGCGCCTGATGCGCCTGACGCAACCTGAATGGGCTTGGGCCAGACAGCCCAGGTGTGCCGGCCAGGTGGCCAGGTGCCAGGTGCCGGCCAGGCGGGCGCCAGTCAGTTCCGCAGGAAATACAGCCAGAGACCGTGACGATCTTGGCCGCCGCTCGTCGTCAACCGGCCATGGCACGCTGACAACTGCTCGAACTCACTCTCGAGATTCCACTCACCCTCTAAGCGACAAGCTCTCAGGTCCCAATCCGGCTCCCCTCTCATCGACAACGGCCCCGCCCCCGCCCCCACCTACACACCCACACGCACCATCTGCACGCTCGCCCAGACTTGCGTACATCCCTCCACCCTCGCAGCACGCACAGAGCGAACGGACCGGCGGCCGTGCTGTGTGGCTCAACACAGCCGCGCTATGAGCGACCATGAAGACCTCGTCGACTACGGACTCGGTGCGTTCTTGTTACATCCCTCCACACCGTGTGAAACTAACCCATTGTCCAGAGGACGAAAGCCCCGACCAGGACATGGTATGTCCCGCATTTGTCACCATCACTCTTCCCCATTCCTCTTCCACCTCATCACTATCCTCGCCAGTCAGTCACTGACCCATCTCAGGAAAGTGTTAGCGGGATGGCAGAGCAGGTCTCTACCTCGACCATCGGGACGATAGCTCTTCCGACGGAAACGGAAGTGCTCCTCGCCGAGCGTGTTGCGGAACTGGAGCGCGAGAGGGATGCGCTTACCGTGAGTACGAGCTGTATGACTCCGAGCAGCAGCTAACTATCAAGGCAAGGGTGAAGGAGCTCGAACGACCAAACAGCAGTGCCGGCGATGAAAATGCTCCGATATCGATCCCGCCAGCGCTGGTGCCAGTCCTCGCCCTGCTCAGGCAGCACATTCGCGAGTTGACGAGGGAGAACTCCGCACTACGATACACATTCCTCGGGTCACATACACCAGCCCGCCAAGAGGTCATCTCCCTCAGTGTAGGCGCAACGCCGCCGACGACGGGCGATGTGTCACCTGCGACTCCCCTCGAACCGATGTCTGCTGGGCGGACCCCTCTAATGGACCACAAGGCTGTGTCGACTGCGCCCGACGTCGACCTCGAGGCGGTCTTGACCCGCGTGAAGACGCTCATGCTGGAGAACGAGGAGCTGGGCGACCTCGTCGCTGAGACGGGTCAGGCGAGCAGCGACGAGTGGCTCAAGGCGCTCGAGGACTCGCGGGCCGTCATTGCCTCTCTGGAGTACGTCAAGCTGAGGCGCCACGGACTGGTGAAACTGACATCGCAGTTCCGATCTGAACGAGAACCTCACTGTTGTCGAGAAGCTCCGCGCAGAGCTGGACGGTTACAAGGCGCGGTTCGGGTCTCTGGACGCTCATGGTCATCCCCACGGACAAGGACAATCCCAATCTCACGGACAATCACACCATGACGGAAGACAGCGTGGGGGGCGTGGTGGGGGCGGCGCCCGCGACGTCGACAGGAGGAACAACGGCCGTCGCGACGGCCGCGACGGGTATCGGCCTAACCACGACGATACTCACGCTCGCGATACCCGTGATGGTGGGCGTGAAAGGAACGATCGGAACGACCGGAACGACCGCGGCGACAGAGACCGTGGGCAGGCGCGAGACGGTCGCGATGGGCAGGGGCGTGATGGGCATCGGGACGGGCGGGACGGTCCGACGGCGAACCACCGCGGTGGCGATCGGGGAGACCGGAGCGACCGCGGAGAACGCAGCGACCGCAGCGACAGGAGGTGGAAGGACGGGCCGAATGCGAACCACCGCGGCGGGGGCGACGCCGGACTGCAGATCCTTGGCCGCGCGACCCAGGATGCCAAGGACGACAGGGCTTATAAGCGGAGGCGATAGCAGAGTAGCACAGTAGCCGGCGACAGCCGTAGCATCAAGAGATAGAAGAGCATGAGGACCTGTGTTATCTACTTCATATGCATATGTTGTCTTACCTTCCTTCCCACCTTCTCGCTGTCCTCGCTCGCGACTGCCGCGGCTCGTCGCCGTGAGTGGGACAGGAGGGATGATCGACACGCAGTCGTGTCACGTGCAAACGCGGTTGACTGGACTGGTGTAATGACGAAATGAGGGGAGGAGCCTTAGCTAGACCTTCCCCGACAACAACAATCCGACTTTTCGCTTCTCTGCAACCCGCCATGCGCTCAGGATGCCGCCAAAAGCCAAAGCAAACGGCAAGAAGAGCAACGGCAGTGCTGGAACGCTGTTTCAGTACATGAGGCGAACGTCCAATGGCGATACCAAAGCGACACCAGCAATCAACGATAGGCGGGGTAGTCACTCCAGCCCCTCTCGGCAAGCGAACGGCAAGTCCAAAACTGCGCCGACGGAAGGAACGGAGGATGACCCACTCGTAATCAGTGATGACGAGGCGCCCAGGAAGAAGAGGAAGGTCTCGCCTTCACCACCTAAAGCGAATGGACAGGCCACCGGTGCTGCAAAGGACGACAGCAGCGATGAGGAGATTGAATTCATCTTGCCACCGGAGGAGAAGGAAGACAAGCCTAACCACTCAACCAGGGAGGGAGACGACATAGTGGAAGTCACCTCATGCTGGATTTGTGGCAAGTCTCTGTCGGGCATGGACGAGGCTGTAGGTTGTCAAGCACTGGGGCGCAACCGCTGATACCAGGCTACGCAAGTGCACGTCAACGCGTGCCTCGACTCCGCTTCTGCCGAAGCAGGCCCATCGAAGCCACGCTCGAAGCCCGAGATCAACTCGAAGGCATCTTCCTCGAATGCCTCTCCTGCGCCAGCTCCGAAACCGCAACCCGTGACATCTTTTGCGTCGAGTATTCGCCCTGAGTCGCCGCCGCCACTGGAGCCGGCGCCAGTGAAGGGCGCAAATGCGTTCTCGAAGCTGATGAACCGCAACAAGGAGACGGACATGTGGAAGGAAGCGAGCAAGGACGAGAAGCGTGATGCGAACCGGCGCAACGGACCGAGGAAGGCGCCGTTCTACAAGGTAGCTTTCTAAGCGTCCCTCGTTGAGCTGACTGCAGGTCCTGACTGGCATGCCGATCGCCGTTGACGCATTCTGCTACGGCGCAGTGCCGAAAGTAACGGCGTACTTCCTGACGTAGGTCTCTGGCCCTTTGCTTCTGCTGACCTGCCAGACACGCGCACGCGGACCACTACACTGCCCTCTCGAAGGCATGGCGCCACGGACCGATATACTGTTCCGAGACGACAGCGAATCTGATCGTTCTCAAGCTCGGCGTCGAGCGACACTGGGTCGTGAGTTACATTATCTGTCAAGACTAACTCCCAGCATCCAATACCCGACGAGGTACCCTTCGTAATTCCGAACACGGGCGGCGTCACCGTCACCTCGCTCGACGCGAATCACTGCCCAGGCTCCAACGTCTTTCTCTTCGAGGGAAGACAGACCGTCGACGCGGGGGACACAACGTTCAAGTCGCCGATGGTAGGGAGCAATCGCATTTTCCGATATCTGCACTGCGGCGACTTCAGAGCGTAAGCTGAACGTGGCTTTCCCTTGAGCTGACTTGCAGCTCGCCTAAGCACGTCCTTCACCCTGCCGTGGCCTGCAAGCCCCTTGACACGATTTACCTCGACACGACGTACTTGAACCCAAGCTATTGTTTCCCTCCCCAGCCCCTCGTTATTGAGGCTTGTGCTGCGTTGGCCAAGAAGGTCGTTGGGGGCGAAGATGTCAAGGCTGAAGCCAAGGAGGAAGACGAGAAGCCTGAGCTCGAGATGCCGCCACCAGGTCCCGAGGAAGAGGACGATGGTGAGGGTGGCGATGGTGAGGACTATGGAGGCGAAGCACCTGATGGCTACATGGACGAGACGCCCGTGGATTCAAAAGAGCAGACGCCTGCCGCCAATGATCGAGCAGTGGGAACTCCCGGAGGCTGCGACGTCACCGAGGATGTGAAGCCACAGATTGAGGAGGACATCAAGCCTGTCGTCGAGGCAGACGTGAAACCCACGGTGGTTGACGATGTAAAGTCCGACATCAAACCCGATATCACAAGCTGGCTCAACACTGACACGAAGCCTGACATCAAGCCAAATGTCAAGCCAGATATCAAGCCCGTTGTGCACCCCATGGTGTCAGCCTACGCGGCCGCCGAACGTTCGGTGTCGATGCTGAGCTCGTGGCTCGGTAAGAATGTGGACAAGAAGCCCGAAGTCGCCAACGACGGCCGAACATTGATTCTAATCGGCACATACTCTATCGGCAAGGAGCGAATTGTGAAGGGTAAGCTAGCCTACGGATCGATAAGCTGACCTTCAGGCATCGCAAAGGCGATTGGTGCCAAGATCTACTGTAACCCGCGCAAGACCCAGATCCTGAAGTGCGAGGACGACCCGGAGCTGCACGATCTGATGGGGACAGACCCGATAGAGTGTCAGATTCATCTGGTGCCGCTGTCCAACATCACGCTCGACAACCTGGAAGAGTATCTCGCCACGATGCACCCGCACTTCAACCGCGTTCTCGCCTTCCGACCGACAGGCTGGACCTTCTCAGGCCCGAGTGCCGCCAACTCGCTTCCCGACGTCAACTTCATCATCAAACGTGACCAGGCGCGTGGTTTCAGCGACGTCAGCCTGAAGCCGATCAGAGGCAGCTGCAGGAAGTACATGATGTTCGGTAGGTATGGTGTTCATGATGGTGACCTAACGCGCAGGTGTGCCGTACTCTGAGCATTCGTCGTTCTTCGAGTTGACGTGCTTCGCCCTCAGCGTGCCCGGGACACCGAAGATCATTGCCACGGTCAATGTGGGCACGGAGAGGAGGTAAGTTAGGCTAGAGCGGATGTCTATACTGACACTCAGCCGTGGCAAGATGAAGAAGTGGTTTGAGAAATGGAACTACGAGAAGAAGCGGCGACACGAACGTGGCCAGCCTCGCATTGTTCAGTATCGAGACGAGAATTACGTGAGTGCTGCGATGGTATGCTTGGCGAGCTGATATCAGTGGTAACATCGCTCAGTCTTCTGTAACACCTTCAGCCCTTTGTACCTGTATGCAGTAGATACATCTATGTCTAGTTTTTGGCATCGCACTCCTTCCTGTGCCCTTGCCTGTACGCCCAGTCTGCCCTCTGGCACTCTCTGGAGCAGTACTTCGCCCATCCACACTTGCACGTGGGACCAACCTCCTTCCTGAAGTCAAAGCACCACCTACACGTCTCCTTTCCACCCCATGCGTCGATGCCGCTCCCTCCACGGAAGCGCTTGACCCACTCGTCCCTGCTGACGGAGTAGAACAGCTGCGGCTTGCCGTAGACGTTGTCCTTCTGACACTCGAACGTCATGCCGTTACGCTCGCACAGCTTGATGCTCGCATCGTTGCCGACTGTCGGATCGGCGCTGACTTTGGAGCAAAGCACCTCGTCAAACGCAAAGCGGAGCACCTCCTTGAACACCTCGGAGATCAGACCCTGCCCCCACAGTTGCGGGTGCAGCTCGTAGAACATCTTGCCCTCGAGCTCGGCGTCCTTCGCCTCCTGCACCGTGGGGTGGCGCCATACCTCGCCTTTCGTGGGCCTTAGTGGCCGCTTCGAGGACAGGCTAAGTGCGATGTTGCCTGATTGTCAGCTTACGTCTTCCAACACCCTCAAGCTGACGACTCACCGACATATCCGTCCAGATTCGTTAGACGGTTCTGCAACCGCACCTCTCCGGGAGGCAGGATCTTGACCTCTACCGACTTGCCCGGCTTAATCGTGACGGCCCAGATGTACTCATCGCGCCAGGCGCCGCCCTGCGCCTCCTCCCCCTCGGGGGCGTACTCATCCCTGCTAATCGCAGGGATACAAGAAGCAATGTACCGCGTCTGGAAATTCGCCTTGATCTCCTGCAGACTCTTCGGGGTGCCGTACAGCTGGGTCTTCTGCACGATCGGCTCGGTCTTGATCTTCTTGATCGCGACGCTGTCGCCGAAGCGCACGGGCCGGAGGAGCGTACGCGGTGTCCGCAGGCAGAGGTCGTTGCACGACGGCGTAAGGAGCACGTCCACCTTTGGCCGCTCCCGGTCCAGCATGACGTCCCACGGCTCGAGGGAGAAGGGCTTCGTGCTCGCCAGCTGGGCGGCCCAGCGCTCGGCGTCCTCGGGCGTCTCGGCCGGAGCTGGCGTTCGGGGAGGTGCACCGCCGCCGTTCTCGGCGTAGTTCGGCTGTTCTGTCAGCCCCTGCATGAGTCTGTGTTAGCTGTAGACGTACCTTCTTCGACTTAGGCTTTTTCTTCTTCTTCTTCGCCTTCTTCGCCTCCCCTCCGGCTCCGGCAGGGGCGCCGTTCTCCTCGCCCTCGTCACCCGAGGAATCGGGTGGCGGGGGATCCACCGGCTTCTCCTCCGTCGTGGCGATCATTATATGCGTGGATATGTGTTACGTTGCAAAGCTCAGGCCGATCGCGATCAAAGGTGGCCAAGTGGCCTGGTGGCCGAGCTCATGAGCGAAATGTTCGAGGCTGCGGAGACCCCGGATTGTCCGACCTGCAGTCACGAAATTTCGCCCCCGCACTAGTCCGCGAGCATCATGACGGCGCCTTCTCCCCCTTTGTTGTTGTCAACGTCTTACATCTGATACCCGCCCTCCGTTGGGTTATACATGTTCGGAAGCGTTCGATTTGCTCTCCGATTTACCGCGCACCACCCCTCGCCTAGGCGCCGCTTGCTCTACTCCGTCCGACCCAACTCGCTTCCTTCCCTCTCCGCATCCTTTGCCACCTCCGCCCCCCAGGCCAAGAACAGGATGCACCGCTCAGTGCCCGGCATGTCGCCGAGTCTGCGCGATCTGAAGCCGCCCCAGCGCTTCGGCATGACGGAGCTGGACCGTGACCAGTTCACGCGCGACGTGCCCGTGCTCGAGGCGAAGATCAAGGCGGAGGAAGTGAACGGCGTGCTGAAGAGTCTGCGCGGGTGAGTGCCTTGCTCCGATCACCTTCCCTCTCGAAAGCTATGCGATGGCCTCCAAGCTGACGTCCAGACATGTCGTCGACCTTCCCAAGACCAAGTCGATCCGGCCGGATCCTGAGGACCCGAACGCGCGCCGCATCATGCTCCGTGTTGCTGAGCGTGATGCTCTTCCCGAAAGCGTGAGGGCGTACCTCGACTCGATCAGCGCCGAGCTGTACCCGTACTCGATTCATCTCGGCTACGACCACTGGAACTGCGGTGAGCTCGGCACCTCGTGGACGTAGCTGACGTGCAGGTGACATGCTGGACGCAGTTCTGCCGCACGAGGAAGGCGAGGACATTCCCAGCTCGTACACGCAGACGGGGCACATCGGTGAGCTTAAAGAGAGGCGCCGTGTAGCTGACCCCAGTTCACGTCAATCTGCGCGACGAGTGGCTGCCGTACAAGAAGCTGATCGGGCAGATCATCCTTGACGTGAGCTTCCATACTTGACCTGTGAAGCTGACAGGGGCAGAAAGTGACGACGTGCACGACAGTTGTGAACAAGCTGAACACCATCCACGCCCAGTTCCGGTTCTTCGACATGGAGGTGATTGCGGGCGAGCCCAACTTTGTGACGCAGACCAACGAGTCTGGGTGTGTATTCGAGTTCGACTTCAGCAAAGTGTACTGGAATTCGCGCCTGCATACTGAGCACGCGCGCCTGCTGTCCCAGTTCGGCAAGGGCCAGGTTGTCGCGGATGCCATGGCGGGCGTCGGACCCTTTGCGGTCCCGGCAGCGCGAAAGGGGTGCTACGTGCTCGGCAACGACCTGAACCCCGAGTCGTACAAGTGGATGACGGCGAACCAGAAGCGGAACAAGGTCGAGTCGCGACTGCGGACAACGTGCAGCGACGCGCGCGAGTTTATCCAGCGCGCGCCGCTCGAGGCGTGGACAAAACCTTTCGTGCGCAGCGAGGCGACGACAGCGCGCGAGATGGCACTCGAGGGCCGGAAACGCAAGGCCCAACTCGAGGCCATGGGCCTGAAGGAGTTCCCGAAGGAGGACCCCAAGCCGCAGACGATAGACCACTTTGTCATGAACCTGCCCGACTCGGCACTCGAGTTCCTGGACGCCTATGCGGGCTGCTACACCCCCTTGCTCTCTGTTGAGGGCTTCGACAGGACAACGGTCACGATGCCGCTCGTGCACGTGCACTGCTTCACGCGCGAGCTCGAGTTCGCCGATGCCCAGCGCGACATCACACAGCGCGCAGAGGAATACCTCGGCCACGCCGTCTCGCCCGACAGCGAGGGCTACAATTTGCACTGGGTGCGGCGGGTCGCGCCCAACAAGGACATGTACTGCCTCACCTTCCGCCTGCCCGAGGCGGTCGCGTACGCTGACAAGTGACCGCAACCCTGTAGAACCTAGATGCACATCTATAACACTATATATATCCATATAACGATACGCAAAGAGATACACGATACACGATACTGAGCATGCCTGAGCATTTGCAGCCAAAGCCAAAGGCTATTTTGTTGGCGTCTGGGCGCGGCTCGCGGCCCGGCTGGCGGCGCGCGACGCGGCCGGACTGCGCCCCAGCGGCGTGATGATGCCAGACCCGAACTGGGAGTGCAGCAGCCCGCCCGCGAGCGTCATCTGCCCCCGTCCAAAGCCGGGTAAGAGCATCGAGCCGTCCCAGCCATCGAACGCGTCCGCCGTCATGAAGGTGGGGAGGTACTCTGCCCACCCGTTGGGCGCCTGCGGCGTGCCCGATGTCTGGAACGCGTTCAGCGCCGCCGACGGGCTGTTCTGCACCGACTCCGAGGGACCGGCGGCCGACGGCATGATCCTGTTTCCGTTAGCTCGACAGTGTGATGGTAAGCTTAGGAGGGGGTGACTCACATCATGTCGCCGCCCTGCGGGATGAAGGCAAACTGGGTCTCGTTGTGCAGCAGGTCGCTGTTCGGCCACGGGCCCTCGCTGAGCAGGCTCGGGTCGAAGACGTGCTCCGTGCCGCCGTTGGGTGCGGGGGAGCCGGCGCGCGACACGGCGCGCGACGGATGCGTCGACGTCCGCCCGTGCTTCTGGTCCCGCGTCCGGCGGACGATCTCGCGGATGAACGCGGCGTAGATCGCAGGCTGATGTGACGGGTCCACGGCGCACTCCTCCAGAATGTCCGCCACCTCTGTCACGGTGCGGAAGATGGTCTCCTCCAGGTCGTGGTACGGCCGCAGCTCGGGCTTGAGCAGCTTCAGGAGCGAGAGCAGCGCGTAGCTGCACATGACAAAGTTTGTGTCGGGAAGATACGGGAGGTAGCCCTTGGGGTGGAACATGTCCTTGACCACCGCACAGACGCGCTGACGTTAGCCATGCAATTTAGTCTACGGGCCACAACTACTCACAGAAGCCGCCTCGTACACATTCGTCAGGAAGTAGGAAATGTCCATCTTGGACCGCTCGAGGGCGTTCTCAAGGCCGAACGAGTAGAGCACAAGCGACGAGTAGTTGAAGTAGAACTGCGCTCGGGACTTGTACTCGATGATCACGTTGGAGCCCTCGCTCCAGACGGATAACCATCGCCGAAGCTCCTCATGAGCCGATCGCACAATGAGCATGTCTGCAAGTCAGTTAAACTTGAACGACAAAGAAACTCACAGTCGCAGTCCTCTCGGAGACCCGATGGCGTTGTCGTCGAAGAGTAGATCGTGTCGATTGCTCGGCTCATGATCTGCTGCAAGGCGACGTAGGCGGCCAGCGGCCGATCCGTCGGAGACGAGAACCGCTGGCTGTGCCAAAGTGGTGAGTAGGCATTGCGGATGATGTAGTCCTCGCGCAGAGTGTACGGCTTGCCCATCTGGGCAGACACCGAGCGGTCGAGAACAAAGCACATCAGCCAGCAGCGCTCTCGGTTGAGGATCTCCATGTCGCGCTCGCGGCCCTCGGTCGTGTCGAGATTGGACATCATGGATTTGCGGTGCAGATTGAGGTCGGTCGCCATGCGGATGGCCATACCCAGCATGAGCCATGTTCGGTCCTGCTCGAACCTGTATCGGTTAGATAGTGCGGAAGAGAAAACCTACGTCTTCTCCGGACCAAGGGTCCACATGGCCAACAAGAGGTAGGCTTGGCAGACTTCCACACTCTTGTAGCCTCGCGAGGGGACCTCGAAAGCTAGACGCTTGGCGTACACGGACAGCTCGGCGTGCAGCTCGGGACGTTTCGTGTAGTATCGTGCAGCGATGGCGCAGATGCTGTGGGTCAGTTTGACCTTTCGTGCCGACATAAACTCACACTGTACACAGGAACTGACTCCGCTGCAAGACGAGGTCGGGAGTGTGGAAGTCCTTCAGCAGAAGCGGCACATGCGTCGCCATGTTGTTGAAGAAGTGCTCGAAAAGCTCATCGATCTCCTCACGCGATACAAACGACAGCAGCTCTGGCAGACGCTCGTCCTGCGTGCTCGGGAAGGCAGACACTCCGGCCTTGAAGTAGTTGGAGGATGCGACACCGACGCCATCTTCTCCGCTGCCGCGCACGTCGCTGAGCAAGGTCCGCTGGTTGGTGCCGTTGCGGACGGCATTCAGCGCCGCGGTCAGACTCAGCGGGGATGGCCTGTGAGGCGCATTGTTGTTGTTGCGCGAAAGCTGCTTCTTCGCATGATCGGTGTTCTGCAGACTCGCCTCGGCCAGGAGACCCAGCGGTGAAAGGACGTTGTCCGGAAGGGAATGCAATCGGGGCGAAAGAGGCGGTTGGTGCGCGACGGTGGTGTCCTCGCCGCCACGGGAATCGCTATTGGCGTACTGGAAGGAAAACGATCGATTCAGGGACGGCGCAGAGCCTGCCGCCGGCGACGCGTTGGCCGTGATCAGCTGAAGAACTTCGGGGTCCGACGTCGTGGAATGAAGCGCAGACGAGAACGTGCTCAGCGAGTTTGGGTCCAGAGTGTTGAGTGCCTATGGGCGTTAGCGTATGTGTCCATCGATGCGCGTCTGCAAGCACGCATGCATCCAACTCACTCCTCCGATGCCCTTCAGAGCCGCCTCCATTTTGGCGATCTTTGCCGCAAGGGCCTCGTTCTTGCGAGTGCTTCTCTTGCCGCGGTTGGACTCCTCAAAGATACACTCGTGGCCGCCAGACTTGCATCGCTGCGGTGGGTCAGTATGTCACCAAGGAACCCCGCCCCCCTCGGGGCCCTACGCACCTTGCATGGACCGTTGGGACCGCTAGACTCATCGGGAATGCATCGCATCTTGATCTTGCGACACCTGCACACCGTCAGCATTCACCCCAGAAGCCCCCTGCATCCCTCGTGCCACAATCTCAATGGATGTGAGACGCGGCATGTGACTAGGGTCTCGGCGAGACAACTCACGCAATACACGCCCGCGAGCCACGCGTGAGCTTGACCTTGGGCTTGCCATCCGGCCCCTTCACGATCTTGCGGTTGGGCTTGGCTGCAGCAGCTGCAAGCGCAGCCTTGGCGGAAGCTTCGTCGTCGCTGGCATCGTCGTCGTCGTCATCGTCGTCGTCGCTCATGTCCTTGTCCCCGGGCGATACTCGAGGCCGCTTGTTGTCGGGCACCGACTGGGGGGCCGCGGCGCCGTTGAAGCCACCGCTCGTGAGGCCCGAGAACGACTGGGCCATGTTGGTGTACGCACCCGCGTATGGATGATTCATGTTGGTCGACAGGGGTGGTGTGCGAGGTCGAGGCGGAGGATGGAGAGTAGCGGTGTCTCTATTGTTGGTGGCCGTTTAGCACCGGAAGCGGTAGACTTGGTGTGTAGGAACGCTCGCGCAGATTTGCCGCCGGCCGTACCAGGACCTGTTCCAGTCCTGGTGGGTAAGGCGAAAGTGGAAGCCGATTCGGGGCCGCGGAACTAGCTGTCGGAGGTGGGGCGACGTGGATGGAGGGTCGGTTGATGGCGAGCACGAGTGAGGGTACGATGAGGAGAGAGTGGATAATGAGTCCGGTAATGGCTCTTTCCGTAGCTCCGTACGTACCCCTTCCTGGTCGTTCAACAGACAGCGGACCGGGCCGGCTGTTCAGGCGGTGTGTCGATTAAATTTGCTCCCGCTCTAGAAGTGCACGTGATGACTCTAAGGACGAGTTTTCATGGACCGCAGCTAATTCATGCGACGACGTTTGTACAATTTAGTGCCGGCGGCTCGCGCGGTAGCACGCGGGTAGAGAACCAACCCCCTTGACACCCTCCTCCCGCCGCGCGCCGCTTAGTATGATCCATGAGGGAACCCATCTCCGAGCAAGTTGCTAGTCATGCACACGACGTCAGACTCATCCCCAGGTCCGCAAGTGCGACGCTTGTGCACAAGAATCCGCACTCTAGTGCGCTAGCAGGGCAGGAAAATACCGATGCAGTTCCGCACGGAATATGCGAGGAGGAAACTGACAGCAAAGACTTGCATCGGCGCTCGGGCCGGACACACGGTAACTGACGCGAGACGCGGCTACTCTCCACAATCACAGCGCACGTCTCAACACCTCTCCACAGATCTGAGCGCTGCGCAACTCTGTTCACTTGGAGCCCGTGCTGCGCGCATGCAAAGCAGGACTTTCACGGATACGATGCAAACTAGGTGCAGAGTGCAGCCGCGCATGGCAGAGAATACTGCCCCGTCCTCGACAGGTGATCTGGCGCCTTGCTCAACGTGTTGCTCCGGACACCATTCCCTCTCCATCCATCGTGCGGTTGATCCAGATTCCCGGCCGTTTGTTCAGTCAGTTTGATCGAAGTAGTGCGAAAGTCCGAAAGTTGTTCCAGGTGGTATCCGTCATCTAAGCCAATGCTCTCATCCCAACTATGTTACAAGTTTAAGCGGAAGCCTTGGCAGCGGCGACAGCCTTCTGAGTTCCCTGGGCGGCGAACTTGGCGTTGCGGCGGAACTGAGGGGGTCAGTGGGACTGCTCGACAGTGATAGGTAGGCAGCAGTGCTCACCTTGGGGTCGACACCCTTGAGCGACTTGTAGCGCTGGGTCTGAACGCGCTTGATGCCGTTGCGGTGCGCTGAATGTTAGCTTTCTGTTGGTTCGACAGCATGCGCGGGACGACGATGGACGACTCTTGCTGGAAAGACATGAATGCTCGCAGTCGACCTGGCTCTCCAACGTGTCGCAACTCCTCGAAACTGGTCCAGCCCGACTTTCCAATACTTCCCGCGGAAATCCAGCAGCATTTCTCTCTACGCTTTCGTCGTTCCAGCAGTTCCAGAATCCACGCTCAATCCTTCCAGCCCAAGCATCGATGTTCCAGCGTTCCCATGTCTTTCCAGCTTTCGATTCGAAATTCGTCCATCGTCCCGATTCCGCGAGTATGAACGCACCCTTCTTGTTCTGGTTGTGGGCGGTGTGGTTCTTTGACTTGGCCATTGCGCTGGGACAGAGTCAGTACGCCGATTTCACAGTTGTAGGTGGCCAAACTCACCTGTTTTTTTGAGGGTTGTCGAAGAAGAAGAGAACTCGAAGACCAGACAGAGGCGTGCACCGGGGAGAGTGGTCGCAAGGGCGTTTCGCTACACCAAACGGTGCAGAGTTTCGGGTCCTTATCACATTGGCACGTGTAAAATGCTACGTGTAAAACATTTTCTGACTTATTTCATCCATCCCTTTATATCCACGTGGCATCCATCAGACAGCTTGGCTCTCGTCCTCGTACTTGATCTCTGAGGTGATGCATGCAGCTGCACCCAGACCGCTGCGCGTCTACTTAAGTTGCAACGCCGCACAGCAGCGACACAAACTGAAACACATGCTATGCAATACACTTCTCTCACTACTTGCGATTCTACTAGTTGTACTGGGCGTACAGTGCGGTACTCGAGAACTTGTTGCCCTGTCTAATAACCTTCTCCACAGCGTCCAGGAAGTCACGTTCCGTGGCGACCTTGCGACGAGCACGAATGGCAAACATGCCGGCCTCAGTGGCAACGGCCTTCAGCTCAGCTCCGGTGGCATTCGGGCAGAGACGAGCAATCAGGTCGTAACGAATGTCGCGCTCAACGCTCATGCTGCTTGTCAGCTAATGACAATGGGCCACGCTTAGATTATAATCACTCACCTCTTTCCGTGAATCTTCAGAATGTGGGCACGTCCCTCAACGTCCGGAAGACTGAACTCAACCTTACGGTCGAGTCGTCCAGGACGGAGAAGGGCGGGGTCGAGAGTATCGGGACGGTTGGTGGCCATGATGACCTTGATGTTTCCACGAGCGTCGAATCCGTCCAGCTGGTTGATGAGCTCCAGCATGGTTCGCTGGACCTCGTTGTCACCACCAGCACCGTCGTCGAAACGGGCTCCACCGATAGCGTCGACCTCATCGAAGAAGATGATACACGCCTTCTTTGACCGGGCCATCTCGAACAGCTCGCGAACCATACGGGCACCCTCTCCGATGTACTTCTGCACGAGCTCAGAACCAATGACACGAATGAAGGTCGAGTCTGTTCGGTTGGCGACGGCACGGGCACACAGCGTCTTTCCGGTACCAGGAGGACCATAGAGAAGAACACCCTTGGGCGGCTCGATACCGAGGTTGGCGAAACGCTCGGGCTGGCAGTTAGCATCAACCCCACCGCGAGTTAACTTACCTCCAGAAGAGGGAGCTCAACAACCTCACGCAGCTTCTCAATCTGCTCCTTGCAACCACCGACATCCGCGTACGTGACCGACGGGCGCTCCTCGACCTGCATCATGGTGACCGACGGGTCGATCTTCGGCGGCAGCGGGATGAGAATCTTGTAGTTCGTCCTGTCAACACCAACACGCATTCCCTCCTCAATGTCGGTGGGCGAAACACGGTCTCCGAGACCGACGACGAACTTGGCCACCTGCTTGATCGAAATGACGTAGCGGTCGCCGTCGGGGTTGCCAGCTCCCGCTCCGTCCTGCGGGTTGAGCGGCTGGTCGTCGGGCTGAGGGTTGGCTCATCGTCAGTGATACGCTGATAAGGTCAACCTACCGGCACGGATGATGGTCTGGCATCGGGCGACCTGCAGAGGGTGCTCCTGCTGACGCTGCTTGTCGGCGGCAACATCCCAGAGATTGGTAGCAGCCAGTCCAGTGTCGGACTCCTTGATGCCCATCTTCTCGTCGACACGCTTCTGGATGTCCTTGATGTCTCCCTCAATCTTCTTCAACGCGAGCGAGTAGGGTCCCTGGCCATACGTCTTGAGGATCTGAATGTCGGACTCATCGAGGGCTGAGTGTTAGTCATCTAGTCGCGTTCTAGACCTCCGCTGTCCAACTCACCGACAATCTTCTCCTCCTTCTCGTCCGTGAGCTTGCGCTCGTCTGCACGGTTAGTAAGCATCTCGAAGTCATCGCTCGTGTTGATACATACACTTCTCCCAGTCCCTGCAAGCGTCAGCAGATGAACGATTCTCAGCGGTGGAGGGAAGACGAGACTCACTCCTTGGGGGGCATCTTGATTCGTTCTAAGGCTCTCCGGGGCGATCGAAAGAGGTTCGTGCAGTGTCCACGAACAAACGTCCTGCTGAGCTGGTGAACGATGTGGGTTTTGCAGATGTTAGAGAGGGTATAGATGAGATGAACTGTAAGTGACTGATCCTGACGTCGCGGTTGCCCATGGAACCTCTGGCGTCAACGATGACAAGTCGGTATGCCTGTGCCTGGTCGCGTGGTATTTGCAACGCCAGGAGTTGGCGCGCCTTTTCGTCAGTGTGGATTCACGCCTATCGTTTCCTGAGATCTGCATAAACAATGGAGACTGGCATCAGCTGATCGGCCCAAGACGCGTATGAAGGGACAGTGCATTGCCGCAACGAGATTGCAAGACAGCGGTCGATGCACATGCCGCTCATCCACGAGGGGCACCGCCCAGCACGGCCAGCACCAGCCTTGGACCTCGTCCTTGATACGCCCCAGCCACGTCTGCACTGTGAAAACACACTGCATCAACGTACGCCACGCCAGAACCTTATGTGCATGGCAAGGTCCGTAACGAACCCGCATTCGCAGGGAGAGCAAATGTCGGATGGATGAGATGGACGGACATGATCGAGGACGCTCGCTTCTAGCTGGCGGGGCTAATGGGCTAATAGGCTGGGTGCGGATGCGGGGCAAAAGGGCCGCGTGAACGGTTTAAACGGCTTGTACCGCATGCAGCCGTTGCCGTACACCGGTCCGAAGCGGGGCAAGATCAAGCGGGGCCTCAATATATTGCCGCTCACTCTCTTACGCACTCAACCGGCTCACTCTTCATACATCCCCTCCTCTTTGTGCTCTGTCTTCCACCTCACTCCATCTGTCGTTCTTTCATCACCCAACACATCCAAGCGATTCCAAGCCATCTCTTTCAAGTGACACACCCGTTTCCTGCCCATCTCGACCTCAGTCATTCTCTTCCAATTCGGCTAAACACAAGAGCGGCAGCATCAGTCCGTACGTCTGCCCATCCCCACATCGTCTGACCACACAGGATGCTGCAAGGCTCTACTCCCCGGCGCGTCTCGAGCCCTGCGGCCAACTTCTTCGCTCAGATCAACGGCACCGCAAGCAGTGCTCCCTCGGTAGCGTCCGACGACACAAATGACGTCGCCTCGGCTGCTAGCGAAGATGTGAACGCGCAGCATCAGTACGCCGGTCTCGGACCCGCGTTTGCCAATGCCCACGTCCGGCGGACCCAGAGCTTGCGCTCCCCAATGAGACCCCATGACCATGCTGGACTGTCCTCATTTGCGACTGCCAGCAACAACTTATCATCACAGCACGACAGCCCGTCTTCATCACACTACACACCGCCAGCAGCTGCGAGCCACCCCCTCTTTTCCCACCACGCCATCCCCCCGTCACACCGACAATCCTTCAGCACACCCCAGCATGTACCCATCACTCGCACCTTCTCCCCCGCCATGACAGTCATGTCTGACCCCGGTCCAAACGACATCCCGGAGGTCGTCGTCCCGTCCCCACCCTCATCGGTCGCGAGCGGCCCGTTCTCGCCAGCGTCCGCCTTCCTCTCCAGCTTCAGCTCCCGAGGTAGCGTAAGTGGAGATGTGGCGCCCGATGCCCAGGGCGCCCGTGTGCTCAACTACACCCTGGGGAAGATCTTGGGACGGGGCGGCTTCAGCACAGTCCGACAGGCCATCCATGTGGACACTGGCGATGTGCTTGCCTGCAAAATCGTGAAGCGCGATGATCTGAGCGACATGTCAGGATCTCTGGAGCGCTTTGAGGACGAAGTTCGGATCTGGAAGGATTTGCCCCATCACCCGGCACTGCTACCTCTGCTCGAAATGCACCGCACCAGCTTTGCTACCTTTCTGCTCATGCCCTTCCTCCCCGGCGGCAGCCTCTTAGAGGTGATCCGCAGGGAGGGCCATGGCGAGAAGACTGCGCGCAAGTGGTTCCCTGGAGTCGTTGCGGCGGTTGCAGCTCTGCACGAGGGGTTCGAGGGCTTCGAAGGACACATGATGCACGGCGACTTGAAGCTCGACAACTTCATCGTGGACAGCCACGGTGTCGTCCGCCTTGGTGACTTTGGTATGGCGCAGAAGATCGAGAAGACCGATCCTTCCAGCCGAGGCTCAACCACCCCAAGACATCTGGGCGTTACGCCGACCCATCGTCGAATGGCTTCAAGGTCTCCGTCGAGGAGAAGGGAGACTGTGGCGGCTTCGCTGGTGAACGAAGAGGGCACTCAGGTCTGCCCCAGTGCATCTCTCCCGTACGCGCCTCCAGAACTGTTGCTGCCTCCCCCAGCTCCCCCCGCATTGTCCCGCGACGTTTGGGCCGTCGGTGTGATCCTCTACGCCCTGCTCGCCGGGAAGCTTCCCTTCGTCGACGCCTTCGATCCGCGCCTGCAGATGAAGATCCTGCGTGGCCAGTTCGACGAACCGGACGGACTCGGCCACGAGTGGTGCGAAGCTCTGCACAACACGATGCACCGGTACCCCGAGCGCCGCTGGACGATCGGTCAAGTCCGCGCGTCGGACGCTGTCACGGGCTGGCGCGAGGTCAAGAGCCGCTCTCGTTCGCGCAGCCGTGCTCGAGGTAACGTTCATCCCGCCCACATCCGCGGCACGTCACATTCTGGATCTGTGCTTGACTCACCCATCGACATCTGGGACCGTGGTCGTGCACGGGGGATGCACCTTGGAGGAGACCGATCGCGTTCACAATCGGGCAACCGCTCGCGCCAATCCTCACGACCCGGCCGTGACCCGAATCACCCGCGCACCCGTGAAGCATCTCGGCCTGCAGATGAAGATCCTGCGTGGCCAGTTCGACGAACCGGACGGACTCGGCCACGAGTGGTGCGAAGCTCTGCACAACACGATGCACCGGTACCCCGAGCGCCGCTGGACGATCGGTCAAGTCCGCGCGTCGGACGCTGTCACGGGCTGGCGCGAGGTCAAGAGCCGCTCTCGTTCGCGCAGCCGTGCTCGAGGTAACGTTCATCCCGCCCACATCCGCGGCACGTCACATTCTGGATCTGTGCTTGACTCACCCATCGACATCTGGGACCGTGGTCGTGCACGGGGGATGCACCTTGGAGGAGACCGATCGCGTTCACAATCGGGCAACCGCTCGCGCCAATCCTCACGACCCGGCCGTGACCCGAATCACCCGCGCACCCGTGAAGCATCTCGGACTCGGGACCCTCAGCCCCACGACTTTGTTCGCGAGGTACCAGGGTCGGGCGGTCGCACCGGCCTCGCACGGACGCCTGACGAGAAGGTGCTCATGGACCTCGACGCTATGCACATCACTCGGGGTCGTTCGCGCGGCCGCAACGCGCCAGGAACGAGCAGCAGCAGCCCCGCTTCTCAACGCAACTCGCTCATCATGCCCGACATGACGGAGATATCGCCCACGGGCCGTGGTGCCTCGACGCCTCGGCGACCGCACAGCATGCACGAAGCGGGCACGCCCGAGAACCGGGCGCGCAGCAAGACCCGCTTTGACCCAGGCACCCAGTCACGGGGCTCCAGGAAGGGCTCTCCGGCTGAGCCTCATCCACCTACTTATGGAAGCGAACTGTATCTCGTGGAGGAGGAGGAACGAGGACGGCGTGGACGCAGCCCGGCGACTCGTGGCAGACTGGCCGCGAACAGAAGCAAGAGCAGAGGCCGACTTGATTAATATTATGAGTAAAGAAGTCATGCATGTATCAATATCATCTACGATTGATTTGAGGGAACCAACGAATCTGTGCGCGATAATGGGTCTGAGCCTGTGCTTCTCTTGACGCAGTGCACCGTGCTTGGCACCGGAGGTCAATGAGTACCCAGAAAGCGCGATTATAAGGGTGCGCAGCAGACGATGACACCCTCCTCCTTGCGCCCCGGGGAGTGCGACCTTGACAAGCGACTCGCACCGCTTCACCGACACCCACCAGCCGCACTCCCTACCTTCCACTCGTTCCACCAGATCCGCATCTGTCCTCAGGCGAGCAGGTACGATGAAGCTGCTTCAGAGGTCCCGTCCGGCGAAGCCGCTCCCGCCATTCGATGGATCCCAGGGCTTCCCAGTGCGTAACCTGATCGCGCTCGCTGAGCTGCGTATGGAGGCCGAGCCGGGGTACTACCGGACATCCGCGCGGAAAATCGCCTACCTCACGTCGTCTTTCACGGGTCGCGCAGGCCTGTGGGTGTCGAACCAGTATCGGGAATCGCTAGGCGCCGACCCAATTTTCAAAGCATACGAGGAGTTCAAGCGGATGCTGCTGTGCTACTTCGACTCGAGCGACACGAAACTAGGCCAAGTGATCCACTGCAAGCAGGAAGGTTGCGTGGACGAGTACGCCGAGCGGTGGTCTCGCGCGATCGCGGATCTGGAGGACGACGTGCGGCGGCAGTCCGAAATCCTCGTCTTCTTCACGGACCAGCAGGGCAAGCTCCGCCGCTCGGTTGTGCAGAAGCAGTCACTCCAGATCGACGCCAACCTCCGCTACTGGCGCCTGTGGTGGGTGTACGGCCTGGATCCCGAGATTCAGGCCGCTGTGCTTGCCAATTTCCACCGCTTGCGTTTCTTCGAGGACGTCGTCATGCGCGCCATCACGCTGGAACAGCAACTTACCTCTGGTGCGCCCACGCTGGTCGAGAAGAAGCAGAGGCGCACCACGGCACGCATGTCTGACCTCGTCTCTTGGGTCGCGGTGCGCCTCGATCGGGCCCCGAGCGCGAGGAAGAAGGGAGACAGCTTTGTCGCTATCGAGGATCTGCCGGACACGCCGGCCGAGCGGAAGGGGAGCAGGCGACGCAGCAAGAGGAAGATCGACGATACGGCACTCACAGTGCATCCGACGAGGAAACCGAGCGAGGTCGTGCCACTCCTGCACACCGAGACCCGCTTTGCGCCCAGGTCCAACAGCTCCTACACCACCCTGGTCTAGCCCTCGCTCTGCCGCTCACTTTGTTCCACAAAGACGCTTCTTTCCATAGCCTGACGACCCCTCCTGTCTTTAACGATTTGCCACGTTCTTTACGATATGTCTATGTACTTCATGCCCCGCCCTCATGTCTAGCACTGTCGTCTGCCACACCAGTGCGAGACCAGTCCCACGCCCTCCCCGCGGTACCTCGCGATACTAATTTAGGTTTAACACTGTGTATGGGCTCCGTAGATCCGGTTTCACTGATAAGCCTCTCGTCTCCCGTCAGCAAATGCGCGCCCGCCGCTTCGGATTACCGGGTTTGTCAGTCTCTCGCACCATCGGATGCATGGGCCAATGCATGAGCCACCTCGTCATCATTCGCCGGATCACGGTGGCTGGGCGCGACCCAAGCGGTTATACGCCGCGGATAAAACTCGGCCGTGGGCGAAATTGTCACGTGCGGTGCGCGTGTGTATGCCGTCTATGGTGTGTGTTGTGGTGGGCGCCACAAAGGCGAGTCAAGCCAAAAATTGTCCGCGGCGGTTAACTCGATCGCACCCAGCAAACCTGGTCGGGCAAAGATCTCGCGCTCCTCTTTCTCTCTCCACTACATCACTCAACTTCGCTCAACAACTCTCCAACCCCCAAGCACTCCGCCTCCCCGGCTCCCTGCACCACCCACCTCGCTCCTCCAAGGCTCTGTCGATGCTTTGGACCGAACGCACTTCTGACGAGTGAGTAGAATAGACACCCGCGACTTTTTCGCTCGTCGCTGGTGTGTCGCCGGATTGTCGGGCGAGTCGAACCGAGATGATTGGTCCCTCCGTGGGCACGCGTCCACCGGTCACCAACGTCAACTCTTTTACACCATGAGAATTTCTCTTGCGCCTTCCTTCTCCTTTTCTGTCCAGCTGCTGACCGGCGCAGCTACTTATCTGACCTTGTCTTCACTTTGGCCAATCTCTAATTAGCCTTATCCACACCGGGCTTTTTATCTTTCACATCTCATCACCTCTTCGACAAGTCGGATCATCAACATGTCGTCCATCCTCCGCCCCGCTGCTCGCGCTCTCGGCCGCCGTGGTCTGGCCACCCCCGCGGCTCACCCCTCGCTCATGACCCCCGTCCTGCCCGCTAAGATTCCTGCGGCTCTCTTCCTCAAGTCGGGTCAGGTCTACGAGGGCCAGAACTTTGGCTCCACCAACTCCAAGTGGGGTGAGACGGTCTTCTCCACCTCGATCACGTCGTACACCGACTCCATGACCGACCCTTCGTACCGTGGACAGTTCCTCGTCTTCACCTCTCCCATGATCGGAAACTACGGTGTCCCTTCGAACGCCCCTCGCCCTGAGACTCCCGGCATCCCCTTCCTTGAGTCGGACGCCGTCCAGTGCGCTGGTGTCATCGTCTCGGACGTCGCCCTCAAGTACTCGCACTACCAGGCCGTCGAGTCGCTCCACGAGTGGTGCGCTCGTTACGACGTCCCCGGTCTCACTGGTGTTGACACTCGTGCCATCACTACCCTCCTCCGTGACCAGGGTACCACTCTCGGCCGCATGGCTGTCGGTGCCGAGGAGATTGCCAAGGGTGCCCCCGCCGCTGCCGACTACTGGGACCCCTCCAAGGACAACCTGATCGCCCAGATCTCGACCAAGCAGCCCTACACTCTCAACCCCAACGGCACTGGTCCCCGCATCGCTGTCCTTGACTTTGGATCCAAGGCCAACATTCTCCGCTCGCTCGTCAAGCGTGGCGCCGTTGTCGACGTCCTTCCCTGGGACTTTGACTTCAACGCTGTCCGTGACAACTACGACGGACTCTTCCTCTCCAACGGCCCCGGTGACCCCAAGTCGATCATGCCCACCGTCGAGCGTGTCCGCAAGACCATCAACGAGTGGAACAAGCCCATCTTCGGTATCTGCATGGGTCACCAGATCCTCGGTCTCGCCGCCGGCATGGAGGCCTACCGCATGACCTTCGGCAACCGTGGCCACAACCAGCCCGTCCTCGCGCTCGCCTCGTCGGGCTCGATCAAGGCCGGCCGTGTCTACGTCACCTCGCAGAACCACCAGTACGCGCTCAAGCTGACCGAGGACTTCCCCGAGGGCTGGGCTCCGTTCTTCATCAACTGCAACGACTCCTCGGTCGAGGGCATCATCACCACCCCCGAGAGCGGCAAGCGCATCTGGGGCTGCCAGTTCCACCCCGAGTCGGCCGGCGGTCCCCTCGACACGATCGAGTTCTTCCAGGACTTCCTCGACGCGTGCGCCAACCCCAACTCCAAGATTGACGACGTCAAGGAGGACCGCTCCGTCGGCGAGCTCCGCCGCAAGGACCTCGCGGCCGCCAACCAGCCCACCGTCCAGTTCTAAGCAGCGTAGCGTGAGCGCGAAGCGCGAAGCGCGGAACAACGACGGATGCGCCAAGAAGCCGAGAGCGAGCCTCGTAGCGACCGCCTCAAACATCTCATAATTATTGTATACTTTACTAGCATGGGTATCAGATGCAGCATATCAACAAGACTTGCGCGAGCGCAGCGAGCCTCACCGTTCTAAAGAGCGTCGTGTGCGACTTTTGAAAGGGGGTTGGGGGGGGGCGTCGAAGCGGTGGAATGGAATAGAGGGTGACTAACCGGACTTTTTTTTTCTGCCTTGTTCTGGTTGGCTGTCCCGGGAATTCGCCGCCCGTCAGCCTGGGCCCTGTTCGCTGGAACCACAGTTTTGAGTCAGACAGGAATATGCCACAGCTGCAGCGAATGACATGCCAGCAGCCGAAATGGAGGGAGGATTAAGTAATCCGGGCCGGAAACCTGGTCCGTCTGTTGTCTCTTGCGTGCCTAGCAGGCGCGCAGGCGGCCAAGTGCGCGCTTCCAGCTAAGGGTGGTGCAGCGTACGGTGGCCTGGCGGACAGGAGCGTCGGTCTCTCGGCAGGTCGGCTCACCCGTCTTCGGCAATCACGACATGATCGCCCACTAAATCAAGATCCGGGTCAAGCTTGTCGCAATGGAATTTGTTGACTCTGTAACACTACTCTTGGCATTCCACGTACTCTCTTATCGCAACGAACGGGAGACACGACACACACGACTGCGATACACGGATCGAGCTTCGCTACTGTCCTAGTCTTGAGAGATCCTCGCGCACGCCCAGCAAGACGACCACGAAACCCCGAGTCAGCACGGAATACGCTCAATAGCTAGCCTTGCGCGCTTGCGCACGACCGTGACGAGCCAGTGACGAGTGACAGGTGGTGACAATGGCCACCCCGTCCGACGCAGGCCCCTCGCGGCCAGCACCTCATCCCTCTCCGTCTCAACGCCCGCGCCCCGCGCCCGCACCACCACAATCCCTCCCCCGCCGCCTCCTCGCCGCGTACCTGGACCGCCTGAAGCGAAAGCCACTAAGCACGAAGATGGTGACCTCAGCATTGTTGTTCTTCGCAGGCGACTCCATAGCCCAGTTCGGCATCGAGGGCCGCTCCCTCCCCTTCACGACGAAACGCGATCCCGCCGCCATCGAGGAACAGGCGGCCGTGGACGAGCTGCGACAGCATGAGGGCGTCCGGGCCGGTCTGCAGAGCTCCGGCGGCGCGACGGCGGCAGCAGTGATTGGAGAAGATGGAGACGACACAAAGTGGGACCCTTACAGAGCTGCGAGACTGATCTTCTACGGCGGCACAATCTTTGCGCCGTTGGCTCACAACTGGCTGAATCTGCTGCAGAGGGTGCAGCTGAGCACCAAGTTTAGAAGTGAGTCGCCTATGCCAAGGCATAGGCATGACGCCGCCCTTCGCGTCTGAGTTGCTCGTCATGACGACCTGACGGCCTGACGGCCTGACGGCTTGACAGCCACGCTCCCTCGCTCCGCTCGGCCGCGCTGATCCACAGCCATCGCGACCCGCGTCTTCCTCGACCAAGCCCTCTGGGGTCCCTTCGTCGTTGGTCTATTCTGGTCCACGAATGGGATCCTCGAGGGCCGCTCCCCCGCCGACGTGTACGAGAAGGTGAAATACGCCTTTTTGCCCGTGTACTCCAAGTCCGTCATGGTGTTCGGACCCACGGCGATTATTTCCTTCACATTCGTGCCCCTGCAGCACCGCTTGCTCGTGGGGCAGACGGTGGGATTGGGGTGGAACACGTACATCTCCTATCTTAATCATGTCAACAACAAGAAACTCGCAGCCGCGTCGAGAGAATTGGAGAGCGCGCATCGCGAGGAGGATGGGCGTGAGACGCACACTAGGACCGACGAGGCGGAGCGCGCCCTCAAAGTGGCGAGGGAGAGGAGGGAGAAACTCCTCAGTTCACAGGGTGGAGGCAGCACTGGGGTGGGAACACGTATGGGACCTTAGATCTTTAGACATGTACGGGTACTCTTGGAGGCTGGGATTAGCTCGACGGCGGGCCGAAAACTGGCGGGATACTCACGACAGATCACAAGGCTGCAATTAGCTAAGGAACTGTTCCAACGAGCTACTCAGATACTCACGACAGACCAGCGAGCAGACTGCGATCACCTACGACGGAAGGTGAAGAATGAAGCGGGGAGCCCTCACTGGAGGGAGCTGTGTCGCGAGCTGAGGTCAGCTGACCTCGAAGAACGTGCGGCTAGCTGTACACACAGCCATACATGGCTAGATTTCTCTGAACGTCTGAGGTTAGCTCAAGAAACTGTGCGTCATAGCTCGACTCACATCTCCTAACGCTGCGGGCGGCAGCGATCTGCAGTCAGCTTCTGGATATCGCAGTCGGCCCGCAGCTTCAACTCACGCGGCCGTCACTATAGGCGATTTCGGGCTAGATCACTGGATGCCCGCTATGAGGGGGAAGGGCTGGTCTGTCAGCTACAGTACATAAAAGCTGGCACCGTAGCTCACTGGTAGGTCGCATACTGCAGGCTGACCTGGTCAGATGTCGGACTGTTACATTTAAGATCAGTTATGTCCGAAAACCGTTCTGAAAGCTTCGGATCGACGTACGAACTAGTCGAGGACCAGCGAGTCTTGCGGCCTGCGATTAGCTCACCGCTGTGGTCACAGAACTACCTAATATCCCCGTTGCGTGAGGGGTATGGCAGCCTGCGATCAGCTCAGAACAGCCTCTCAAAGCTTGTGCACACTTAGGGAGATGAGTGTTTCGGCTCGATGCCTAGATTCAGCTCTGAAGAAGCGATCTAGGTGCTCGACTTACGTCTGATGGGTGTCTGGGGTGAGCTTATGCTAGGGGAGAGTCAATCAGCTTGTTCCCTTCCACTCACAACATTTGAAATATCCTCGCTCGACACCACAACAGTTGAAAGTCTGTCAGCCTGGCCTGTGGCGTCAGCTGTCATGGTCAGGATGGCAGCCGGGCTCACACGATTGCAAGTATGCCCAAATCGTGCACCTGACGTTAGCTGGTTTCACCGCCCAATATAGCTTACACCCAACGTGGTGATCAAAAGCGATGAGCTGCGGTCAGCTATCCGCCATACACATCCTAGCTTCGACTCACGAAAGCGTCCTGTCCGAACGGCATAAAGGATTTCAGCCTGAGATGGGGGTTTGCTCTGACTGTCCCCGCTCATATCAGTGCCAAAGGTAGCTCACAGACATAGCAGGGCACTGGTCGATGGCTGATGTCTGATGACCGTTGAGCCTGCGGGGTCAGCTTCCGAGTACGTGGCCCTGAAGCTCCAAGTGTCGACGTACCAGGTCCAGTCGAAAAGGGGTCGGATTGGGACAGCCTACTATGAGCTGATCCCACTCCCAAATACAAAGCTCACCGGTTGCGGTATGGAAGATGTATTCGCGCATGGGACTGCGATCAGCCTGTGAAACAACGAAGAGCTGCAAAACGTCTGCTCACGACGTACAGGGAGTGCACGACGTCTGGAGTCAGCTACTTAGAGGCCACCCAAGCTTACCGGTCTTCCACTGCAGATCTGGAGGTCGCTTCCACGCGATCACGAGAGCTGGAGGCAAGCCTTTTCTGAGCTGCCTGCATGATCTCGCCCGTAGAAAGTGTGGTGAAACGTCCCACAAGTGATATGGAAGATATCAGCTAGATAAATGATGCCCAGCTGTACCATCGGCCGGCGTAAGAGAACCTTCAAGGGCCTGAGATTAGCTTGCGCCAGCTGTTACAGCTTGACATACGGAATGCTGCAAGACTAGAAGAGTCAATAGCAAAAGCCTCTGGGAGGTCGAATGCCGCTGCTCTCAGCAACTTTACGCCAGCTTTGGACGACGTACATGGGCTTAGCGCTGAGCAACAGCGCACTGCTGCCGTCAGCTAAGAGTTGCGGGCGGTTAGCTGGTATGGTGCTGCTCACTGAGAATCGGTGTGGTACTCGAGCATGGTGGTGACATTGCGTCTACGTGTTGTTGCTGAGTGGGCGCCGATCCTCGGGATCTGCCACGGCGTTGTGCAAGTGGCTAGACAAGACTACGCCCGCACGTTCGCACGATGTTAAACTTCTACACGATGTTCTGCTCGTCGTTTTGCAGCCTGCAACCGTTGCAGAATGCTTTTGACTTCACAGCTCATACCATCCTGCACACATGCCCTGTCCCTTGCGCCACACTGGCGAGTCAACGCATTAGAATTTCAACACAACCCTAATTCGCTGTGATCAGGCAGGCTAATAGCCGGTGGCGTCTCATGCCGATCGGCCGGTTGGCTGGGTGAGCGTTGTGTGGACGCTACGTCATTGCTCCGTTTTCGAAGGATCCAGATCGTCCCCCGTCCCGCCAACCGAGGACGGTCGCTCAGCTCGCTGCGCGGCGTACATGGAGGTGGAGGGTGGTCAACTCGCACGAGACCTTTTGTTGTTGCTCAATCCTCACGCACAGCAACCATGTACATAGCACGAACAGCTCTGCGGGGCGCGGGGCCACCTCTGCGTGCCCGCGCAGCGTACCAGCCCATCAGGGGCATTGCGAGCACGTCCTCGCTCCTGCTCCGACGAGATGGTGATGGTGAGTACCCCTTCCCTGCACTCCCTTCATCGCTTGCGAAGTGTTCAGCTGTTCAGCGTGCAGAATCTAGCTGACAACAGAACCACGAGGGAGCGTCCGTGGTAACCGCGGACGGTATCGCGGCGAGGGCATGCCGGGGCAGCACCCACAGTTCGGAGGACCGTTCGGCGGCATGCCTGGCTTCGGAGGGATGGGCGCTATGCCTGGCTACGGCCAAGGCGTGCGGTACGAGCCGCAGGTGGTCGTGCCCGACGACCCGAATGGAGTGCTGAACAACTCGCACGCAGCAGCCAGCATCCTCGCTCACCCATCACTCGTTGTCGTGCGCCAGCTCGAAATGATGAATGTCTTCCTCGGCGTGGGTCACTCAGCTAACATCAGCAAGAACCACAGCTAACGGACAGTACGAGCAAGCAAACAAGTACGCAATCTACGAGCCTGGAGGGAGTGTGGTCGGATAGTGAGTTTGAAAGAACCTTGCGTTGAACTGACTACCAGCATGGCGGAGGAAGACAACAGCATGGCCAAGATGTTCATGCGCCAGTTCATGCACACGCACCGTCCGTTCAAAAGTACCGTCATGGATGCCTCGGGACGGCCTGTTCTCTGGGTAAGCTTCAATGAAGAGACCTGCAGCTGACCCCAGATCCGGCGTCCGTTCGCCTTCATCAACTCGCGCATCTTCGTCAAGTCTCAGGAAGGCGAGGACTCCCCAATCGTGGGCGAGACGAAACAGTGAGCATCCCGCACTCCAGCTTCGCAATTCCAATCGTAGCTGAAAGCGGCGGCTGCCCAGCTAGCTCCTGTGGTAGCCTTAAGCTGACATTACAGGATCTGGCACCCCTGGCGCAGAAAGTACGACCTGTTCACGCACGAAGTGCCAGCCGATGGCGAGGAGGACGTGTACACGCAGTTCGCGCGCATCAACGGCGGATTCCTCACCTGGGACTTCTGGCTGAAGGACCGACACGACCGGCTCATGGCCACGATCAGCAAGAACTTTACGGGCTTTGGGCGTGAAATCTTCACCGACACGGGACAGTATGTCATCCGCTTCGATGCGGCGGGTACCGAGCTCGACCTCCCGCCCGGAGCGCACGCGCAAGCGCAGGGCCAGTCCGTCATCATGCCCCAGGGCGACATTGGCCTAACGCTTGATCAGCGTGCCATGACGCTCGCGACGGCGGTTAGCAGTGAGTAATCCCCGATTTCAAGCTGGAAAGTCGACTCCGTAGCTGACTGTCAGTCGACTTCGACTACTTCTCACGCCACTCCGGCGGTGGCGGCATGGGTCTTCCCTTCTTCATCTGGGGTGGCGGCGACGGCTCGTCCGAGCAGCGCGGTGAGCGCCGCCCCGAGGGTCAAGGACCAGGCTACGGCGACAACGAGGGTACTGCTGCCGGAGCAGCTGGTGCCGCTGGAGCTGCTGGTGCGGCCGGCGCAGGCGGCTTCGAGCAGTACCCCGCCGAAGGCAGTCCGGAGGAGGACGAGCTGATCTACGGCCGCCGTCGCCCCGAGCAGCAGCAGGATTCGTACCCGGGCTCATACCAGGGTCGCAATGCGCAGGACTACCCCGAGCAGCCGCCGCAGGACCCGCCCGTTCCCGGTCAGCAGGCTGAGGGCTTTGACTGGCCCGGATCCCAGGATTACGGAGACGAGCCGCTCATGCAGGACCCGTGGGAGAACCAGCCCTCTGACGATGGAGGGTGGTTCGGCGGCGGCGGCGGGGGTGGAGACGGAGGCGGCTTCTTCGACGGATGGGGAGACAACTAGACACGACGTTAGGAAGAAGGAAGAATACAAGAACGACAACTGTAGTCTATCTGCGATGCATCATCCATACTCTGCTCTCCTGGCCTTCCCTAGCGCCCTCGCGCTCACTCGGTCCGCTCGCTCCGCTCGCTCACTACCTCGCCTTCGGCTTGCACTCGTCCATAACCGTCTCCTTGAGCAGGAGGAGGACGCGCGTCTGGTCCTCCGGGTTGGACACGGCGTTATCGTGCTCGTAGCTGACGCCGATGGCGAGTTTCGTCCCGTCGGGCGAGAAGGCGAGCGCCGAAATGGCGGTGGGGTAAGAGGGATACAGGCGCATGCGCTTCTTGGCGCTGTGATCCCAGACGGAGAGCACGCCGTCGGATCCGCCAGAAGCGAACGTGTTGTGTCTGCGGTCAGCTTCTCCACATCCGAACAGCTGCGCCTTGTCCTCTGTGACAGCCGCTAGCGCGGCCCGTGGCGGACTCTACTCACATGGGGTGGTACGCGAGCGCGTTGATGGGGTACACCTGCTCCTGCCCGTTGACCGTCGCGCGGTGCGCGCGGAAAGCATACTTCATAGCCTGCGCACTGGGGTCGGGGTCAAAGTACTCGACGGCGATTCGTCCCTCGATGCTAGCCGAGGCCCAGCCCTTTCCGTCCGCCATCGGCGCCACAGCGCGCGTGAGCATCTTGAGCGCGCTCTCGCGCGTGTGGTCGGGCTTGGCCTCGCGGCCCTCCTTGGCCGCGTTCGCGAGCTCGTACGTCCCATAGACAGAAACGTGGCGATGCGCCATGGACACGAGCACCTTGGCCGTAGCGGGCGTGTAGACAATGTTGTAGATGCGCTCCGGCATGGATGACGTCGAGCGCAGAGGCTCCTCGGCGGACGGGTCCCAGATCTTCAGCGTCCGGTCCCACGACCCAGAGACGAGGAGGTTGTGCTCTGGGATCCACGCCAGGGAGGATACGGCGTCGTCGTGCTTGCCGAGCACGCGGCACTCGCCCGTCTCCAGGTTCCACTCGCGGATCCGGCGGTCGAGGCCACCAGAGTACGCCACGTTCGAGGAGGAGCCAAAGGTCACACACAGCACTGGTCGCGGGTGCGAGAGGCTGGGGTCAGCTAGACCTGCAAGACATAGCTTACATCTTCGGAGGTGTCGGGGGTTGCGTCATGTCGTGCAGCTGGATTGTCTGGCATTAGCTAAACGCAACCGATGAGTAGCAACTTTGAGGCTACTCACAGAGTCCCAGCTGCCCACGAGCAGCCGGCTCGAGTCCGGAGACCAGGCTAGTGACGAAATGCCATCCGAGGGCGGCTGGAGCGAGACGTCGGCTGGGGTTAGCTACAGTCCAGAAGATCGCAGCTGGCGCATCGCAAGTCGCGCAGAGAGAACAGAATATGAGGTCCGCGTCGCTTCCTTCCCTTGTTCCGCTTTGCATTGCGCCTGCTCGTCAGTGACTCACCGGCAGCCATGATGTGATTATGTTGTTGATGCAAAGAAGGTCGAGCGGGTGCAGATTGTTGTGTTCGCGTTCCTGCCTTAGCCCGCAACCTCCACCTTTGACTGACCGTGTCACCACAGCCAAATCCGCCAGCCAAGCTTGGCCGGCAAGCCAGGGGTAACGTAGGGTCGAATTTCGTTCCGGTCCAGCTGCTTCCATCACAACAACAAACACCACCAGAGCCAGTTGCGTATCACACGACACTCCCACCATGTTCCGACGCGACACGTCCGGCCCCATGGACGTAGACAGCATGGACCCCATGGCTCGTCTTGCAGAGTTTGCAGAGCCGCCGCGGAAGCGTGAGTAGTCTCTGACCGTCGGGCCGCCTTCTGCCCCTCCACCACGTAAATAGCCAGCGAGCGGGTGGACGGTCAGCCACCACAGGTCCACGACAGACGCTGCCGTCGCACCTCGTCATTCGATCTGCTGGGAAGTAAATTGCAGACCGTGTGCTGTTCTGCTTTGCTCTGCATCAGGATTGTGCAGAAGCTGCAGCCGTGCTGCGGTGGAACACCGGGATAGTGGCATGCGTGGCCAGACCGAGCTGAGCTACGCTGGAGCTGCGCTAACGAACCAGGCCCGCACGCCGACCTCTCCGCGCCGCAGAGCAGCGGCTCGTCCTCGTTCCGTTTCGGGCCGAACACGCCGTTCCTCTTCCATGCGACAGCGCCCATGCCACCGACGCGGAAGTGGGAGCCGTACGATCCCCAGCGCTGGGCTGGCACCGACTTCGGGATGGGGAGCGCGACCTCGGGCGTGGTGGACGTGGACATGGATGGCGAGGCCGCTCCGGCCGCTCCGGCTGCTCCGGCAGGAGTTTCCGGGGTGGGTGAGACCGCCGGTGCACACTCTGAGTTTGCCGGCTCCGTTAATGGCGGAGGAGGAGAGGAGGGACCGGCCAGCCCGAAACCGAAGCCGAAGGGCAAGCCGAAGCAGCGCAAGAAGGTCACGGTCGAGGACGACGAGGACGGCGAGGAGCGGCATATCGCCACGGGCGCCATTACGCGGGTCAGGCGGAGGCGGAAGGAGTGGGCGCGCCGCGGCGCCGGCGACGAGGTCGGGCCGACGTACAACCTCCATCTCGGGCCGAACGGGACGCAACACCGCGATATCCCCGGTATTCTTCTTGGGCAAGTATCTCCTATCTGGGCGACCCAGTTTGTTGGACTACTCATACTAACAAACCCAGCTACGTCCAGTTCATCTTCAACCTCTCCCTAGTGTTGTTCTTCCTGTATCTCGCGCTGCAGTTCATCATCGCGATCCGGCGCGACGTATCAGAGCGCATCGACGAGTACAGTGTGGAGATTCTGCAGGAGATCGCACAATGCACCCAAGCCTACGTCACGAACCGGTGCGAGCCCGCCACGCGTGTGCCGGCGATGGAACAGGCGTGTTCAGCCTGGGAGACGTGCATGAACCGGGACCCGAAGGTGGTCGGCCGAGCGAGGGTGGGCGCCGAGACGTTTGCGGACATTATCAACTCCTTCGTGGACAGTATCAGTCTCAAGACGATGCTGTTCTCGACGCTCATGATTGGACTGCTTGTTGTGCTTACCAACTCGGCCTTGTTTAACCTCAGAGCAAAGCAGGAACTCGTCCATCAGCGCGAACTGCATCAGCACAAGCTGGCTCAAGTGGGCATGCCGCAGTATCCATACTACCACCTTCCTCCCGGCGCTCAGCAGTATGGAGGACAGCCGGGCCTCCCACCCCCGGCTAGTCCTAGTGGACAGCCGCTCGGCCTTGCTCCCCCGCCTGGCCAGCAGCCTGAGGAGCCCAAGAAGTCCAAGTGGCTCAAATGGTAGCAAAACCCCTATAGACTTTTCGTAGCATGTTTCTTCATTCTTATCTGCATCATATTCACTCTAATCTCAACGCCGAGTTCGTACATGAGTCGACAGAGAGCACAGAGAGACAAGAGAGACAGGCGGGGAAAACAAAAATGCATGCTACAACTCGCTAGCTAGCTGCGCTTACTCTGCGCAATGAACTGTAAATGGTGACTGGCTGATTCTACGTGACCGTACTCGCGCTACTCTGCTCCGCCCGAAACTGTGTCCTCGTTCGAGAGCAGGCTGTTTGTCAGTCATGTCACCGGGACCAGCCAACTGTAGCACGCGTTCGACTCACTTAAACTCCTTCATCAGGGCGCACTCGCCGCCATTCTCGAGATCAATGTTGTACGCCTGGAACACGCCGTCGGCGCTGATAACCATGACCTGGGGCAGCGTGCTGCTCATAGCGACGACGGTGCGGACGCCGGCCTGTCCCGAGCGCAGCTTGATGTGAGCAAAGTCGCGCTGCGGCTCCCAGATCTCCGTCACGCCTTTCGGGAGATAGGTGCCCGCATTGCCCAGGATGCTCTTGCCAATGTGGTACGAGCGGCGGCGGAGCGAGTTGGCCGCGCTCTGCGGGCTGCCCGCCGCTATCGGCGGGGAAGGGGCGTCGTCGCCAAACGTGCTGACAGATCCTGGCGGACTCTCGTCGCCTGCTCCGGACGCCGAGGAGGCGGAGCCACCACCGCCCCCAGCAGCCGAGTCCTTGTTCGCAAGCCGGTAGATGTGGATCGTGGACGTGTCGCTGCTGACCGCAAGAAGCGTCGAGGCCAGGTTGAAGTTCATGCTGAAGATGTGCGCCGTCGTCGTGCCGCGCCGGAACTGCCAGAGCTTCTTCGCGTCCGGCACGCTGAACACGCGCACGACCGTGCCCTTGTCGCTTGCGGTGGCCAGCATCGTGCCCGTCGAGTTCAGAGCCAGCGCCGCAATCGGCGCCTTGTGCGCCTGGATCACGTTCACTGCCGTTAGATTCAGCGTGTCGAAGATGAGCACGTCGCCCGTCGTCGGCGCCGGCGGCGCTGGCGGGACGCCGCTTGACAGGCTCGCGGACGACGGTGAAGGTGCCGGCGAGGGGTAGGCGAGGTATGAGTGTTCCGAGGAGGAAGACAGCGCGCATACAGCATTAGGGTTCGGCCCCGTCTCGATCGTGTGCAGCAGCTTCATCGTCGAGATGTCGTAGATGTAGATCTCGCTCTCGAGCACAACGACCAGCCGCTTCCGGTTCATCTTGACGGCTAACACGGAGGAGGGGAAGATCAGCTCGCATATGATAGATTGCCGCTGTCGTCAGCCCAAACCGGCGGACGCCGACGCACCTTTGTGTTCACAATCTGCAGCTTCCGCGGCGAGTTGTTGCTCTGCGCGTCAGGCGCGCCGACTAACGCGACCAGACTCGTGCAGAACAGCATCTCTACGACTCCCGTTGCTCCCTGGTCCGCTGCTTGTCAGCTTGATACCGATCTCCGACAGCTCCGCGAGGTAATCCAGTCCGGTCGGCAGTTCGCGACGTCCGACATCCGAAGTCCGATAACCCGGACGCAACGACCAAAACCAAGCCTGCTTGACGACGTGCACGCTACGTACTCTTCGAGTGGACTTTTCCGAACGGGTCGCAGTTCAGGATCGTGTACCCCTTCTTGTGGCCGACAGCGATGCAGCTGAAGTCCTGGTTGAAGTTGCAGCACTGTGAGTCAGCTTCAGATCCTACGCCGCGGGCTTCCCATCGGCAACGCGTGTCGCTATCTAGGCGCCGACGAGCCGCTTCGGACTCACCAACAGGTCCGGATGGCGCTTTCCTGGAGCCATGGCGGGCGATGTGCTCGGAGGCGGGATGGAGAAGGGGAAGGGTTAGTTGGACTCTTGAGATGGAGGGTCGATCGCGACGTGGCCGTGGGAACCGAGATAAGCCGCTGTGTAGGGTGCGCAGTAGGTGGCGAGGTAGAGGGTGAAGGTGTCGCCGAGGTTGGTGGTAGTAGAGAGTGCGGAAGAGGAAGACTTGGTTACAGTCACCAGCACGGGTCTGTTCGAGGTTGGATGTGAGCGTGAGGCAGCAGCGTGAGGCTGGAGGGCAGGGCATGCCAGACGGTCCCGCGGGCGGGCGGGGCAGGCAGCCGGGACGCGCGTCATACCGTACAGGGGACTCGGCCATTCAGTCGAGCCAGTGGCAAAACAGCTTCCGCTTTCCGCCTTGGGACTGGGCCGAGTCTGGAGTCTGCGGCAGGCATGCGGATGGCCGTGACACCCTCCGTAACTCCTTCCAAATGCATCGCCCGCGAGCTTGACGGGCTTCTAACCCGTTCCTCAAGCACAGCTCGCGTGAGCGGCGGCAGTGATAGAAGCTCAGGAGCATATCCTCGCTGCTTGTGCGGGGGCGAGTGGTTTCGACCCAAGGGGGGCGCAAGGCCAGTGCGTCTCCTTATCCATACAGAATTAGCAGATTTCGTCTGCACAATCTGTGCGCCGAGCGCCTCTTCGGTACAATGTCCGTCAAACTCAACGTGGCTCCGCGTCAGCCGCGACGGGAGGTCAGTGGCCACTTCTAAACCGAGAAAAAGAGGAATCTCTCTATCGAGAGGCTCCGACCCCGGCCCGACTCGAACGGACAACCTTCAGGAATACGTGTGTATATCCCAGTCATTGGAATCTGAAGCGCTACCAATTACGCCACGGAGTCACCGTGATGTGGTTCACGAAGGCGATCGGCGCCCCTCGGGCTATGAGTGGTTGCGAGTTTTCGAAATCGTGGATTATGCAGGTCTTAAGCTCTTCATGTGCATGCTATGAAGAGTTGGAGTCGACTGACACCAAGCAATGACCCCAATCAAGTTGTCGCAACGGGATATTGTATGGGTTCGAATCGTTTTACGGCGCTTCAGTCATTCCTGACTAAACCGACGGCGTAGTATGGTTTGGAATCTGAAAACTGTACACTCTAGCCTGAAAGTCTAACGCCCACACAACCGCTGACAGCGGCTGTGTCGGCGGTGCACTCGGGAGAGTCGTCGCGGTTTCGCCGCCTAAGTTGTGGTTTGTGGTTGCGCCCATACAGCGGGGGGGGG